GCAAAGTGAATATGCTGCCTAGGTTTATCATAGCTTTCCTTCCAAGGAACAAGTGTCTTTTAATTTCACGGCTCCAGTCACTGTCCACAGTGATTTTGGAGCCCAAGAAAATAAAGTCTGCCACTGTTTCCATTTTTTCCCATTTAGTTGCCATGATGTGATAGGACCAGATGCCATGATCTTAGTTTTTTCAATGTTGAGTTTTAAGCCAGTTTTTTCACTCTCCTCTTTCACCTTCATTAAAAGGCTCTTTAGTTCCTCTTTGCTTTCTGCCATAAGGGTGTCATCGGCATATCTGAAGTTTTTGGTATTTCTCCAGGCAATCTTGATTCCAGTTTGTGTTTCATCCAGTCTGGCATTTCCCATGATGTACTCTGCATATAAGTTAAAAATAAGCAGGGTGACAATATACAATCTTGACATACTCCTTTCCCAATTTGGAACCAGTTGGTTGTTCCATATCCGGTTCCAACTGTTTCTTCTTGACCTGCATACAGGTTTCTCAGGAGGCAGGTCAGGTGATCTGGTATTCTCATCTCTTAAAGAATTTTCCACAGTTTGCTGTTTTTTGTTTGTTGCTTATTCCCTTCCTCGGTGTTTATCTCACAGTCAGCCAAATTATGGGGTATCATCTGGCAGGGAGGGTCTTCCCAGGTAAAGAACCCATCTGCCAAATGCAGGAGACATAAGAGATGTGGGTTCAGTCTCTGAGTCTGGAAGATCCCCTGGAGGAGGACCCACTCCAATATTCTTGCCTAGAGAATCCAATGGACAGAGGAGCCTGGCGAGCTATAGCCCTTGGGGCTGCAAAGAGTTGGGCATGACTGAGCGACTGAGCAAACATGTACACCTGTCAGGCATCGTGTCAATTTGTGGTTCAGCCTAGTCTAGAGGAGATGTTCAACAAACATTGCATGGGTGGATGGACTGATGGGCAGATGAATGTGGAGAGATGACCTGCATATTTAAGTGCTAGAGAGCAGTTGCTATTATGTTTCAACAAAATTTCGTGTTTATATGAGCACCCTTGAAGAAGGAAATGGCAACCCACACCAGTACTCTTGTTTGAAGAATCCCATGGACAGAGAAACCTGGTTGACTACAGTCCATGGGATCACAAAGAGTCAGACATGACTGACGTGACTTAGCACACATGCACGCACAAGCATCCTAGAAAAACTTGCCTTTTGTATCTAAAGCAATGTATTTTAGTTAAAGCAACCTTCCTGATTTTTACCCTGGAAATGCTTTCCCTCGATTATGAAAAGGCAATAAAGTAGGGACTTTTTTAAAAGCTTCACCAGGCTCACCAGTTGTAATAAGATCTTTCAGCTGTGAGGTATTAAGTGAAACAGAAATGAGTAGAACTCTGTGAACACCGGTCTTACAGCAGGAGTTTTTCACAGCAAAACTGCTCTCCTGCTGAACTTTCTGGCTGGATAAATTCTGGCCACGTTCAACTCATGAGCTTCCTGCACCGGGTCCAGCCCCACTTCCATCATTGCGCTCACACACAGGCTCCTGCTGAATGGCCAAGGAGCTTCTAAGAAGCCCAAACCGGGGATGACAATCATAATGGCAATGCTGGTGTGAACTTAGGGACCTTCTAAGGCTATGGCTGTGCACAGCACCTCGGGGACAATTACCATGGTCACTGGTCTATATGTAGGAAAATAAAAGCAAACAAGAAAAGCTGAGCAACATAGAAAGAGAAATATGAACAGAAATGCCGATGGTTTCCTTGCTCTTCCTGCCTCCCTGGGTTCTGAAGAGCTAATGCCCAGCAGGACTCGAGACTGTGTGACATGCTTGTCTGTGTTAGCAAGGGTCCTTTGGTACCAAAGCCACAAGGGGCCAAAAGTTAACGCACACTTCTGGCATTACATTTATTCCATGTGTACAAGATTATCTATTTTCTGAGTATTATTTCAATTAAAATGAACAAATGAAGCCAGGGCACTTATTTTAATCTTTCAGCTCAAATAACCAGCTTCTTTGTCAACTTCCCCTGAGGAGGCCTGATGGGTTGAACCTTCTGTGGCCTCTTGGTCCTCCATGTGGATTTCTCCAGCCCCTGCCCACTCAGTGACCCTCCCCCGCTGCCTCCTATGTTCACTATTCAACCCCTACCTGCCCCTGAAACTCCTGCTTGCATGTGAGAGCCCACCAACCCTGACCTCTGTTAGCCTTGGAAGAGACGATGACAGGTGTTGCACCCACATCCTCTGATGAGCACCCAATGGCCACTTGATGCATCCATGGCCCACAGGCTGAATGAGAAGCAGAACCTGGGGCCCTGTGTCTATCCTGAGAGGCAAGTCTGGGGGTGCAGTCAGGAGGTCCCTGAGGGAACAGCCTCCAGCAGAGAAGGGGAGGCCTTGGACCTCAAGACGATTACACACAGGTGTTCCCACAAATGTGATTCCTACGTCACAAGACAATGTGGACACTGCCTGCCACCTGGTGACCTACTGGAGGCCGCTTACCTGTCAGAGTCCTCAGGTCTCACCAAGGTGTGGTGTGAATGCCCCCAGTGGTCCCCTCCTGCCTGCATCCTGCTCGGCCCCTCACCCTCTGTCTCTGGGGTCCCTCTCAAGAGTCTCCAGCCTCGGCCTCTCCCTGACCACCAGTTCCTCCCAATCTCGTCACGGGGGTCACAGGACAGTGGCTCCTGCCGTCTCACTCGTGTCTCCAGTCGTCTGACCTCTGAGGCTGGCAGATGCCTGTGATGCTCACATCCTGGCACAGCCCGCCTGGCAGCATCAGTGAGCTGGAAACCTCTTGGAGTTTCCAGAAAGCCCTCCACCAGGCGGGACGGGACTCCCAGGATTCCTGCCAACAGGATTCACGGCCCGAGCAGCAGCCGGCCCTGGTGGCTGAAGAGCCAGGAGGCTTCCTGAGCGGCTGCCCCCTGCCAATGCCGTCCCCCCCACCCGACCCTGACCCCAACTCAGCCCCTGGACCAGGCTGAGAGGACGCACATGACCCCTGGCCTCCAGGAATACCTTTACCCTGGGCCCTGCTCTGATCTGCTGCTCCCTCGGAGTCCAGCACTGCTCTGAAGAGGACAGCTCGACTGCTTCACACCCAGCACCCCCTCGCCCGAGCAGCCCCCAACACACTTGACCTACAAGTGAGGCCCAGGAGGTTCCCAAGAGGCCCAGCTCCACTCGCGGGGCCCAAGTGTTGCTTGAGCCTTGGTCCTGGTTGACCTTCACAACTTGAGCACGAGCCTCCTGTGTCAGCAGATCTGGGACCTGCGAAGATGGTGCCTCTCCCGAGAAAGCCCTCCTGAACCCGTGATGAGAGGCCAGGGCTCAGGCCGGTCACCAGGGCACCCACAGCCCCTCCAGGGCATCCGAGGATACTCAGGCCACAAGGTTGCAATCCTGGCCCTGCACACGCCCTCCTTCCTAGGGAGTCACTGTGGATGACAGAAATGCAGCGAAACCACAGGCTCGATTTTGTTTCTTATCCATGCACTGCTCTTCCAGGAGCCCGGACAGCCCTGAGCTACACCGGCCCTCTGGGTTTATAGGGAAGCCCTCCCAGGCGCAGCTATAATTAGAAATCAACTGAGGCAGAAACCCCAGTCTGGTCCTTGGCCAGGCTCCAGGGCTGTTAATTTAGGAAATCCACTCTCCTGACCCCGGCAGGCTGCCCCCAGGGCTGATCCTAAGTTCCGGCCTTTGTGTACACCTTCCCTGCCCACCTGGCAGGCGCAGGCCCGCCTCCCCACTCCCCGCCTGCCCCAGCTTGCTCCTTGCTAGAAGAAAACACCCAGGAGTTCACCGCCGGGTGGCTGGCGCTTTCATCTGGCCCCGTCCACTCGGGGTTTTCAACCGTAAACAGAGTTCTGAATGCAGGACTGTGTGTGTGGGGGAGTGAAGAAGGCAGGATTTGTGTCAAGAGATTCCAGAAAACTAGCCCCTCCCCAAAGCCACCTGACACTACTGGGGTGAGAGACAGGCCAACAGGGGTGCCATCCGGAAAGATCTTGGCCCCCAGGTCCCTGTCTCTATCCCCTGTCTTTCCCTGGTGTCCCAGGCAGTGGCGGGGGCAGGGGGTGTCCTCCCCAAACCTTGCAGCCTTTCCTGCTGGTCAGAGTTCACGTGTACACCCCTACTTCCTGGAAGGGATAGCTCCCCACAGCCTCCCTCAATCTGGGGTCACTCCTGCTCCCCCCGCCCACAACAAAAAGTCACTGTTGAAAAGCCAGTGGCTGTCCCTGCAGACCTGCTGTGTGTGTCAGGAACTTTACAGACAAAGCAGGACCAGCTGGGCTGAGGGCCTGGGATAGCGGTCGTCAGAACAACGAACAAGCACCAACTCTCATGGTCCCACCTGCTCCTTGTGGAGCTATTAGCAAGGGGAGGCCCCAGCCTGAGTGGCTGGTGGATTTAGACCCCTCCCCCGGGGACCGGCATCCCACTGGGCGCTTCTCCCAAATGCCTTGCTGAGCTTAGTCCTGCGGGTTTAGACAGAAGGTCCGGCTGCTCCACCCTCCCCTGACCCCCAACTTTCCCCTACGGTGACTTGTGGCCGCTTTTCTCCTGGGGCCGTGGGGACCCTGCATGGTAGACACGAGGTCCCCAGAACGGGAGCAGGCCTAGAGCATCAGGGCTGCAGCTCTAGCTATCTGCTCTGTGCCGGTGGGGACTGTGGGTTTCCATGACCAACGATGGTCACCACGGGGACTCGGGTGGGGGTGACCTTGGGGACTTAGTTAGGCCAGCTGACCTTGACTCTGAGTCACTGGTTGATTCTGGAAGCTTCTCCTCTACCCCAGCATCAGAACAGGGTGTGCTTTTGTCAGGAATTCAAACCCTGAGTCCAGGTGGGACAGCAGGGGCCCAGGTGTGGCCACCGGGGTGCAAGGGGCCTGGGCTCAGCTTAAAACCTTCCAGGAGGCCCCTCGGAGTGAACGTGGGGCTGGACAGGGCCTGGGATCCCGAGCAGCCCCCTGCTGATGAAGTGTGTCTTTCAGGTGACCCCTCGGGACAGGATGGCCCACAGGGAAAGCCGCACAGGGATGGCCTGGCTGCCTGTCCTGCTGGTAAGTGGCCGGGGCGCCCATGCCCCAGGGTATTGCTAGTGGGAGCTCCCATGTGGCCATGTCCTTCACTAGCCATGTCCCTCTCAGCCTGTCTGTGCAGCAGCCATGCGGTGGTCACACGCCACTGCCCCCACCTTCACCAGGCTCTCCAGGGCAAAGCCCTGACCAGGCCCCGCCAGAGGCGGTCACTGGCCTGAGAGCTCCCCTCACCCAGCTCTATGGTCTGTGTGGTGGTGCCCAGCCCAGCGCCCCGGTGCCAAGTTCCACCCCCTAGGCCACCGAACGGGGAAAGTCAAGCCCCGAGCTCCCTGTGAGCTGAGGCACCAGTGATTGGGGGCTGCGGGAAGGGGCCTCCCGGCTTTGAGGGGGAGTCCAGGGAGCTCCCGGTGCGGAGCGTTTGGGATGAGGCCTCTGACAGGCGAGGACTGCCAGGTCATTAGCGGAAGGGGTCCCCCCCAGGGTTCCTCCACCACAACCTCCAGGTGCCGACCGGAGACAGTGGGGGTCTCCAAGGGCGAGTGGAGGCCAAAGGAGCCCCTTCCTCGAGGCAGGCGTCCCTGGTGTGCTGGGCCGGCGCGGAGGAGGCCAGCTGTGGCGAGAATGAGTTCTACAACCAAACCACCGGACTGTGCCACGAGTGTCCGCAGTGCGCGCCGGGGGAGGAGCCCTACCTGGTAAGCCCGGCCCTGGAGCGCGGCCCCGCGGGGTGTAGGGAGCGGCCGGAGGACGGGTATCCCGCCCGCATGGCTGGCCGGGGTGGACCGCCCTCCTTTGGGAAGAGCTCTGCACAGACCACCTGCTAAGTGCTGGGAACCTGAATGTGGCTGCGGTGTTTGGGGTCCTGGCGCCAAGTGTGAACGCCCAGGGCCGTCAGCCTGGCCGGATGAGTTTATCCTGGCGCCAGCAGGAGGGGCAGCATCGGACCAGTGGGGGCAGCGGGGACCCCGGGCTCAGAGCAGATGGGGAAGGGCTGCGGGTAGGACAGTCCACGCCCCGAGAGAGGAGATCCTGGGAGCAAGCCGGTGCGACCGGCGCATAGGAAACTCGGGGTCGGGTGGTGGTTGTCATGGCAATGCAGCCGCTGACCCACCTGTGTCCCATCCTTCCCTGGCCAGTCCTGCGGCTATGGCACCAGGGACGAAGACTATGGCTGCGTCCCCTGCCCCGCGGAGAAGTTCTCCAAGGGCGGCTACCAGATCTGCCGGCGCCACAAGGACTGCGAGGGCTTCTTCCGCGCCACGGTGCTGACCCCGGGGGACACAGAGCGCGACGCTGAGTGTGGGCCCTGCTTGCCTGGGTGAGCTCCGTGTTGCCCTGCCCATGTCCCCCTCCCGGGCATGGGTCCCACGGGGAGGAGGGTCACACATCTCCAGCACTCGGGGTGGGGACAGGGTAGGGGGGTGGGGGTGGTAGGGCACATGTCTCCTGGTGGGGGTCCCACCACGTTCCACCTGCAGGGCAGCCCACCGAGGCTCCATGTCTGTGTCCCTAAGAGGACCTCATCATCATAGCATCTCTGACCACCCAAATCAAGCAGATGTGTTGAATACTTAAAAGGAGACAACACATGTGGAGAGAGGAAAGAAAAACCAAGATATTTTTGGTATTTTTAGTATTCTGGAAAAAACTGAGGGTGAAAAGCTACTAATATTTGTAGTCAAAGCTATGGTGTTTCCAATAGTCATGTATGGATGTGAGAGGTAGACCATAAAGAAGGCTGGGCGGCGAAGAACTGATGCTTTTGAACTATGGTGTTAGAGAAGACTTTTGAGAGTTCTTTGGGCTGCAAGGAGATCAAACCAGTCAATCCTAAAGGAAATCAACCCTGAAAATTCACTAGAAGGACTGATGCTGAAGCTCCAATACTTTGGCTACCTAATGGGAAGAGCCGACTCATTGGAGAAGACCCAGATGCTGGGAAATATTGAAGACAGGAGGAGAATGGGGGCGACAGAGGATGAGATGGTTGGATGGCATCACCAACTCAATGGACATGAGTTTGAGCAAACTCAGGAAGATGGTGATGGACAGGGAAGCATGGTGTGCTGCAGTCTAAGGCATCGCATGGGGTTGAAAAGAGTGAGACATAACTTAGCACTGAACAACAATAGAAATATTTGAGACATATGGTTCCTGTAATTCCTCCACAATTCTGTTGTGTATCGAAGTCTTCCCATAAAAACCAAAGTACAATTAGCCTGAAAGACATAGTCTTCCTTCAAGACAGCAGATTTCCTTTGGGAGGTGGAAAATATAGCCCTGAAACCAAGTGACTGCCTCCCTCTGGTGGCCACACAACCTGTGCTACCAAGGGTTGCAGAGAGCAGTGGTGTAGGCTTCCTGGTGGTGATAACGGTAGAGGTGATGGAGGTGGTTATGATGAAGGTGATGATGGCAATGGTCATGGTGATGATGGAAGTGGTGGTGGAGGTGGTCATGGTGATGATGGAGGTGGTGGTGGAGGTGATGATGGAGGTAGTCATGGTGATGATGGAGGTGGTGATGGCAGTGGTCATGGTGATGATGGAGGAGGTGGTAGAGGTGATGATGGTGGTGGTCATGGCAGCAGCAGCATTTTGAACACTGCACCATATCTTGTAGCTGGCTTGTCACCTGTTATTCACCCTCTCCGAACCACTGTATTGAATTAAGAGGAGATAGAAAATAAGAATATATCCAAACAAGAGCACTGGGCATTAGTCTATAAGAAAAAGGAAATTCAGAAAGACCCTCCAAGGGAGAAAGAAATTGAAAGTGAAAGACCCTTTAACACGAGGAGCTATCTTAAGCTTGCAGAAAATAACCTCAGTTCAGATATGTTCCTAGGGGGCCTCCAATTCCACCACCATCTCTGCTGTTGACTGACCCCACCCCCAGTCTCTCCAGGTTCCCGTCTTTGGTTCAGACCAACTTCTTGAGCTGCAGATTTCTGTCTGACAAGCTCTGACACAGAGGACAAGCCAAACGTTTTTGTCAAATAGGTGAAAAAAAAAAACAAACCCGTCTTAACAGCGAGCTGTCCACGTGCTTTCGTGTTGAGAAAGGCTGTAGAGGAGGCCGAGGGACAGAGCTCCAGGAGGCCTCCCCGGGTGTCGCCTCCCCCAGGACAAGCTTTCACTGACCATGTCCACTCCCTGCTGGCCCCCTAGGATGGGGTGAGGTTCATGGTGGCTTCTATCCGCCTGCTCAAGGGAGGGGAAAGGGAGCCTAGGAGCCCCCCCAAGGAAGCAGGTCTTTAGGGAGAAGCTATGTCCCCATGGATATGGAGGAAGATTCTAGAGGCCCCATCTGAACCTTAGTTTTTGTCTTGAGCTCCTCATCTTAATCAACCTTTGAGGAACAGGAGAAGAAAGAAAGAACTAGGGAAACACACAGTTTAGACCAGAATGTGGGAAATCTGGGCTTTACAGAAAGACAAAGGGCCCCAGAGCTCGATGTGAGTACCTGGCGTTGTACGTTGGATCGAGGGAAACCTGCTGAAGCTGCTGAACAGGCATTCACACCCCCGCCCGCCCAGGACAGGCCGAGTGAGCTTTGAAAAGAAAAACCCAACAATTGGATGGTTCTGTGCACTGCAGGTACCAGAAACCAGTGAGGGGTCGAATTCAGGCTCAGTTAGAGGATGCCCATGAGGGCTCCCAGAGGAACATGCTGGAACATTGCAAACCTGGTCTTGGGGTCGTTCAGCTCATCACACCGCTGGAGCTGGGCACCGCTCAGAGGACACCCTCCTGGGGGAAGGGCCTCTGAGCCAGAAAGACAGAGGGGAGCTGCAGGGTGGGGAGCAGCTTCACCCGGGAGCTTATGTGTGGGAGCCTTGGCCCCGTGGACCCCTCCCCCACCTTCCTGAGGTGCCCAGCACAGGCTGGGGGGAGGGATCAGGAGCAACCACCATCGCTTGGAAGCTGTGGGGGGGAAGCCTGGCACCCTGAGCAGGTGTTCCTGCAGGTGGCTCCCCGGGCAGCAGAGTGTGCATGTGAGCGCCTATGTGTAAACCTGCCTGGTGTGGCTCCTCTGGGGGGTGTTCTGAGATCGGCTAATTCCTGTTTACAAGACGCACAGGGTCTGAGGATGAAAGGCTCTGAGGAAGGGCAGGCAGTGATGGTCACAGCAGGATTACTGACGGTCTAGCCCTCGGAGGCTGGAGTCCAGGATCCCGCCCCCCAGCCTCACCCCCCTGTCACGGGGCCAGGCGCACAAGGCTGATAAACAAGAGATTAGAAAACAACCACAGGCAGACCCAGCCGAGGGCAGGGTCTTTTCATCTGGAGTTTATGAAGGGATAGCACTGCCAGCAGCTCTTTACTCACCGATATCTCCTGATGTAAACAGCTCGAGTGTTTATGGAACGCGGGCCCAGAGAGGCCGAGCCCTTTGGGGACTGGGAGACCTGAGTGGGCGCAGGCACGGACCTCTGGGAGGGCCCCGGGGGTGGCAGGGTCATGGCTGGCAGGCTGACATGGCAGGAGGGAGCTTCCTAGGTGTGAAGTCTTGTGGACAGCCATGCCTGAAGGCCTTGACCTTCTGGTAGAGATACAGCCCCATCGTGAGCTCACCGGATGCCCTTACCTGAGGAGGAGGCAGGTGACTCTGGTTGTGACCTGGCTGCATCTCAGGCCATCTGCCCTGACCATGCTAGACAGGGCCAAGGTCTCTGCTGCGGCCACACGCTCCAGTCAGCCCCACTCCATCCCAGTCAGCAAGTGTCCAGCTCTTCCAGGAGCTCCCAGGGGCTCCTAGACACCCCTGCCCATAACTGCGCCCAGCTTCAAACTGTGTCCTTGTGGGGGGGGGGGCACACCTCCTCCTTGGGGCCCCCACCCCATGCCTAGCTATGATGGTTAGAGAATAAGCCGTGGTCATGCCCGCTCACCTGTCTGCTCTGTCTACCCCCGCACCTGCACAGCTACTACATGCTGGAAAACAGACCGAGGAACATCTACGGCCTGGTATGCTACTCCTGCCTGCTGGCACCCCCCAACACCAAGGAATGTGAGTGTCTGCCCCGTCCAAGGTCCTGACCAGCCCTGACACCTCTCCTAGCTTGGGAGCCACGAGCTGGCTCTGGACCGCGGGGACACAGAGATGCTCCCGAGGGCAGGCGGGTGGGCAGCAGGTCCCTGGGAGCTGGGGAGGATTGGGTGGCAGAACCATACATCAGACGGGGGCTGACACCAGTTGAGGGACCTCTGTAAGCCTCAGTTTTCTGGGGGTGCTAAAATCTGAACCATTCATCTCTTGCGATCCGGGCAAACACCCACAACGCCAAGGTGTTTTGGTGAGAACTGCAAAGCACTTGGCACTGGTAAGTTCTCACACATGTTGTTTCAACCAGCCGAGGCCAAGGGAAGCCTGCAGAGGACCACAGGGAACATGATGTAAACACTGAGGCCGTCGGTTTGGCCTCACCTCTGGCTGCCTCCTTCCCACCCTAACTCTGGTTTGATGCTCGTGGGTCCTATTTAGGAGGAAGGTCTGGGGACCCCCTGCATCAGAGAGGGTGGCGGATGGCCTCCTGGCTCTGTGGTCAGGAGACACGGATGAGGTGGGACAGGTGGACAGATGGAAGACAAGACAACTGGGAGGGAAGGAGGAGTCTGGTCAGCACCGGGACCCCCCCTCCCACACCCGGGAGTTCCAGGGTCCACATTGGGGCCCTGCCCTCCTGGTTCTCCATGAGACCCTGCCCTCCCCATCTTCTCACAATATCTTGTCAAGGAGACAAGACTTTTAGGAGGGCCTGCTTCCTAAAAGCACCAGGAGGAAGGGAGGAGGCCGAGAGGAGACAGTAGTGCCTTTCTTGCCTTGAGATCCGCTGGGAGAGATGTTCCAGGCAGCAGAGCTGCGGGCAGCAGGGGCTGTGAGGCAGGACTGACGCCTGCATGGAAGGCATTCCCTCCTTCCCACAGTCCCTAAGCAGATGAACCTGGCAAGGACAGTTTGTAGGTCTTTAAAGCTGAGCTTTCCCACCCAGCCAGATGCTAATTAATTCATAAATTAGAGGAGGCCCAGGTTTCCCTGGTGGCTCAGTGGTGTAGAACCCGCCTGCCAATGCAGGAGACACAAAAGATGCGGGTTCGATCCCTGGGTCAGGAAGATCCCCTGGAGGAGGGTATGGCAACCCATTCGAGTATTCTTGCCTGGGAAATCCCACGGACAGAGGAGCCTGGTGGGCTGCCATCCATGGGGTCACAAAGAGTTGGACAGACTAAGCAACTGAACACACAGAGGCCCGGGGCTGCCCGCAGGACGTGGGGCGGCTGGCTTCGATCCTGGCCCAGGGAGCTCTGGGATGCAATCCTGTCCTGGAAGACACTAGACACCCCTACCCACTAACGATGGAATGTTGGGTTCATGCAGCTCCTCCCCATGGAACTTCATCTAAAAGGTCACGGGGCCTGTGTCCTTATTCAGGCCAGACGGTGCTAGCCACCCGCAGCCAGAGAGCTCTCAGCCTGGGAGGAGCCCCCTTCTCTCCTCCAACATGAGGCCCATTGTGTGGAGGAACAAGCAGAGTCCCTGGCCCCCAGCCCATAATTAACTGCTTATCTAAAGAGCAGCCCCAGCCAGACCCCTGGGAGCTCACAGGATCCGGTCCTAAAGAAGCCCAGTAAAGAAGTGAGGCGGAGCCCAGTAAGGAAGTGAGGCTGAGTCCAGGAACCTGGAGTCCTGCTGGACAACCTTGGAAGTCACTTGACCTCTGTTTGTCCATCTGGGAAATGGGGCGATGCATTCAGCGAAGCTTCACAGGCCGATGTGGGGAGTGGAGACTGCTTGGGTCGTGGTCTCCAGGGTGGGCTCCGCCCCTCACTCTGCACTCACCTTCCATCCTGGGCTCCTGCTCAAGGGTCAGCAGACAGGCCTGAAAGGCCGACTGTGACCAACTGACCAGCTGCCGGGAGGCCCAGTCTAGGAAAACCAGGGGTCAGTCAGGTCTCTGGGCCCTAGGGCTGCCCTCCTAGGCCCAATGTCAGGGGTCCCGAGCCCCTCTGCCTCCCGCCTGGATGCTGCCTCTAGTTGGATGTGATTACCTTGGCTGCCCCCCAAAAGTCAGCCCCCCAACACCCCAGGTTGCTGACAGTGGACCCTACAGGTCACATGAGAGAGCATGGTATGGACCCCACATCTCAGGGCTGGAGCGGCCAGGCCCTGAGAAGATGTCCTGAGGCCAGAGCCCTGGGCTGCTCCCCCTTCCTGGTGTGCTGTGACCGCTGGAGAAGTGCAGAGTGGGACCTCGTGACAGCGTCCACTCCTGGGGAGATCCTTGACTGGGCACAGCTTCCTCATCCACCTGCCCGTCCAGTGTTGTGGGCAAGAAGGTGCCCGAGGAGCCCGGTTCAGGGCAAGTTCACTGCCTGATGGCCTGTGTGCAGCACGGACGCGGCAGCAGGCACCTTCCTCTCCAGCCAGGGTCAAGGAGGAGCTGTTCCAGGGAAGGAGGCCTGGAGCCAAGTCCAGAAGCACCAGCCAGTCCATCCTCACGCCCCCTAGTGGTACCATGAGGAGGTGACGCCTTGGCCCCCGCAGCCAGCTGAATTCCTGCTGTTTCTGAGACTGAGTTTCTTCGCCAGTTGTGCACATCTACCGCTCGCTCCTGTCACGCACATATCAGCAGATCCCGGGGCCCGAGATGCATCCCCTGTGAGCAGCTAGGCCCTGACGGCTCTGCAATCGCCTCAGCCTCCGCACCAGGGCCACCCTGTAGGAATCCATAAATTGTCCTTAAAAATCCAAGCTGTTACCTACATGGAGGAGCCCAGGCTGGACTCTAATACAAACCATTGCCCACAGCCCGTGAAGTTTAACAGACCAGGGACCCCAGTGACTCCTGCGTCCAGCCCTGTGCCTGGAGCTCAAAGACCCCGGAGGACAGTGGACGACAACTCACTGCCCCCCACCCCACCCTACCCCCACCCCCCATTCCCCCAGCCAGCTCATGAGTCATCGCTGCTGAGTAGAACTTGCTCTGTTTGCCAACAGACCTTGTCTGTTCTGTCCAGCCTCGCCCACCCTTGTTACAATATGCCTCTCTTTGCTCCTTCAGAGCTGGGCTCTAAGAGGAAGCCTTGTGGACAGGGGGCAGACCCGGCAACCACTCAACACCTAGGGACATTCTCACCTCAGCATCCAGCCCAGGAGACACATGCTGGATGGACCGAAACCTCCCAACACCGAAGACCCATGCTGGTGCCCAGTGAGCCCTCACGGGGCCGCCCAGGGCCCAGTGGGGCTGTCCTGAGGGCTCAGCCCACAAAGGTGCCCCCCTCTGCCACACAGCACCGTCCACTGTCAGATGTGCTCAGAGCGGGCCTTGTGTCTCCTGGGGTTCGCGAGGAGCTCGGGGCTGCGCAGGCAACGCCAGCTGGAGGCCCCTGGGGAACCACAAATCGGGGCAGAGGCCAAGCTGCCACCTGATGGGGTGCAGGCGCCCGAGGGTGCAGGGATGTGTCACTGTGTGCCAGCCCTGCCCATCGGGGCAAAGGCGTTTCGTAAGCCTGGCCGCTGGCAGCTTGAGCTGTCTCTAGACCACAGGCCCGGGCGTGTCTGTGTCCCCAAGCCTGTCACCGCCCCATGGGCAAGCCCAGCCGAGAGGGACAGGAACAGACAGAGAAGGCAGACACCCACACACAGAGCCCACGGGCGTTTGTCTTCCTGAGATGTGGCTTCAGCTGCCCCAAGTCCCTCGAACACACAGGTCGGTCTGGTTCCCAGGGAACAGTCTGTTTTTGAGAGGAAACTGGCTGGTGCTTGAAGCTGCCCTGTGAGAGAAGGCAGAATCAATTGAGTCCCGCTTAAATCTCATTTCAGTTATGAGATGCATCGTAAACTGGGGGGTGGGTTGGAGAAGGGCTGAGGAAGGTCCATCTGGGCTCTGGACACACGCGGGAGCCCAGGAGAGGAGGAAAGACCGCCCGGTGTCCCTCCCCACACCGCCCCTGCCACCTGCTGTCCCCTCACTGCAGCCCCTACATGGGCTCCGGGCGGTCCTGGCAGGTCCGTGCCCCAGGCTCCGGGGATGTGAAGGGCCGCCATGGCCCCCACGCCCTCAGCCCCGCCCTCTTGTCAGGAGCGCTAAGACTCACCCAAAGGCCTGCCCTCTGCAAGCAGGCAGCGTGGGGAATCGGCCTCCCTGCTTGCTGCATGTGGAGAGCTGGGGGCAGCCCCAACAGTGATGGAGGGCAAAGGGCAAAGGCCAGGAGCTCAGAGGGTGAAGGGGCTGGGCTGTAGGAGCCAAAATCTCCAGCCAAGACGCCTCTGGTCTGGACATCAGACCAGCCGGCAGCATTCCAAGGATGAGCAAGGCCACCCTGGTGGGGGGAGCGTGGCTGAGGGGACTGTGTGCCCCCACCCTCAGCAAGGCCATCCTGGTGTAGGGGAGCATCTACCGGACCGTGCCCCGCCCCACCCCCTCAATGCTCTCCAGGCAGGGTTCATTTTCTAACAGAAGCATGGTCACTTGGGGGCAGTCCCAGCCTGCCATCCTTCCTGGCCTCCGCCCTCTGGTATCTGTAGTTTCCTGCCGACTTTAAAAGGCGAGAAGGTCAGTTCCCCGTCTGCTTGCTGGACATGGACAGACGGGGACGATTCAGCCGGGAGTCCCCCAGCCACCATCCCTGGAGCTGTGATATAGAAATTTGCTCTCCCCAGAGGCCCCACGGGGCACTGCCCAGGTCCAGGTCCCACAAGGCAGGGAGGGCCAGCCTTGGACGTGGGGCTCACTGTCCCCACTCAGGCAAGCCTGTGGCATGAATGTCCCCAGACCCAGAGAGAAAAGCAAGACAGGAGGAAACATGAGAACAAGACCCTCCTTGTGTGTGTGCGCTAGGTCGCTTCAGTCATGTACGACTCTTCACAACCCCATGGATGGTAAACAAAATGAGATCCTCCCTACTAACCCCAAACCTCAAATCCTGCCTAAGAAAGGCCCACCATCAGGCGACTTGATAGGACAGCCTGCCTGTGGCTCAACTGACCACAGAACCAGATTCCAAGTCATCCTTGCTGGGAGACACCTCTTACGATGGAGCCGAGTTTATGAATCATGGTTAAAGGGAAGGAAACCTCATCTCTGTTCTAACACCGTTTGGTCACAACTATTTTAGAAACTTGTCAAAGGAAAATCCTGGAGAAAAATGCATCAAAATGTCAACTCTAGACCTCAAGGCTGTGGGTGAACCTTTTGCTTCACTCATGTTCTGATGTTTTCCCTATGTTTTATCATGAGTGTGTATTAAAAGTATTAACAGTCTATCCCTGTTTGATCAATGGAAGGAACCACTCTGGTGTCCCCCCAAACTCACATGCGCACTTGCCCCACACCTGCTCATGGGGACCAAGTCTGAATCTTGGACTGAGCAAGTGTGACCCAACGTGTTCAGTGTAAGGAGCAAGGACCCGGAGAGGTTAGGGGCTCTCCGGGATGAAGGTGCCCCTGGCCCAGCCCTTTCCTCATGAGGATCTTCCTCACGAAGACTCTGGATCCCTGGGGCCGGGGTTCTCCCTGCAACCCGTGCTCCGTCTCTGAGGCTGAGGCGATGGGGCTCTCTTGAGGGACCCACGATCGGTCACCACTGTCCCTGCAGGTGTAGGAGCCGCCTCAGGAGTTTCCGCCAACTTCCCCCGCACGCCTGGCAGCAGCACCCTGTCCCCGCCCCAGCTCGCCCACAAAGGTAAGTGGGGGCGCAGGTACAGGCCCAAGAGGGAGATGGGGGTGAGGGGAGACAGGCGACTAGCAGGACGGGACCTCCTACCTCCCTCACATCCCTCACGTGACAACCACACTGGGAGTTAGTGATTTCTCTGCGAGAGGGGACCAGTCCCTCCACGGATGGTGGGGTCACGGGGACCACGTTGGTGATCCGGGCACACGAGGTGGGGGCCAGAGGGAGGTCAGCCCCCGGGGCTTCGGGCCTGACTCAGATGAGTCTTGCTGGCTTTAAGTAAACCTGCTGATCTCACATTTCACTCAGCCCTAAGTCCTCAGGGGTGGGGCCGCAGGGCCCTGGCCTCACTTTTTCTCGAAGAAAAACTGGGTGTTAGGCCCTCCCTCGCACTGCTCCCACTCCACCCAGCTTGAAAGCACCTTCGGGCCCAGGTCTTGGGCTAAGGCACCTTCAGAGTCCCAGGGCACAGCCCGCCAGCTGGACCCCTGCCCGCATCCACGTGGAGCATCAGGGCAGGGCCTCCGCTGAGGTTCTAGACTCACTTCTTTCGGGACAGAGGTGGCACCCCACAGACGAGGGGAAGACAGCAGGTCCACTCAGACCTGCTTCCAGACACACCCCACCTGGGGGGACGTGTGCCCACTGTCTACTCAAAGCGGGGAGACTTCCTCAAGGTCCAGACACCTGGATGGGGTCCCTCCCATCTGGGTGGGGGGCTGGATCCTCCTCAGTTCCCTCAGAGCATCAGGACAGGTCTCCCTTCCTGGGGACATGCGGGTGGGCCACTGAGCAGGGGAAGCAAGGGGTGGTCCCCATGCTGTCTCAGCTGGTGGGCCCTGATCACACAGAGCCCAAGGCCGCATGAGATGCTGGAACCAACCCGAGAGCCTGCCCTTGGAAGTGATGCTTCTACCTGGCCTTTGTGGGGGAAAGTCTTGGACTAAACTATCTTCAAGACAGTTTAGCTCGTGGGCCCCCTCCCTCCAGTCCACCTGCTGGGTCCCCAAAGAAACAGAACTGATGGCAAATACCCTGGGAGCAACCTTGGTATCTGCCGCTGCTGACCAGCATGGGGCTGGACTGGTGGTGGTCCCGATGTGACAGCCAGAGCAGGTGTATAGGGCTCGGTGCTCGGGCGAAGCCAGCGTTTTGAATTCCAGGGCCACTGCTCACCGGGCCACCGCCTCGCGGGGCAGGGGGGCCTGATCCCTGAGTCATGGGCTTCTCTCCCAACCACAGCAGAGCTCTCGGGCCAAGGACACCTGGCCACCGCCCTGGTCATTGCCATGTCCACCATCTTCACCATGGCCGTCGCCATCGTCCTCATCATCATGTTCTACATCCTGAAGGCCAGGCCATCCGCCCCAGGTACCGCCTCGCCCCCCACACCCCTCACCAGCCCCCTCCCCCTGACGCCAGCTGGCCACTCATGCCCCCTGTCCCCTCAGCCTGCTGCCCCAGCACCCCCGTGAAGAGCCCAGAAGCCCCCGTGAGCGAGGAAGAGGAGAAGAAAGAGGCGCAAGGTGGGCAGCAGCCCCTGGAGCCAACAGTAGGAGGTGGGGGGCTGGAGCATGTCCCCCTCCCACCCCTAAGGAGGCCAGGCCCTGACGCCCCCTCCCCCTCCCACCCCCACAGACAACGTGGTGATCTTCTCCGAGAAGGATGAATTTGAGAAGCTCACGGCGGCTCCAGCCAAATCGGCTAAGAGGTGGGTCAGGGAGACAGCCCGGCCGAAGCGGGGGTGGTCTTTGGGGTCTGAGCAGGAAGGGGAGCTGGGCCTGTGGGGGCCACAGGGTAGGGGCGGTGGTCCAGGGTTCTCAGCGCACGCGCCTGCCTGCTCTCCCCTGGGACCTGAAACCGCTGGCTGTTGGCTCCATGTCTCGGCCTCCAGCCGGCACTGGGTGGAGCTTGGTCTCTGTCAGCCAGTCACCAGCACATACAGTCCTTTGTTCTTAAATAAGTCTTCAGCCAAACCACAGGAACTGAGTGGAGTGCCTATAAAGTTGTTTATCATCTGTGTGGAATGATTTTGGGGGGATGACTAGGGCCATGGCCCCGGGCGAGGGACAGGGTGTGACTGGAGCCCACCTCCTGTGGGGTATCCCGAAGGCCCCCTCCTCCCCAAAGGGGGTCCCCATCACTCTGGGCGTCTGCATCCTGAACCCCGCTCCTCCTCAAAGGGCGTCCCCGTCACTCTGGGCATCTGCCAGACCTGGTGCTGCTGGAAGCCCGTCTGCTCGGTGCAGATTTGGGCCTGCAGAGCGGCGTCTCTCCACCTTGCAGTCTGTGCCCGAGCCTCTAGGGAAAGCAGGGACAGGTCTCGGCGCCCACGGTCCCCACCCCTGGGGCAGCGGGCCAGGCTGGCTGGCACAGCACCTGTAACTGTGGTCCTGTCTCTGCAGCGAGAATGACGCCTCATCAGAGAAGGAGCAGCTGCTGAACCGGAGCCTGGACAGCGACGAGGAGCCGGCCCCAGATGGGCAGGGCCCCCCGGAGCTGTGCCTGCTGTCGCTGGTCCACCTGGCCAGGGACAAGTCAGCCACTGCCACCCGGGCGGCCGGGGTAAGGCCCGTGCCCGACTCTTCCACAAACGCCGCCTTCTGCTGAATGCGCTCTGCCAGCGCTGGGGGTTTCTCCCTTGGGCCTCAGCAGAAGACAGGTTCAGAATCTGAGACTGAAGACAGGGAAGTTAGTTCTCTTGTCATACAGCTTGAGAGAAGAAATGAAGAAATAGCCAAGAGAAAAAAGGTTAAATTGCTGGGAACAGCATGGGACAGCAGAATCCCTTGTAAATGTATTGGAATAGGACCAACCAGACAAGACACTCATGTGGGCACATGCGTGCATGCACACACACACACGCACACACACACACACACGCCTGCTGCCCAAAGGCTGGGCGTGCACCGCGTGGGGGCCAAGATGCACCATGAGGGGTCACTGTCCCCACCTGGGCCTGTTAGCTCTGCTCCTGGCATCACTGCTCACAGTGAAGGTGCCCAGTTGGAATTGCAGTGGTCGGGTCTTGACAGTAATGTGCCCTGGTGCCCAGTTCACTGACCGCTGGGGGTGGGGGCTGTGAAGTTGTCCAAAGAGGGTGGCTCCAAGGGGCCTTGTGCACCCGCCCCCCCTACCCTCACCCCAGGCCCCCAGCTGCCCGCCCTGCAGGGAGAGCATTGCATTGCTCTGTGGCTGCAGAAACCCCCACCCCCACCCCCTGCTGAGCTGGGCCGGAGGGTCGGTCCTTCTGGAGAGACTGAAGCTGGTGAGGCCGGATGTGGCCTCTGGTTGTCTGTGAGTCTGAATGTCCAGTGGAGCGGAGAAGCCCCATGGACACTGAGGGCGCTCAGCCGGGTGACCCCAGGGAGGGCTTTCTTCTGTGAATGTGACAGACGTTCTGGCGAGGATGTGGCTCAGCATTTCTGACACGGAATCAGGAAGGGGCCCCGCTGACATGGAGATGGAAGACGTGGGCCTGTGCTGCTGACACCCCCTTTCTGAAAATTCATACTCTCTTAGCTTTTTCTGGGCTTCCCTGGTAGCTCAGTTGGTAGAGAATCTGCCTGCAATGCAGGAGACCTTGGTTCAATTCCTGGGTTGGAAATATCTGCTGGAGAAGGGATAGGCTACCCACTCCAGTATTCTTGGGCTTCCCTGGTGGCTTAGATGGTAAAGAATCCGCCTGCAAAGCAGGAGACCCGGATTCAATCCCTGGGGTGGGAAGATCCCCTGGAGGAAAGCATGGCAACCCACTCCAGAATTCTGGCCGTGGACAGAGGAGCCTGACAGGCTACAGTCAATGGGGCCACAAAGAGTTGAACATGACTGAGCAACTTTCACTAACTTTTTTCACAGATTCAGAGTCGAAGGAAGAAGATACTGGACGTGTATGCCAGTGTGTGTGGTGTAGTGGAAGGTACGGGCAGGTGTGGGGCCCTGACTCCCCAGGGAGCCGCCAGCACTCTGGGCGCCCCAGGAGAGGCTGAGAAAACCCCCTCCCAAGTTGCTCATCAGAGTGGGGGTTGGGGGGGGCAGGCCAATGGAGGTGTGGGGGGACGTGTGTTTCAGTTTCTCTCTGCTGTTCAGGTGAGTGATGTCTGTTCTGCCATCCAGCTCACTAACTCATCCCTCTTCATTCTGCCATGGAGCTCATCAACTGAGCTTTAATCTCGATTGTTACCTTTTTCAGTTCCAACATTTCCATTTGGTTCTCCTTTATATTTTCTATCTTTTGTTAAGGTTTTCTTTTTTTTTTTCATTTGTTTCAAGTGTGTTTGTAATTACATGCTGAAGCACTTTGATCACGACTTCTTTACAGTCCTTGTCAGATAACCTAACATCTCTGTTATCCTTGTCGGCATTTACTGATGGTCCTTTTTCATGCGTTTGGGGTCTTCCTGGTTCTTGGTGTGATGAGTGACTCTCTTTTGAAACCAGAACAGTTTCACGTGACTCTCTGAGACTCGGGGTCTCAACTGCACCCTCTGCGCAGCTGGTTTCCTCTGACACACCTGGGCTGAGGGGGGGTGCCCCCGTCACCCCCAGGCAGCTGTGGATCTTTGAGCCCAACCTGTGCAGGGGTGTGGGTGGACATCCGCTGCTCCGAGTGGTCTCTACCAACACCGTGGTGGCGGGGAAGCCTGTGACCAGCTGCCGGATGAGGAGGAAGCCAGGGTCCCTGCCTGGCCTCCGGGGGTGGACCTAGGCTCCCATCCCACTTTGCTGGCATTGGAGGGAGTGGCACCAGGGTTGTCCTATGGCATTTTGCTGTATGAAGGCAGATACTGTCTGTTTTCTTCTTGGGAGGAGAGCATTCCACCTGTGCTGGTGGGTTGTCAGCTGTACTTAGCAGGAGGAAGAGGGGAGAGCGTGGAGTGAAACACTTCCTGGCTGAGTCTAACATATAGCGGGGGCCAAGGACTGCTAGGGCAATGGCTCAGGTGACCCAGGCAGGACTGTCCTCGGAGCACCTTTTAAGAATGACTCTGGTCCCCTAAAGGGACCTGATACTGGGAGGGTCACCTGAATAAGTTGGCCACGTCCAGTGGAGCTGCTGGGGTCAGGGGAACAGACAGGCTTCGAGTGTGGCTGGCAGTGTCCCAGGAGTTGTTCGCCTGAGGCATGCATTCTGTGTGGTTTTCTGCATTTGTGTTATATTTTACGATTTTAAAAAAGGTTCTAGAAATTCTGTTCTAGGGTGTCACGCTTCTGCTGACGTCTGACATGGCCCTTTGTCCCTCAGGCCTCAGCCCCACAGAGCTGCCCTTTGACTGCTTGGAGAAGACCAGCCGGATGCTCAGTGCCACGTACAACTCGGAGAAGGCGGTGGTGAAGACGTGGCGCCACCTGGCCGAGAGCTTTGGGCTCAAGCGGGATGAGATCGGTGGCATGACGGACGGGCTGCAGCTGTTCGACCGCATCAGTACGGCTGGCTACAGCATCCCCGAGCTGCTCACCAAGCTGGTGCAGATTGAGCGGCTGGATGCCGTAGAGTCCCTGTGTGCAGACATCCTGGAGTGGGCGGGGGTCCCGCCGCCCGCTGCCCCGCCACCCCCCGCATCCTGAGCAGGGCCGCAGTTCCCAAGGCCAGGCTGTCTCCTCTGCACACCAGAGGTACCTCACTGGTCCAAGGAACAGGAGGACACAGGCCTGTCTCCCAGTCTAACCAGATAGAAGATCCGTGTGGACATGAGGTTGCGCTGGCCTCACCAGGCACAATGGGTCGGTGCGCATTTATCCGGCCCACCCCAACGTGCTCCTCCACGGACGTGGTTGGCACCGCCCGGCGTGCACCAGCGGTGCCTGGAGGACATAGTGAAGCCTGTCTGTCCTGTGGGGAGTTCACTGCCCCAGGAGACTTACTCTTCTGGAAGACGGCACACAGCCCAAGGGGATGTGGGAATGGGGGCACAGTTTGGGGGAGCTGCTTCCCCGGGGGGTGGGGTGGGGGCACCCCATGAAGAACGCAGCTCTGAGGTTGGGAAAAGTCTGCAGAGGCACCACGTCCTCCTGCTCCAGGCTCAGTGTGGGTCTGCACCGCCTGCGGGACCCTGGGCTCACTGTCCCCGCGGCCCTTCTGCCTGCAGGATGCCTGCCCCCCACGGATGTCCAATCAAGGGCAGCCTCCTGACTTCACTCACTGCTGCACAAGTCCAGCCTCAGGACCCGGGGTCCCTGAACTGCCTCTGCTTTCTTTCTCAAGTGGACTGGACCCTCTGGGGCAGTAGTGCTCAGGGACACAAGTCACTTGCTTCAAACAGAAATGAGTGGTTGGCTCTGCTGGGAAAGGGAAACACGGAATCCTCAGGCTCCAGAGGGCCTTGGACAGGGATGTGCCTCGTGGGCCTCCCAAGCCCCTCAGGGAACGTGGGGTCTGTAGCCAGGGGGACCTGGTCTGCTTGTGCTAACAGGGGCCGATTTCTTCCCTTCCCAGCGCTCAGTTTGTTTCTCTTCTGCAAATAAGAGGTTATTCTGTGATTCTAAGTCAGAGTAAAGTTGGGGCGAGCAGACCTGAAGGGGGTCTGGAGACCATGCCAGGCCTTCCACGGATGTGAGTGTACTGTGAACCGTCCGGGGAAACGGGAATGGAAACAGAACTGAGTTCTCACTGTAACTTCAAGTGTCTGGCAGACACTGAGAGAGGGGCTTAACAGCCTTGTTCTGGCAAATTCCCTGAGGACATCTGCTGTGGCCAGAGCCAGGAACCAGGGGTGATCATGCAGGTTGAGGGTGGTTAACTGTGAATTCTCTGCTCAGCCCCCAGGGACACACCTGGCCCTGGTTATTCCTAAATTGAAACCAGTTTCTGGCTTATACTTTTGTGAAATGACGAGTCCCATGACTGACAAATGCTTCTGGGGAGGAAACCAGGTGTATGCGGAGGGCAACACACAGCCTCCCACCCCTGAACGCAGAACATGCCGGCCATTTAACACCACTGTTGTTTGTGGTGTCAGCCTGCTGTGCCCCCGCAGGGGACACACACACACAACCTGGTTACCCTCTGTCCCCGTGGCCCCTTGGCACAATCCCGGCTCTGTGATGCTGCTGCTGCTGAAGCCACCTTCTCTGAGGCTGCTGACATCAGAGGAGGCGGAGCGGGCGGCCACAGGGCCAGCGGCACCAGGCCTGTCTCGGGGGCTCAACCCACCGTGTGCAGGGAGTTCGCCCTGACGGTGACTCAATCCTTTGTCATCTGCTCACTTGGAGACAAACCCAGGCAGGGGTCACTCTGGAGGGCTTGAGCCTACATGACAGGTTCAGACCACTGAGTCTACAGGGACTCTCACCGAGCAAAGCTGGGCTCCCCCTGCTGTCCCGTGTGGCCACAGCCACTGTTCCTGCTGAAATAAACACACTCAGAAAATACCCCGGCCAGAGCTGTGGGCCCTGGCCAGTGGAACCTTCATTGTCAGTGTTTGTGTCTAGGTCTGTTTATATAACTTATTATGTTTTATAATTTCAATAAACTAATAACAAGAAGACCCCCGGCTTCCAGGGATCAGCTGGGGGAGGTGGCGGGGGCGGGGGGTGTGGGTAGGCAGGTCTGTGGCTCTGCTCTTGGCTGTCACCTGTGTGTGATGTGCTATGGGAGTCCCATCTGAGGCCAGCGGGGGTCCCAGCTGGCTTCGTCCCCCCTGACAAGGGCTGCCTGCCTGTAGTGGGAGCCAAGGGGTTGGAGCAGGAGCCCAGGCGGGCACTGCTGCTCCAGTGGTCACCATCCAGCCAGGCTACCCAGCTCTTCCCTGACTTGGGGAAGTGAAAGTCGTTCAGTCATGTATGACTCTTTGCAACCCCGTGGACTGTAGCCTGCCAGGCTCCTCTGCCCATGAATTCTCCAGGTAAGAATACTGGAGTATTCTCTAGTTCCCTTCTCTAGGGGATCTTCATGACCCAGGGATTGAATTCTTTACTGTCTGAACCATCAGGGAAGCCCTAACTCATGGAAGACCAGCCATAGAGACAGCGGGACAGGAGGAGGCCTGAGAAGGGGACAGAGGGGGCGCCTGTAGACACCACAGGTCGGGGGACCACGCGAGGACCAGAGGGGCTCAGGGAGTTCTGTGATGACATAGCCGAGGGTCCACTGCAGGGCGGCAGTGAGAGCAGGTAAAGAGCAGAGGGGCAAACACAGCTTTTGAGAACTCCTACACAACAGGACCTGTGCCTCGGGGCCACCAGCAAGAAGACAGCCCGCTCTGGCAGTCTCCCTGGTGTCTTAAGATCGCAGGGCCTGAGCATGGCCAGCAGATGCCTGGGGCGGCCACCTGCCTCCCATCCTTTCTGCTGCCCAGGGTCCTCCCACCTGGAATCTCCTCAAGAGTCCTGTGCCGGGTCACCATGACTCTCGCCCCCATACTCAAACACAACCTTTTGTGTGGTCACGACATACACACACCCTGTGTCCCGAACCTGAACACGGCAACTCAGAAGCTGTCAGCACAGGCTCACCTTCTAGATGAATAAACTGTGACTCAGAAGGGCTGTGTTCAGGGTCGCAGCAATTTCCAGCCCACCTGCCGCTTCCACAGCCAAGAGGCTGGCAGGGCCATCCAGACACACCAGCTTCACCAGCATCCTGGCGGGTCGTCCACACACACCAGCCTCACCAGCATCCTGGCAGGGAAGCAGTCACACTTAGAAGGACCAGAGGCACTTCCACACCCTCCAGGGCTCCCCAGGGCAGTTAATTCAGACTCGGTGGCGGTGGGGAGGGAAAGGACTCTTTAAAGCCCACCCTGGTGACTGCGATGTGCAGCCCAGACCGAAAGCTCACTGCTTTAGATGAGGGACTGGGAAGTGGGACACAAAGGGTCACCCACCCTCAGCTCAGCTGCGGAGTCACTGAAGGTCAGACCATGGCGGGGGCACACCTGTGTGTTCCTACACACGCTCCCTGTGCATTTACATATGTGTAAAATTTTAAACATGAACAAAAATACTTTCAAACAGCAGCAGGACATTAAAAATAGAAACAGGAGTTCTGTTTTCTTTCTGCATCCCCTTGTGTTCCCCATACCGCAACACCCCTTAGACGTGCACCCTCATGGGAAAGTGTTTTAGGCACATTGAACACAGCTCTTCAGAGTTGAGTCTCACTCACTTGTTTATCATTTTCTTTGTTATTTCATCTTGCCTTTTAGACTTTCTGAAATCATTTTCTTCCTCCTGAAGTATGTCCTTTAGAGGTTTAGGTGGAGCTTGGTGGTGGTAAATGTTTGGTTTGTCTGAAATGTCCTGGAAAGGGTGATGATAAGGACGCCTCGCAGATGGCTGTGGGGAGTCACCCACCTGTGCTGCCCTTTCAGCTGACCTGTCTTCTCTCTTGGCTGCATGTAAGCGTCTGCTGGTCTTTGGTGTCCTTCCGATTCTTCCAGTTTGATGTTTCTAAGGAGCGATCTCTTTGCACCTGTCTTGCTTCTAGTTCATTTCACTTCTTGAACTGGAGAGTTGTGTTTTCCATCCTTCTCGTTTTATCCCCAGCCATGGTTTTCTCAGATCTCTCTGTGGCATTTTCTCCTGCTGGAGCACATTTACACGTGTGTTAGATCCTTTCATGCTTCATCCTCCACGTAAGAGTCTTCTAGGTTTTTCTTGCTTTCCTACAGGCATTCTGCATAATTACTATGACCAATTCTCCTTTTAATCTTATCTGTTGTCTGATTTCAATAGTTACATTTTCATTTCTGTAAGTTACTTTCTGAAAACTTCACAGTCCATTTTGTTAGTCTCTTGTCTCTTCTTAGTACCTCTAGCCATCTTGTTTCTTTGAACCTAGCTAACATGGCTTATATTCCACTTTGGTATCTCAGCTGCTCTCTTCAACAGTCCAGTGTCACTGAGGCAGGGTCCCACACGCTCTCTGAAGACTTGTTGTTTAGTCACTAAGTCATGTCCGACTCTTTGTGACCCCACAGACTGTGGCCTGGCAGGCTTCTCTGTCCACGGGAGGATAGAGGAGGCAAGAATACTGGAGTAGGTTGCCCTTCCTCCTCCAGGGGATCTTCCCTAGCCAGGGATCAAACTGCGTCCTCGCATTGGCGGTTGACTCTATACCACTGAGCTACCTGGGAAGCACCCTGCAGATGGTCTCACCAGCTGTGTTGCCTTCAGAGGTCCCAGTTCTGCACAGGTCATGTTTAACCCACCACCCTGACGGCCCCTCTTCTCTGCCCTCCAGGTCAGGGCCCTGGGCCCCAGGCCTTTGTGACCCACCTGTCAGTTCTGGCTCCAGGGGGTCTTGTACATGGCCACCAGCTAGGGGCGTGTACGTGTCCCCGACATTCTTAGCTGCATGGCAACCTGCAGGATGGAGTCAGTCCCTCCCACTGGAATCAAACTCTCTACTTACTCCTTATTCCAGCAGGTGTGGAGAGGCTGGAGGAGCAGATGTGAGTCCCAGCCAGATCCGGGTTGACCCCCAGCATTGCAAGCTCGCCCTCTCCTCTTGGAGGGTCACCGTGTGAGCAGCTGTGGCCAGGTGCTGGGCCGTGCCTCTTCCAGCCTGAGAGAGGGCAACAAGGACAAGACCCAGCCTGAGGGTCTGATGAGGATCAAACCACAGAACAGATAAGAACGGCTGAGTGCTGACAAACAGGAGAAGCTTCCTTCTCTAATCCGGCCTGTTTATTGGTCCAGATGAGTTAGGATGACTTCCCCGTGTTCTAAAGGGAATTCAGATTGGGATCAGTTTTGGCTGAAGCATGTGAAGTACTTGGGGAGACAAGACCCCGACACAGCAGAGTCCCACCGGGAACTCAGGCTCTGTTTCACTGGGTCTTCCTCCACGTCCCCCTGGCCAAGCCTGGGCAGTCGCTCATCAGGTTCTGAACCTTGGTATGTGATTCCTCCATAAATTTTGCCATGTAAACCGCTAACTTATTACTAACACTGAAGTGAAACATTAATTTCTAGTTAGTGATTGTGGGAGTATGTAGAAACTCTGAATGCGTGTGATTATCTTGCAACCGGGCACCCTGCTGAGCTTCTAAAAGAACCCCACAGCCCCCAGGTGGGCCCGTCACCTGCACCTCCCTCCCCAGTTATGCTTCCTGAAACACCGGCTGTGTGTCACAGGATGGGTGGGTGGGCTGTTTCAGTCCCAACTTAAATAGGCACATATCCAGTGTCTCATAGTGCTCACTGATTTCATAGCCTTTTAAACATATTTATCAGGAATGTAAGTTGAATTATATTTTAGGCATTTATTGAGTGTATGGTTTTCTATCCTTGCTTGGCAAATATAATAAAGTATGTAATTTTTACCACAAAGCCAATCTGATTATTTCTAGAATGCATGCTTCCCCAGCTGGTGAAGGATTAATGTTCCTGTAATATACAGTTGGTGTTGTTCTTATTTCTTTGAGATTTTTGAAACATACTTTTTTGGACAATTTTTGGTGCTGGGCTCATGCTGTGTGAAATGAATTAGAATTTTTTTTCTACCTTCTGGGCCAGTTTAATTAGTTTTAAATATTTTCTCTTTGAAATGTTTAAACAATTCACCTACAAAACACCTGAAATTAATGTCATTTAAAAAATTTTCACACTTACAAAAGACTTAAATGATTTTCTATTGAAGATTTCTTGAGACAACTCTGAGAGTTTGTCTTTCTCTAGAAAATAGTCCATTTCATCCAGATTTTCAAATTTATCAGCGTAGAGCAATTAGTTTATTTGTATTTATATTTTAAAAACCTTTTTTATCCTAAATATTTTTGTTCATGTTCCTGGCTTTCTATGTTTTGCCATGTCTATATATGCATTTTGGAGAAGGCAATGGCACCCCACTCCAGTACTCTTGCCTGGAAAATCCTATGGATGGAGGAGCCTGGTAGGCTGCAGTCCATGGGGTCGTTGAGAGTTGAACATGACTGAGAGACTTCACTTTCATTTTTCACTTTCATGCATTGGAGAAGGAAATGGCAACCCAATCCAGTGTTCTTGCCTGGAGAATCCCAGGGACAGGGGAGCCTGGTGGGACTGCCGTCTATGGGGTCAAACAGAGTCGGACTCGACTGAAGTGACTTAGCAGTAGCATATATGCATTTTAGTTTTCAGTTAAAAGCAATCTCTTCTGCTTTTAACACTTACTCTGACATTTTCCAAAAGCATTCTTGTAGACTTCTTCATTCTCGTCAAGGTGAAAGTTGCTCAGTCGTTGTCTGACTCTGCGACCCTAGTGGACTATACAGTCCATGGAATTCTCCAGGCCAGAATTCTGGAGAGGGTAGCCTTTCTCTTCCCAACCCAGGTTTCCCATACTGCAGATTCTTTACCAGCTGAGCTACAAGGGAAGTTCAGGAACACTGGAGTGGGTAGCCTAACCCTTCTCGAGTGGATCTTCCCGACCCAGGAATTGAACCAGGGTCTCCTGCATTGCAGGCGGATTCTTTACCCACTATTAGGGAAGCCCTCTTTTGTCAAAGTTACCACTGAAATTGAATGTTCAACTCCATCTCTGATGAAGACTCATGAAGGGCCCTTCACTCGCCTCACCCTCCCCACCTTGACCCCAGGCCCCACAGCTGCTGCTCCTGATGCTGGCTAGTCGCATCTCATGCACACACTCTCAACCACTGCTCTCCCTGTTGTTTACCCTTCCAAGAAATTTAACATTTCCCTCCATTTTATACACGAACTACAATGATTTAAACCTACCTATGTTTAAGTGGTTTCAGTGTTCACTGCAGTCTTTTGGTATGCTGCTGATTCTGTAAACTCAATCCTAAATTGGTTAGAATAATCTGTGCAGTTTCTCTTCTCAGGAACAGTGGGTAAGTGGTGTAACTTCTGAACACCTACAAATCTGAAAACGTTTTTCCACTGTCTTCACTAACAACAGGCATGTCCACCAGGCGTAAACCCTCAGATCAGAGATCCCACCCCCCAGAGCCAGAGGGGTGGCTCCCTATCAACCTCCGGCAAGTCTCCTCTCCTGAAGGCAGGGGTTTCTGTCTGCCTTCCCTCCTCCATCAACAATGTGTATGCACATAGCCCCCTCCTCATGGTCTCCCCGGTGGGGACAGGTGCCTTCCATCTCCACTCGGCTGTGGACCAGAACTTGGCCCCTTCAGAAGTGCCAGCCCCATGCTGTCTGCCTGCCCCCAGCACTGACGCCACCTCCTATACCATCGACTCCACCTCCTGTCGCATTGACGAAGGATGCTCATTTTTGCTTCTGCATTTTCAGGTTCCTATAAAGCCTCCACATCACCTTAGCCTGCTCTCTGTATGGATTTCTGCTTCACAAACTGCACAGCTTCTTATATTCTCTTGAAAAGGCCCAGGTCTCTAGATCCCAGGATTAGAGTTATGCTAAGGAGTGTAATTTCTGATTTCCTCTGTGCGTCCACCCTCTGTCCCATGCCCCGAATGCCAGCTCACCCTGGCCATACCCCTCCCCTCTGATGGCAGCGAGGTCCCCGGTGCTGGGCCCATGGCAGCTCAGATGTATGTGCTTCTACTTATGGAAGGCAAGGCTCTTCACGTGTTAAGAAAATAGAACAATATGATCTAACTGTGCTCCCACACAAACACCAATTTTATTCCAAATAATCACATAATTTTAAGAATTTTCCCAGAACAATTTTACAAAGAGTAGCCCCAGTGTCATTTGCCCTGAAAGTTCCATTGTGTACATGAGTACCACCTGAGCCAAATGGAAAAAGTCCAAACTTGCTGCAGCTTCCATAGGTTTCATTTTAAGTTTTAAAAAACTTAAAAAAAAGAAAATTAAAAAAATTTTTTTTTTCTATTTTTCATGATAAATGATGCTACTCATACGTAACTTTACTCAGTAGACTTTTAGTTACTTTGCTGATTTTTACAATCTGACAAGCAGCAGCACGCACGCAGTATCTGTTAGTAACGACCAGTCTAAGGGTTTGTGCTGGCGGCCAGGGAGTTGCACTTCGTTAGACCCAAATTGAACAAAGTGGAGTTGAGGTTGATGCAGAGAAAGGCATGCTCCGGGTGTGTCGTCCTCTGTATCTCCTGAAGCATCAGGTGGATTGTGAAGAGTTCAAAGAGCTTCTTATTACTCCTGCAAGAGAGGGAGCACCTTAACGTCATCTCACACTCAAGAACAGTGAGAGAGCCTTACGTGTGAATGGCATCCTGTTTCATACATAGTGGAGGAAATAGGTAACTAGAGGATTCACATGCCGAGACAGACAAGACATGATCTGTGAAACAGACCTAACGTGGGAAAAGTATTCAAGGAGAAAAGAGGACAATTCATCACCCTGGAGCCTACACCATAGTTACTACCAGAGTGGGCTTGCCCTCAGCCAGCCAGAGTCAAGTACTTGACCACCATGTCTCAGGTATGTCAGCTTCTTCCTGGAGCAGACCACTAGCTGACCTCTTGACTTAGCTCCTGGCCACTGTCTTCTGCAGAGCAACCAGTCAGCAACCTCACTTTCAATAAGTTAGACTTGTATCTGGTAACGTATTTCTTACTTCCTTGTTCACATCTATTTCCCTCTATGGTAACCTTTATAACCATCCACCTCACATCCAGGGTTCTCCATCTCTGTGGATTTATAGGTTTATGCTAAGGCTGACTTGGGCATCAAGGATTCCCAGCCCCTCATTCAAGCTTTGTTCCAATTCTTTATCTATGCCTGAAATGAACACAAACTACAAAGCTCTGGCCCAGGACACAGCCACATGGGAACTACACTTCCACCAGTTCCAGGAGCGAGAACTCAGAGGAATGAAACACCCCTGGCAGCCTAAGGGCACCACAGAGGGTGAAGGATCACAGGCCTCCTGGAGAACTCACTGATTAGAAATCAAGACGGTCACGGCTAGCCTGCCTGAGAGAAAAGGACAATGAACTGACAAGCCTGAATGACACCAGAGCTAAACTAGCAACTTGTTGAACTGAGGGTGAGGTCACAACGTGACAACAAATAATTTACTACACATCGTGTGTGACACCAGGCAGGACAGGCTGACCTGCGGTCACACAACCACAAGTAACTTCAGGGTGCATTGTGTTCACTGAACCACACCAAGAGGTCACATCATAAAAACACAACACACAGAAGATGTTCAGATTCCCCTCAAAAGAAACACTAGAGTATACGAGATTCAGGGAAAATATAGCTTAAAGTCCATGTCCTTTTATTTTTTAAAAATAATTTAAATACCAATGCTTGCATCAGGGAAAGAAGAAATAGAAAAAGAAAGCCCTCACTTACGGCAATAAAGTCAAACCAGTGCAGCAGTGCGTTCACGACTGTTTGTGGCCAGCACCGGTCACAGTCTTTTCTGCCTGCTTCCTTCTCACCCCTGACCCAGTGCATCCACAGTAAGCACCAGCAGGACACACCTTCATCTGCCACCTGTGATCACAGTGTGCCAGCCTGCAGGAAGCTGATCCAGGGTTCACTCTGTTACTAAGTGTGTGGCCTGAGACCAGCATTAACACACCATACACTTGTTGGAAACTCTGATTCAATAATCACAGTGGAGCCAGTGTAGGAAGCAGAAATCTAAATGATCACAGTCAGTTAGTTTCTGATGAGAAAGGTCAGAAATCAGAGATCCTTACTTGATTTTGGAAAGTTTCTGCAGGATGATACTGAGCTTCTCTAGGACGTGGAGGTCGAGCTTCGGAGCCCGGAGCAGCACGGAGCAGGTCCGGAAGAAGAGCGAGCAGCTGCAGGCCTCCAGAAAGGGCTGCAGGGCACCTGCAAGACAGGTGGTGTCAGGGGCAGTGGGCGGGGGACCAGCACCTGGGGGGCGCAGTTACCAACCCTGCTGGGTAGGGTTTCCATTCTTTCCGCTCTTACACTGTGGGGAAAATACCATCACTGGAAGAATTAAAATATCTACTGGCTCTTGTTGAACAAGCAAACTGAAGGTAATGATGTTACAGAGCTCCACTCTTCAGACGTCAGATTCTTCCATCAAGCAGAATCGAGAATAAAGTCCGTGAGAGGAGGCTGTTTAAACGCTGCTTTATGGAGAAGGAAATGGCAACCCACTCCAGTATTCTTGCCTGGAAAAGTCCACGGACAAAGGAGTCTGGCGGGCTGAAGTCCATGGGATTACATGACTGAGCATGTGTGCACGAGGGTGGAGGGAGATGGGTTGGTAACAATAAAGTGGTAGAACTAAAAAAAAAAAAAAAAACCACTGCTTTAGCAGTATTTAATAAGAAATTCTGTTGGAGTGGTAATTTTTAAAAACATCTTAAATTTAAGAATTTCATTTACATGTTAATGACAACTTGCATAACCAGTGAATAAGGAAGAACTTTTTAGCATAAAGGCAAAAGTGGGAAAGATTCATAAAAGAAAAGATTGAAGATTTTAATAAAATCTTTTTGAAAAGACTTATGTTTTCTGTAGTCTTCCCTGCTTGAATTTTTTTGAGCAATAAAAGTTCATTTATATTTAATTTTCAAATTGTGGTTAAATATGCATAACGTAACATGTACCATTGTAACCACTTGGAAAAGCATAGTGTTTGCTAGTGTTAAGTTTTAAGCCAGAGAAAGTGTGGTCTGTACACCGTGGAATATTATTCAACCTTTAAAAAGGTGGAAGCTGACACCTGCTACCCCACGGATGGGCTTTACAGACGTTATGCTCAGTGTAATAAGACAGACACAGAAGGGCAGATCCCCTGTGACTTCACACATGTGAGGGCCCTCGTGTTGTCAGGTGTAGAGACAGGAGGTAGGAATGGGGCGCAGAAGCTGGGGGTTATTGACTCACGGGACAGAGTCAGCTGGGGAAGGTGAGCAGCTCTGGGGTGCATGGGGTGGTGTTTGCACAACGACAAAACTTAACACTATTGCATGGGGTGGTGTTTGCACAGCGGCCAAATTTTGGCCGCTGTGCAAACACCACCCCATGCAATAGTGTTAAGTTTTGTCGTTGTGCAAACACCACCCCATGCACCCCAGAGCTGCTCACCTTCCCCAGCTGACTCTGTCCCGTGAGTCACTAACCCCCAGCTTCTGCGCCCCATTCCTACCTCCTGTCTCTACACCTGACAACACGAGGGCCCTCACATGTGTGAAGTCACAGGGGATCTGCCCTTCTGTGTCTGTCTTATTACACTGAGCATAACGTCCGTGAAGCCCATCCGTGGGGTAGCAGGTGTCAGTTTCCACCTTTCTAAAGGTTGAATAATATTCCACGGTGCACAAATCACACTTTCTCTGGCTGCTTTCAAGATTCTGTTTTTGACAGTCTGACACTTTTAATATCATGTGTCTCCAAGGTGGGGTCTCTCTGGGTTTATCCCAAACTTCACTGAGCTGTGGAATTTGGTGAAATTCTTAGATTTGTAAAAGCACGTCTTTCCTCGCATGTGGTAAGTTTTCAGCCATTTCTTTAAATCACCTTCATGAATTCTCTCAGCCAAATCTCTGGACAAGCACCTGAGACTTCACGGAGCACTGTGAATCTAGCCCTGCCCTGGATTAGATGTTGTCTTCAGGGAGTGCTGTGGCTGGGCTGATCTTCTGTTCAGACACTGAGATTTTCTCCACATCAACAGTAAAGCTGTGTCGCTCTCTTGTCATTTGCGTGTTCACTAAGCAGCACTTTTAATTTCCTTCAAGAACTTTTCCTTTGCATTCACAGCTCGGCTAACAGCTGTAGTGGAAGAACCCCAGCTGCAGGCCTGTCTTTGCTTTTGACCCACCTTTCTCACTGACTTTAATCACGTCTAGCTTTCCATTTTAAGTGAGAGAGGAGTACTCTTCCTCTCACATGAACTCTCTTGAGGCCACTGCAGGAGTATTAATTAGCCTAATTTCAATACTGTGTGTCAGGGAGCAGGGAGGCCCGAGGAAAGAGACGGGGGAACTGCAGTCAGTGATGCCGGCAGAACACACACAACATTATTAAGTTCACGGGCCGCCCCCACCCCCTGCCCCCCACCCCTCCTGCCCCAAACCATGACAAGAGTAACATCAAGACCACTGGTCACAGATTACTGTAACACACACAGTAATAATGAAAAGGTTTGAAACACCATGAGAATGACCAAAATGTGACAGAGAGATGTGAAGGGAGCAAATGCTGCTGGAAAAATGGTGCCGGAAGATCTGTTCAAGGTAAGGTTTCCATACACCTTCAGTATGTTTAAAAAAAAAAAAAAAAGAAGAAGTACTTGCAAAAGCACAATTCACAATAGGCTTGTGAATGTACCTATTTTTGGATAGTAGGACTTTTGGCTTTTTGACCAGTTTCCCAACTTCTATTTCTTTCATAATAAAAATAACTACTTAAAAAAGAAAAACAAGATCTGAAAAACATACTCAAATACATTGTTCCATTCAGGTGTTAAACGGTAGCACAAGATGGTTTCTAGAGCACAAAAGAAAATAAACTAATGATACAAATACAAACTTAAATCGTTTTATTTAAACTACATCTGACAAGAAAAGGAAAGTTCTTTAAGAGACAGTGAAACTCATGCTCTTACACAGTAAGCCCAGGTAAGTGAGTGACAGCTTTAACCACTGACAGGAAGAAAAAAAGAAACTACAGGGTAATTTTCTAAAAGCACACTGCTCACTTTTGTCTGATTTATATTAAAGTGCAAAACATATAATCAGAAGCCCTCAATCTGAAAATAACATTGTGCTCACAACACACGCTCAGATAGAGCAACGCACAGACTTCCATTCAAACTCACAGAAGTGTGGCCCAGCGGCTTTCAGAGAACTCTGCCCACACAGCTCCTGGTACTTCTCAAGCTTGGCAGGAGGTAGGTTAGGATGGCAAAGACGACCCGCGGCAGATGAACAGGGGGCCTTGGACACACACAGAGCTCCTACTGCTCCTCCATGTCTGTACCAAGGACCAGTCTTCCGGGAACCCAGCACCGTCCCCCAAATGCATGACAACAGTCATGAAACAAGGTGGCCACCAGATTGGGTGGCTCACGTCCCCCAGTCACAGCCCACTCGACAAACTAGAACTCAACTTGAATCTGAGACACAAGACTCCAGAATGACGAATCCAACAGTCAGCTAAGGTGAGCACTACAGAGTAGACGGGACAATCACAAAGTTTCTCTACTCCTGAGTCTGGTCCACAAAAACCTCTGCCCGAGGCCCCACCAAGCCCCACTGGAAATGCTGTTTGCTCAAATAGAAACGCCGTTTGCTCAAATAAACTTTTCAAGTTACAATGTGTCTCAGTTTACCATTTTACAATGCTGCTAAAAACACTAGAAGACAAAATAAAACAAACATACAGAATATATGCCCAATGTTTTAAATTACTGTGGGATTTAACAGACATGAAACAACTGTGGAGTCACCTCCAAGTCTCAGGCTGTTGCTACACTGACCCCCAGGTGGACATCACCAGGCATAACCTAGCCACTGGCAGCTCTTCCCGGGCCCTTGGGTCCAGAGCCCAAGACGGGCACTGAGGAGGCCCTGTTCAGCAGAGTGGCAGACCCAAGGCCCAAACCACAGCACTGCATACACAGGCCACCAAGGCCCAAGAGCTGCAGACCAGTGCTATCAGGATTTCTTTTCTAACAATTCTTCCTAAACAGTTATATGGTAAAAGAGGGCTTCCCCAGTGGCTCAGGAGAGTCTACCTGCAACGCAGGAGGTGTGGGTTCAAGCCCTGGGTTGAGAAGACTCCTGGAGAAGGGAATGGCAACCCACTCCAGTGTTCTTGCCTGGAGAATCCCATGGATGGAGGAGTCTGGCAGGATACAATCCTTAGGGTCACAAAGAGTCAGACATGACTGAGCAACTAGACAACAATATGGTGAAATGCGTTTCCCACCTCAAACCTAAAAAAAAACACAAAACCCACAGAAGAGAAGTATTTGCTGTATTTTGATCTCTGATTCATTTATCCCTTCAGCAAACTCTGTTGGCTAGTACCAGGCATTGGGTTTATGCCAAAAATGGAAAATGCATCAACAAATACACACACCTCAGGCAGCGACCCTCAAAGTTACACCACTTCTGGTTTCCTGGGTTCCCATCTCTCTGTCAGAACAACTCCCACAGAGCAGCCTCAGAAGCAGCTGTTCACCCCACGGGACGGGAAGAGCGAGAGAGGGTGAGGGCGGCTGGGCCGCGCATGAGGCACCAGACATGGTCTCCCGCACGGGTGCTGGGGGCGCCCCCAGCACTTCTGAGCTTGAACCACGCTGCCCTCAGGCTACACGGCGACTTCGTCTGTCAGACACACAGATGGCTTTGTCTCTGCTGAAAAACATTTACACCTGATAGGAGTTTCGTTTTCCTTACTGAAAAAAATCCTGTGAAACTTGCTGGAGATAACCTTGAGTCTGTGTCTCGGTTACTAATTTTGCACTGCTGCTGCAGACCTGACATCAGCCAGTCAAGAGCTACGACGTCACCATCACCGCTCAGGTAAGTTAGAATTAGACTCCAGCGGGCAGTCTGATCTTTTAACAGTGACGGTCAAGAGATGAACATAAATAAACTCGGTCAGCGGAGGCTGTCCCCCTGGGGCAGGAGGAGGCAGCCCAGGGTGGGGAGTGTGTGGCAGAGCCCCTCCCCAACCCACAGCTCTGGGTTCAAGTCCGAGCTCTGCCTCGGCCCAGCCGTGGGTCCAGGACAAGCCAGCTGTCCCGCCAGCCCCCGGCTCTCCCCAGGGCCTCCTTGCAGGACCGCTGTGGGGAAACAGGCGCACAGACCACATCCAGAGAGGTTGGAGGGACAACTGGCCACCAGGGACCTGCCCTTGCTTGCTGGCGCCCACACAGAGTGTGGGCTTCCTGGCTGTGGTTCCATGTTCTCAAGGCACAATAAGAAGTGCCGTGCATGGAAGATGAGAAACTGAGAGTGGAAAGAAGCACTGAAACAAAATGGCAGCTTCCCATAAGTTGAGGGGCTTCCCTGGGGTCTGAAGAACAAGGCAGGCGAAGCCCATCAGAGTCCCGGCTGGGCTGGGGAGGAGCCCCCACCAGCGAGTAAGAGCCTGTCTTACTCACCAGGGCCATCGCTGAGAGGAAAACCCCACTGACCACACTGCTTCACGCACTCGAGCATCAGAGATGCAGGGAGGCTGTGGGGGTCTCACGGGAGGAGGCCAGGTCCCCATGTGCCCTACAGGTGGGGTCGTTCCCTCCCAGCCACCAGGAGGATATGGCTGCTCTGCCAGACAACAGACATGAGGAACAGAGAAGGGGCTGGAAAACAAGTGCGTCTTCCACTGAGGCCCTGGGAAAGCTGGGGAACAGGTGGACAAAGGGGGAGGCTCCAGAACTCTGACCCTGTGACCCCGCTGTGCCGGACACAACACAGCTGCACGTTGAGAAGAGACGCACACCACCGCCCTCACTGGGAACGACACTCTCTGGACTCCCCCTCTCCCTCCTGTTATTGGATGTGAGACTCACTGGATTCCACAGTCATCTGCAGCAGGCTGTCCATCACGCTGGGCAGCAGCCCCCGGCTGGACAGCTTCAGGTGGCTCAGCACCACTGGCACCGCCTGCAGCTGCAGGAACAGGTTCTTCCCCTCGTCCGCCTGCAGGTCCAGACATAGCGAGTCAAATGCCTGCGCCAGGAAGTCAGCTGGAAGACAGGGCACCAGACAATGATCGCATCGTTAGTCCAGCAGGTCACAGACATGGCAGGAAGGGGACCCCAATACAGCCGCAATCACAAGAGAAAAGGAGAGACGAGACGGGCTCAATTCAGACACTGCCCTTCACTCAGCTGTCAGGACTGAAATGGGAGGAGATGGTACATTAGGACAGGGTAAACTTCACTCAGAAATTCCCTGTTTAACACCGAAATTACAATGAACACCACTCCTTCTCTACATCAAGGAAAACAGTCAATATTCAGTAGTCTGATCATGACTACTACCTGCCGCCACCTGTGAGCAGCATCACCGCTGCCACCTGGACAGCTGCTTCTGAGACGAGGTTTCTTGCTACTGCTGCTCCCATCGACCTGTTTCAAAATGTAACTTTATAAAAATGAGGGTTTTTATAGATCAAGACCAAATGGGAGCTACTCCCAGAGCTCAGGAGACCAACCTGGTTGGGTTGCCTGTGACATCTCCGCCAGGAGGAATGGCTGGGGGCCCTGACCATCCTGAACCGCATATAATATGCAGATAGTGCACGAAGAGTTAACACAAAGTGTCAAACCCACACCAGGATCATGTCTATGCAGATGCTCGTGAAGAACATAAGTCCTTGATTTCTGCCCTGACACTCCAGTGATAACCCTTCCCTGACCTGGGCACTCACCGTTACTTACAAACTCTGTACTTACGTCCCGTTCTCTTTCACAGTGGATGAGGTTTTACTGACACCATGTTACAGCAAGGTCCACATTTCACAGATTCTGCTTTGCTTACGTGAATAATATCTCTTTCCTCCTCATTGTTTCTTATTACTGATGATCAGAATAGTTAACACTCTAGTCATGAGCTCTGTGGGGTCTTGTTCATCAGGGCGCCACCCCCATGACCTGAGCACCCCCTGAAGGCCAGTCTCCTGACACCACCTCCCTGCGAGTAGGGTCCCCATGTGAACTGTGAGAGGGACATAACATTCAGCCCATAGCACATGGCAGCCAGCACTCCTGCCAGTGCCCCTGTCTGACCTGCAGGGACCATCCCTAAGTCACCAGTTTTCACTATTTGCTTCCATATCCATTCCCACGTGTCTGAGGCCAGTGCTGGAGACAGCGTGTCCAATACTGGACTGTACAGAGTGGGGGAGGAGGCACCGAATCCTTCCTGCTTATCTCTTCTTCCCATTCGCATTATCAGCAATGAACATCACTGTGTCTCTGATGATGTGACCATGTATGTTGATACATGGTGAACTCTGGTCTGGGCTTCTCAAACACATCTCAGACAGCCACTACCCCTTCTGATACAACTCTGGGGACCATAACCACAAGGAAGAAAAGAACAAAGACAGACGCACTGTCTGGTAGGCAGGTGCTCTCTGTTGCTAGCTACTGAGCTCTGCTGTTATGAGAAAAAGCAGTCAAGAGGCCACGGGAGGCAGATTAACATACATGTGTTCAACTAAATTCTATTCACAGAAATAAGTGCTGGGCTTCATGGGCCCTCGGGCTCTGGCCCACCAAGCGTTGTCCCAGTGGATCTGTAAAGGCACACTCTTCGTGCTGTGTGGGTTCTGTGAGGCAGGTGGCAGCAAAGGCTGCCATGGACACAGGATCCAGGCGCATCAGTTAAGGCCCTGGAGGGCAACTAGCCAACCTACCACTGAGCTTCTCAACTTCAGCAACTACAGTCATTCTAGGAGATACTGGGCCCCCAGCACAAAACAGCACACTAGTCCATTCTGAAAAAGTAAAATGTGTAACTATGTAAGAACTGCTTCACTGTGGACAATCTGAAGGCTTACCTTGAGTGACTGTTTTGAGGACAATTAAAGTGGACACGAATCTCAGGGGCAAGCTGGTGCTCTTGAAGAAGGCAGCTGTCCTTGGTCGACTCTCCACTGAGTGCTCTAAGGCTGCGTCCTGAACACCCTTCGTCACCACTCCTCTGAATATGTCTTCACCCAGCCTCCTCAGTGTGGTTGTCATGGTCGAGTGCTGTTGAAAATATGAACTCTTGCAGTACACTTATCCACGGTCAGGAAATAGATATTTTAAATACTACAATCAAATATATGAACTAAAAATAAGCTAACTAAAAAAAATTCAATGGAGCTGAAAATACACAGGATTGAAAAGCAGAGTACAGGAAACCCACTCTGCAGACACACACAGATGAAAAGGGAATGGACAAAGAACACACACCAGGCTGACGGTGACCGAGAGGCTGGAGCAGTTCTCAGCCTCAAACAGGCTTCAGAGCAGGCAGTTACCAGGGAAAGGAGGGGCACCACGTAGTAACAGAGGGTGAGGTCTCCAGGAAGACACGACAACACCTCGGGTATGTGATCACCTGCAGATACAACACCCACCGCACGATCTGTCAAAAATAACTGGTAAGCTGGACTTCGTTAAAATCAAAACCTCCTGCTCTGTGAAAGCACTGTCAAGAGAATAAGAGGACAAGCCAGAGATGGGGGAGAAAACGTGTGTAAAAGACACATCTGAAAGAATGTTACCCAAATACCGATAGAGTTCTAGAGACTCAGCAGTAAGAGAACACAGCCCAATTAAAAACGCACAGATGACCCGGACACCGAAGCCAAGACAACACACAGATGCCAGGCAGACACAAGCAGCAGCACCGCATATGTCATCAGGGTGAAACCCTGTGGGGTAACACCCACACGATGGGGAGGGCTAACGCCCCAAACCCTGACAACACCAAATGCTGGTCAGCCTGTGGGGCAACAGGTACCCTCAGCACTGCTGGGGGACCAGAGAGGGCAGCCTCTCAAAAGACAGGCTTCAGCTTCTTAAACAACAAACCATCCTCTTAGCCAATAACTGCTCCCTGATATTTCAGCTCCCGAAGGAGACGAAAACTTACATCCACACAAAAACCTGCCTGTGGATGTGACAGCAACTCTACTCAGAGTTGCCACATCTTGGAAGCAACCAACATGTCTGTCAGTAGGTGATGGGTAAACAGTGGTCTCCAGACAGTGGAACAGTATCCAGAGCTGAAAAGAGCTATTAGGCCATGGAAAGGCATGCAGGAGCCTTAATACATATGACAATGTGGAAGAAGCCCACGTTAAAAGGGCACGCACTGTGTCACCCCAGCTCCGTTGACATTCTGGAAGAGGCAGGACTACCTGGGCAGTAAATGGACAAGGTGCGGTGGGGGAGAACAGGCACAGCACAGAGGATTTTTAGGACAAATTATTTTTTTTGTATCAAATTTTAATTTTTTGCATCAAATTTTATATCAAACTATACAGTGTGATAGTGTAACAATGGTTACAGGCTCCAATACATTTGTCAAAACCCACAGAACGCACACCACCAAGATGTTGGTGGATGACAGCACATCCATGCAGGACGCTGACTGTGAAGAAGATTCTGTCTGGCAAGGATGCTGATGGGGGGGTGCAGATGTAGGGCAGGGTACCTGGGAAATCTCCCTGCTCAATGCTGCTGTAAAACGTGACATCTACATATGAGAAGAACAATGTGAGGCTCTGGAGGGACACCTGACTGCGGCCCTGGTGGTTACATTGCACCTGTTCTGCACTGCGTCACCCTCCGGAGATGGACACAACGTATCTATTATTTCTTATGACCAAAGAGAATCTCTAATTTCCTCAAAATAAAAAGCTGAACTTATGTACTTGTACTTTGACAACTGTTAAAACTAAATTATTAAAAACCCATCAGTAAGTGTTTAGCAATTCGCGGGTGAGAACAATACGTCTCAGCAGAAAGCCGTGCAGCTGGCAAACCCACCCCAGAGCACACGGAGCAGCCGAGTCCACGTTGGAGACAGGGCAGCACCAACTGTCTCAGGAAGAATGAGAAGACTATTTCGGAAGGAAGACAAAGTCTCACTCAGTGCTGAGTCTAGCCTTTGATGGCTGAAAGTGAGAATTCAGCCAACCTTTCTCAGAAGCCATCACACAAACAATAAAGTCACAGTGACTTTGAACAGACTTGATCATTTTATGTAACTTTCTTTTGTTACAAGCTTACAACCAATACATTCAGATGATATTAAGTGTGTGGGCGCACATGTTCACATGCTCCCCCACACACATGCTCAAGCACTCATTTACTATGATGGCAAAATATTTAGGATTTCCTCAGGAAAGGTATTTTCCTAAATCTCAGCCATCTGGCTACATAACCATCAGCCCTGCATGGAGCAGCTTAGCCCCCTCATCCTAAGGGCCGAGGGGCCAAGAGGAAACTACCCCAGCAAGGCTTCGTTTCTTCCCCATTTTTAACTGAACGAAACCTGTGTCAGGATGTACCAATTCTAACTGGGGAAATAAAAAGTTTACAAACCTACTAAAATTCACAGCACAAACAGGTACACACGCACCTCACATTTGGATTAAACAACCCTATGTGAGCTGGTAACACACACCCTTCATTTACATGACGCTGGAGTAACTCTCCGTCTTTGATTAGCTTATCCTAACAATCATAGTCCCATTTAGCTAGTGTGTGTTTATTGACATAAGCACAAAAAATCAATTTCTATTACCTTCAAGAATATGAGAAACCATAAATTAAATAACAGGGCAGGGGGAAGCAGTTAGTTTCAACAATAACCTAACACAGTGAAACTCCTTATTACACAATTCTGAAGCTCACAAACAATGACCCACTGCCCTGAGAAAGAAGAGTAAGTGGTGAACGACACAAGGGAGGCAGGAAAAGTCCTGCAACGTGAAGAGAATGCTCAGGGAAGCCTGAGACAAAGCAAGACTGGGAGCCACGCAATACTGAACACAGCTTTCCCTGCAGATTGACTGATTCACAGTTACCTGAGTCCCGGCATCGAGCTGCCTTAGAGACCAGTAGATAAACTTCACGAAAGGCTCGTGAAGCCTGGCATTCACAAAGGGCAACCATTGCAGCTGCTCTGTCATCAGAGGCAAAAGCTAAAGATGAAATGATGGAGAATATGAACACACAGTTTTCAGACATCTGAAATTAATTATCATAGTTTTCCAAAAATTATTTTTCCAAGAGAAGAGTTCTCAAAAAAATCTCTACTTTAAAATAAAATGCAATACAATAAGGAAACATTACATTTGAGACATTACATATTTATTTCCTTGACCCACCAATAGCACACCTAGGATTTTAAGGTTAACCTACACAACCACACATCTGAATCTTTTGTTGTTCTTCAGGTGCTAAGTTGCGTCTGACTCTTTGTGATCCCATGGATTACAGCATAAACTTACAGTACATGTATAACCATTAACTGATAATGACATCTTTATTGCCATGGCATAGTCTGAGGTGATAAAAGCAGGTTTCAAAAGTGTAATAAGAGCCCATTTATATAAAAATACCTCTGTATTGAATTTGTATTCAGAGAGATAAGATGTTTTTAAAAAGTATTAACAGTGAGATTTCAGTAACTGGAAAGATGTTCACTTTCCTCTTTGTATGTCTTTCATAAACATTTTAATGTCAATTTGTAAAAATAATACACATTTTTAAAAAAGATAAATATGAACGTTGACTCAACAGTATGTTATTTTGTTGAAAGTTTAAGACCACAGAGATACATTCTAAGCCTCTGAGGAAATAATCCCACTTCTGCTATAACAGCTTAAGAAAATTACCTAAAATAAAACCTTCCAAAAGCTTGCATACAAAAATACTGTTACACTGATTCAAAAAAAATGGAAGTGACTTAACGGCCTAACAAAGGGAAACAGCTAGGTCAAGTGAATAGCTTACTCAGTGGACTAGAGATGATAAACAGAAAATATTAACTAATGATAAAAATTAAGTAATAAAAGCAAGGATGCAAAATCATACGTAACTGGACCACAGACAGGATAATAAAGACATACTAGACCTCTGACAGCAGCTCTGGGACACCCTCCCCATGCACCACCGCCTCTATTCCGTGCCCCCAACCCCTGATACCCTCTCTCTGACTTCTGAGACCCAGCTCCTGCACCTCTCTGCTCACTTTCAGGGCCCCCTACTGGCTGGTCCTCAGGCACCTGGTCCCGGGGTACTGGAGCCTCAACTTAGGATCAGCCAATCAGGACTCACGCCTCCAGCATCCACACCCAGTTCAGAAGTCTCTGCAGAGCTCCATCCCCGTGGCAACGCCCACCAGACACGAGCACGCTGGACTCCAGCTCAGTTGCCTAAAACTATCCAGCCAGAGGACAGAGGTGCAAACCCAGATCTTGTGGGTTTCCTACCTGGAGTGAATGCTGCCAACTTGCATCCCGGTGCAAAATCAAGAGCTGGGAGCCAACCCTGAGACCCCGCAAAAGTACTGGATCCATCACCAAGTCCCAAGTACGCAAAGTTGCATACTTTTGTACTGGCTTCCCCAATGGCTTACCGAGTAAAGAATCTGCCTGCAATGCAGGAGACACAGGAGACCAGGGTTCAATTCCTAGGTTGGGAAGATCCTCTAGAGCAGGAAATGGCAACCCACTCCAGTGTTCTTGCCTGGAAAATCCCTTGGATGGAGGAGCCTAGTGGGCTGCAGTCCAAAGGGTCGCAAAGAATCTGACATGACTGAACAATTAATATTTCACTTCAAAGGTGTGCATCCAGAACAAGTTAATAAATAATCCTTATTCGAGGATGACAAGAACCTGGTGCTCCCTTGGGCTGTGGCTGGAGGTCTAGTTCCCTGATCAGCCGGCTGTTAGCAGGTGGTCATCCCAGCCTGGTTATGACCCTCCACCTCCTTCCTTCTCCGCCTTCATGGCTGGTGAGGGTGAGTGAGCCTCTGACCTACTCTACAGTAGCCTCTTGTGTCTGAAGTGCTCTGTGAGTTAATCACTTGGGTTAATCACCACTTTAACCAAAGCTCCAATACTTGGGCCACCTGATGCAAAGAGCCGACTCATTAGAAAAGACCATGATCCTGGGAAAGATGGAAGGCAGGAGGAGAGGGGGACAACAGAAGACGAGATAGTTAGATGACATCACCAACTCAATGGACATGAGTTTGAACAAGTGCTGGGAGATGGTGATGGACAGGGAAGCCTGGTGTGCTGCAGTCCATGGGGTTGCAAAGAGTTGGACACAACTGAGGGACTGAACAACAAGTGGACTGATCTCCACTTGGGGGTCAGTGGATAAGTAATTTTAATTTACTTTGGCAAAGTGATGTAACATCCACGGGCTCTAGGGCTTAGCTTATGAATATCTCCAGGGCCATTATCCTGCCCAGCACAAAAGGCCTTCAGAAGAAACTTTTTAGGTAAGGATGGAAACTGCAAATAATTTCCTAAAATGAAACCATGTCCTGTATGTAAAAATTTTTTAAATCAAACAACCAACCTCAGATATCCAGTCTTCAGAGTTTTTAATGTATTTCTTGTAGAATGCAACAGTCAACCTCGTGACAATTTATACTGACTGGAAATCATGAGTATCATATCCAAATTAATGTTTGTAATTTAAGAAAATGATCATTTATCTTTGATAATGAGAAGCTCTTGAAAATACTGTTTGTTCTTTCATGACAAAAGGCAAAATAAAATTATTTTACTGAGATGTGAATCCTAAAAAGATGCATTATCAGGAACTGTTCATATCACTGATTACCTGCCTAACTCTCTAATTATTTTGCCATTTTATGGAGTAGGTTTTTAATTCCTGGCCTTTTTTTTAAAAGGAAATTCCCATTATGTTATAAAAATACACACAGGAATTCATGTGGATTAAGTCTAAAATGAGTATTTTTACAACTGACTGTTGGTATGATCAACTTTCTATCAAAAATACTTTTAATATTTTTTGTCCTGCAAAATATACCACAGGCTTCCTTTTTTCACTCTTCATGTCTACTGAGTCATATTATTTTTCAAATTAAAAACAAACCTTCACACACTTCTCCTGAATATCAGTTCTCTGAGAAGCAAATGTGGGTAGTGGCTTTTCACCATCCATTCCAGATTCTTCATTTTTCAATTTGCTAAGGTGCTGATCTGAAATCCAGTCCATGAAGACAGTTAAAAGTTCATAAACTTGTCCATTAAGTGATACCTATAAACAAAAAATTAAAGCAAGCATTTACTTCAATTCATGGCTTGCTAAAACTTCAAAGGCAAGTTTTACATTTGTTAAGTGATTAATGGAATAATTTATCTAAACTGCTTCCGTAAAACATGCATTGGATTGCAAAGCTTCTCCAAATGGAAGAAATTCCAAATCAAATCTCTCCAGTTAACATCAGACACATGTTAAATGCTGGCTGACAGAAGAGGGGAAACCCACCACAATAAGGACATTGAAAGAACTGTACCACCTTATTACCAAGAGAGAGAATTTTCATTAAAATTATTTATCCAAGTTTGATAACGAAGAAAAGCAAAATTGGCCTTAATTCAAGGGCATGAACCACCATACCTAAGATTTTAACAAATTTAAAGGTTTTAAAAGCTAAATAATTTCCATCATGGAACTTTTTATCTTCCTCCCCCAAAAGCTGTTTTTCTTTACATTGTGCCATTCTATAAAACGGATATGAAAAATTTTTCCTGGAAACCGTGTTCTTTGAGAGTCTACACAAATGGGAAGAAAATAAGAACCAAATGCCATAAAAAACCAGTATAAATTCAACTCAACTGACTTCTATGTTCCTTCAAACCACTTTTAATCATTTTAAGTCGACATTTACCACACATGTGACTTAAACAGGGAACTATGCCAGATTTAACTTGACAGAGAAGTACAAGAGCAAAGTAATAAAAAAGGCATAGTTCAGCAGACAGCAATCCACAAAAACAGAAACAGATGAAGGAAAACAAAGTTACATTATTCTGAACAAGAGTAATTTTTAACTTTTTCAATTTTCTTCAAATAGGAACCTTTGATGAAAACTATAATCATCTTGAGTACCTGAGTATGAATCTCCAATTCTTCTACTTTAATGTTTCTAATTAAAATTTTTTTCACAACTAGCATCCTCTTTAATAAAACAAGTAAACTATGTAGCAGGAAAAAGGGGTGGGGGAGTAAAATAGGACCTCTTCCAACCACTAAGCCCTCTGCACTCAGTCTGTGTGTGGCAGACAGAGGGTTTGGGGCAGGGGGAGGCAGCAATAGGTTGGGTCAGCCCTTTTGGGAGTGGAGTGTGGGGTCCAGGCAAGTCTGCAGTGAGATATCACTACCACCCACTGGAAAGATGAAAATAAAAAGGACTGGAAACATCAAATATGGATGAAGCTATGGTGCAATAGAATAGACTGCTAGCAATGGTACAAATAACATGACCACTCTGCAAAACTGGCGGCCACCCCAGCAGTTAAACCTACATGTACCTTATGACACAGAAATTCCAGTCTTGGCTTTATTTCCAAGAGGGATGGGAACACATTTCCACAAAGAGCCCTGTACACTGATATTCTTAGCAGCCGAATATTTTGCTCTGATTTTACAAACAAAAGCATATCTGAAATATGATACTTCTCTACAAAGAAATTATGGTGAATACTTCCACAGCAAAAAGAATGTTTGATAAATTGAAAAAAAAAAAAAAAAAGAACAAAGGGAAAAATGTCCTGGCTTTGCAGTAGAGAAATTTTCAACCATACCTTACAAGGTTTTGAAGCTGGTACTTTTTCCTGCTTTAAACTTTTTGCTTCATGAGTGGCCTGGGGATTGCCTTTCAGTCTCTGTATTGTCATGAACTCGTACTTCCTCTGCAACAGCATGTATCCATGAATTAAAGAAAAATGGTATCAGAAGTGAGACCAAGGCAGTCATTTCAGATTTTACTTGTGTCTCAAGAGCAGAGCAGGTTCCTTACCTGTAAATTGTCTAAGCGAGCTTGAACTCTTTTGGCCTGAACCTCCAACTTCCTGTTTTCTTCACTCACTTCATTCAACTAAAACAGGAAAACAATAGACATTTCAATAGAAACCTCAAGCTGATTTCCTACTGAAGTTTTCCCAGGATACTATCTTATCTGGTCTATCACGAGGCAACACAACACACAGAAGTAGCACCCACGATTAAAGATCACAGCAAAAACCACCACTGGGCCCTAAAACATGAGGAGTTTCTAGAAAGTTTACTTCATTCTATTAAAAATGTGCAAGTCTCCTAACATCTTAAATGAAGACATTTTAACAGGGAACGTCCTTTTTCTGAATTTTCTACTGTACTATAATGTACATACGAGAAAATGCACAAACTACCTAACAGTGTAGTGAATTACTGGGACTGGAGTTAATGTCTGCATAACTCAGAAAAAGCGCCTTCTTCACCATAGTGGGTCTCCTACCCCGCATACAACACAGCCTCCCACTTCTTTCCATCCTCTTTAATTGCTTTTTATTTTTTTATCTTCTTTAATTGCTTTTTTTTAAAATCCTCTTTAGTTGCTTTTTAAACAGTGCTTTGCACATTTTGTGTGTTCTGTGCATGTGTAATCTCTTAGGTTTACTCCTGTATAGCCAATGCTTCTTGACGCTACTATCCATAGCATCTTTCAATAAACACCACCTGGTTACTGTTGATATGCAGAAATACACTTGCTTTTTAAAAAAATTTATTTAAATTTATCTTTTTAATCGAAGGATAAATGCTTTACAGAATTGTGTTGGTTTCTGCCAAACATCAACATGAATCAGCCATACGTATACATACGTCCCCACTTTTACTGAACCCATATCTTAAGAGTCTCCTGAATTTGTTTAATTCTAGTAACTTATCTGTATGCTTGTCTGGATACCGACTACATCTGTGCATAATCATGTCATCAGAGGATAACTCTCATTTCTTCCTTCCCAATCCTGACAGCTCCTTGCTACATGGACCAGGACGTCAGTTCAAAGTTCCCCAGAATCAGGAACAGCGAGCACCTTCCTTGTTCTGTTCTCAGAGGGAAAAGATTTCAGTAACTTACGTTAAGTGTGAGTGTTGTAGGGACTGTTTCTTTTTGTAGATACTCTATGAAAATTAAGTTCTTTTCTATTCCTAGTTATTGTCTTGAGTTGGTGCTGAATTTTAAATCAAAGAATTATGATTCTTCTCCTTTTATCAGATGACGTGTTAATTTTCAAATGATAAATGCCTCCTGTATTCCTCACATAAATGCACTCAATGACATTATACTTTTTAGGTAGCTCTAGATTCAACTTGTTGATATTTAAATTTTTGCATCTATACTCATTGGAGTCTGGCAGCATTTTTCTTGTCGTGCTGACAGCTTTAGATTCAAGGTTCTGCCTGGCCTCCTATGACAGCAAAGAGAGCCTTTCTCTTTTAGGTTAATCAGATCTGTGATATTTCCTCCAGGAGTCTTACTGCTCTTTCTTTGAAGGTAAGGTGCCTTATTTGTCTCTGATTTTATCTTTGACTGAAGTTTTCACATCTTAAAACAGCATACCAGTATGGTGTTCCTCAACATTTATCCTCCTTAGGGTTAACAGAATTTCTTAAAACCTGTGGGCTTGTAGGCTTCACCAACTTGTGGATATTATCCTTTCACATTCTGCCTCTCTATGTCACCAAGTACTTTGGGAACTCCCATGTTAACTTTTTCACTACTTTCTCTGTACCTCCCAGGCGAAGTGTCCAACCATTCGCCATGCATATAAACAGGCTCCACCCCTTAGCAACGCACACATCCACCCCAGTCACTACAAGTCACCAAACATGCTGGACAATTAGGATCACAGTCACCTGAGAGCCAGGTACGGGCAACAACGCACCTATGCTAGCAATCAGAAACTCTTCTTGAGAGAGCGAGATAAGACTGCAATGGGAGAACACAGTCTCTTCAAGGATGAGAGGGCTCCAGACAAAGTGGGTCAAGATCACACTCTCACTGCAGGAGGGCAGACAGTTCAGAAAAGACAAAGAATCAGAGCCAGCAAGAACTGGGGGACCTGGTTATCACTGCCATGGAGAAAGGTTATAACAAGTGGGGACTACAGAAATCAGAGACAGAGAAGAACACACAGCTGGCCAAGAGTTCCAGGTGCAAACGCTCGAGAGTCCACATTCAGCCCCCTGCTGGAATCCATAAAGTTCCCCACCCAGGGACTCAGCTGCTAAAATGGCTGAGGTTCACCTGTTTGTGCTCATCCATGCTTCCCTCCCCACAAACACACCATCACTCTCCTGTCCCTCTCCACAAAGTCCTTCACTTCCATATATTTCAAGCAAAACTGGCAAAGGGGAGCAAAAAAAAAAAATACAACTAGCAAGAACCTGGTACAATCTGAGTATGATTGAGCACTGAGCTGACCCATAGCTCTGCATATCCCACATAGTGACCCACATAGTGCAGTGCAATGTGACACAGTGGGTGTGAGCTTGCCATAGCCCTCCACACACAGTGCAGCGCAGTGTGATGTGGTGGGTGTGAGCTCGCCACAGCTTTGCATGCATACATACTGCAGTGCAGGGTGACGCAGTGGGCATGAGCTTGTGCTCCCAGCACAGGATCCACACACAAGAGACCCTCCAAAAACACACAGTGGTGTGTAACAGCCGGTTCAAGAACAGTGCATAGCTACAACTCAGCACCTGAAGTCCCCAGGTTAGCGGGTTTTCTTTTCCTTGTTTTTAATCTAGTCACTGTTCTGAACAGTTTGAAAAATTCCAAGTTGTCAAATAGCTCAGCTAGTTGTCAGAACACATGATGAGAAACCAAGAGCTAGCTTAACTATTTTAAATTCAGAAGTATTTTATAATAAAGCTAACAAATAAGATGATAATCCAGGTTTTCTCTACACAGAATATGCTCTAAGATTCTGACTCAAACTGGTTAATCTATACAGTTCTGAGAATGTCTCATAATCTAACACAGATAAACTAGGTCTTACCTGTTTCTTTAAGCTATCATTCAATCCTTTCAATGCATCAAAGGAAGACCTTAGCCTTTTGCTTTCCTTATTTCTCTCTTTAAGAACTTCAGTTAAGTGCCCAACTTCTGCATCATGTTGCTAGGAGGGAAAAAATAGAGATTCACTGTCACTAATGCTACTGAACATAAGTTACATAAAAATTACAACTCCCTGGGACTTCCCTGGTGGCTCAGTCAAGAATCCGTCTGCCAATGCAGGAGACACGGGTTCAGTCCCAGATCTGGGAAGATCCTACATGCCTCAGAGCAACGAAAGCCCTTCCACCACAACTACTGAGCCTGTGCTCCACAGTGAGCAGTCACTGCAATGAGAAGCCGCCTGCACACTCCAACTACAGAGTAGTCCCGCTCGTCACAACTAGAGAAAACCCTGCGCAGCAACGAAGACCCAGCGTAGTCAAAAACAAATATATAAAATTACAGGAAATAAATAAAAAATAAAAACTAGGCTTTAAAAAAAAATTACAACTCCTTGAATCACAAGGACTTTAATCAGTATATTTAAGCATAATGGCTGACACTGCAAGTGATTTATAAAAACTGGATAATCAAGCAACCTAATAACAAAGCATTAAAAATATATGTTAAATACCTATTAAAACATATTATACAAATTAAGTAGCATTAAGGCTATTTTCGGTCCGGCTCAGAAAAATCTCCAACAGAAACTCACTGAAATAATTTCTGACATCATGGAATGATAAAGGAGTTCTGATCCTTTCAGGAGGCTAGTTAATTATTCATAGCTTTGTGAATTAAAATTTAAGGTTTAAATTAGCCCTCTGGAGAAGAAATATTCCACACATAGAACTGTTCTCATAAATTAGCTAAAATGGTCATACATCTCAGAAAACTTAAATACATAATAAAATTTCCTGAGCCCCAAACAATTTGACTTTCCTTAACCAGTTTTATAAATATTAAAATCAATTTCCCCATAATTATACTTAAATAACAGCATGGTTTAGATTTGTGAATACTTACATAGTTTCTTTCACTTTTTACTCTCAGATTTACTCATAATGTATTAAAACAAGAAAATTTCCATAGGAAATCAAGAAACTGATTTCCTTCTTCCAAGTAATCACCCAGGTCCCACTAAAATAAAACAGTGAGCTTTATACTTCCTATAAGCAGCAAACAGACAAATCCAGAGAGAAAGAACCAAGGCTGAAATGAAGATGGAGTGCACAGAAAATCCAAAGTCGTTATAAAAAAATCGGCTGTATGAAATTTTACGATTACGATAAACAACTCCTTAAATAACTCAGACAAGACCACAAAGACAACACTTATTTTAAAAGTAATATTAACATTCTCAACTGCACAAATTTTCCATCCCCAGAAGATATTAAGACCATTTGACACGGGTTCCTTTTCCAGAAGGATAAGCCCACTGAGCTCCGCTTCTCTTACTGATCACAACTAAAGCCACACAAAAAACACAGAAAGCAACTACTAAGGACAGTCAAAGGGAAACAAGCAGGGAGTTGCAGAAAGGAGGAAAAACCTGGGCAAATAGCCCTCAAGGGGCTCTGTTTCCCCATTTCTCCAGTGGCCTTGCCCCAGGGCAGGCCCTGGCCCTGCTAATTGCAGAGAAATGGCTTTGCTTTCCAGGCCTGGGAACAGGAAGAGGGGATCCATGAGCCACGGATGTGCTTAAATCTAGCTCAGCCCTGAGCTGGTGAAAGCAAGGGGCAGAGACAGGAGCTCAGTTGACAACAAGCCCAACCCCACCCCTGCCCAACACCCCACAGGCATCTTAGGGACCCAGAGCATCACAGCAAAGGCTGAGAAGCCCAGCCTCAGGCCCCCAGTGGTGCCTGCAGCACACAGGCTCCAGAACAACGGCAAAGGCTCTGGGAACTGAGTGAACACGACAAGACACAGCCTGAACCCAGCTGGGCACAGTACTATCAGGCTCCCAGAGGCTACGCTAGGATCCCAGGTCTACAGAAGATGAGCGACGCCCAGAGGACTGTTGCAACCGGACTCTGCAGTCAGTGCCACGCTCACCTCCTTCATGATCTGGAACCTCATGAGGACCTCTTCTCTGACGTCTTTCACCTCACTCAAGGCACCTTCATGTCTGAAGAGCAGCTCTTCCCTCTCGACCAGAAAACGTTCTCGCTTCTGAAGCTCCTCAGCGAATTCCTGCTGGGCTGCAGTCTCACACTGTGAGGAAGGACAGAGTTAGCGCTCTGGGAAGCTCACTCAACTGAGCATCAGCCAGGGGAGTGCAGAGCAACGACCACACAGCACACGGGAACCCTGCAGGCCCCCAATGACGGGATCGGCTAGGAGACTCCAGCGTGAGGACCTGAGAGAATCCAGGGCGCAGATAAGGGGAGCACCATGGGGACACCCCCCCCCTCCCTCCCGCCTTCCCATCGTCCCTGGGAAGAATGCCTCACCCCTGCAGAGGAGCCCCTCCAACATTCCCCCTCCAATCAGCAGAGCAGGCTGCAGTGGAGCCCAGAAGTCCTCTCATGACCCCTCTATCCCCACGGCCATGCGAGCCTCCTCCAGCCTCCTCCAGAGCCCATCGGCAACCACAGCCGCTGAGCAGGACAGACAGGGTGAGGCCGTGGCCTTACAAAGGGAGGCTGGGCTTCCAATTCCTCGGCCTCCTGACCTCCCACCTGGACAAACTTCTCTGAAATGAAGTCCTCAGCGCACTTCAGTCTGGCCTCAACCCTCGTCCCCCGGAACCAGCTTCAGCATCGCTGACCCTCAGGCCCGCTCCAACCCCGGCTGCACCTGCCCCTCCCTCTGGTCCCCTTCCTGGCTGCCACCCGGGCAGCGCCGAGTCCACACCTGCAGCTTCTGGTGAATCTGGAGCAGCTCGTCATAGATCTTGCTGACCTGATGGGGCAGCAGGCCTGACTTCCGTGGGGCCCTGGACGCAGGGGAGCCAACATGCTTGGGAGGGGAGTCGCTGCCATCACTACAATAGTCAGCCCAGCTCCTTGAACGTGAGGCCACATTAGCTGGCCAGGCATCAGCTAAGAGGACGAAATTTAAATTAAAATCTCAGTTTACAGTTTTAAATATCCTCATTGTATTGTTAAAATGTTTCAAGTACTATATGCCGAAAAAAAAGGAGGACGCAGTCAACGGTTTACACTTAGAAAATCTGGGTGAAAGCCATCCAGAAATTCTCTGTGGCCTTTTTGCAACTTCTCTGTAAATCTAAGACTATTTAAAAAATGAGTGGGCTAACTGCCTTGACAAAGAGATGGAGAGTTACCTCAGAAGCCCTGACACATGCACTTTGGCACGTTCCCTTACACCAAACTAACCACCAATCCAAAACAGTGTTCATCACTGCTCCACTTCTTTGACGTTTAAAAAACTATTTGTTTTACTTGTTTTAAAACTTTATGTGATGTCTGTAATTAATCATATAATTACACAATCTCTATAACCTCCTCCCTTAAATAACGCGCTCCTGTGTTAACGATGGCAGCAGGTTCACGACCCTCCATGGCTTTAGCCTTTGACAATACCTTGTGACTGCCAAGCTGCACCGTCTGCACAGAGGCTGGGGAGCCTTGCTCCTGGCAGCCATGGTGAGAGCTCCTGCAGTTACCCCGTGCATTCAACTGTGTCCAACTCTTTGTGATCCCATGGACTGTAGCCCACCAGGCTCCTCTGTCCATGGGATTCTCAGGCAAGAATACTGGAGTGGGTTGCCATGCCCTCCTCTAGGGGATCTTCCCAACCCAGGCATCAAACCCTCATATCTTAAGTCTCCTGAATTGGCAGGTGGGTTCTTTACCACTAGCACCACCTGTGATGCCAAATCAGTTACCAAAGTACCCCCTGCCCCCGCAACCCTAGCAGTGGAGGTGAGCCCTCCTGCGTTGCTCCTCCCCAGCACTGTGCTGTCAGCATTCACGCTCTGCTCACAATGAGCAGTGACTTTCACCCGCACTAGCCTCCAGCCAAGGAGGAGCCCCCGGCTGTAAGGAGTGGGTCTCCCTGGTACTCCCCATCTTGGCTGGACAGACCAGGGGAGCCAAGATAAAAAACAGGAATTTTTAAAAAAGAAAGTTGTTTCCTGTTCCCCAGCTCCATAAGCACCCTTCCAGGGAAACACTCCGTGCTCTGCCTGCCTCCCCAGGCTCCTAGTCCACCAGCTCCAGGCCGGAATATTCCTTAGTTCTGTCAACTTTTAAACACACTCAACATTTTGTATATGTTATAACATCTTGTATTCTCAGTTGTTTCCAGTGGGAAAATCCACCACACAAATGCAGTCAGGTACAGAGAGCAACTGCTGACTCAGGGTGAAGGAGGCCAGGCCTCAAGTGACCTGGCCTGTTTTCCTAAAAGGTGTAAGGGTTAGTCACCTACTACCACAATCTTAGGGCATCCCAGGTGGCTCAGTGGTAAAGAATCAGCCTCCCAACGCAGGAGACATGGGTTCAATCTCTGGGCTGGGAAGATCCTCTGGAGGAGGAAATAGCAACCCACTTCAGTATTCTTGCCTGGGAAATTTCTTGGATAGAGGATACTGGAGGGCTACAGTCTGTGGGATCATAAATGAGTCAAACACGACTTAGCAACTAAACAATAATCACAATCCTACTTCCTAAGAAATACTGACAAGAAAAAGAACTGAAAAGATTATAATATTCATGAATTATTAAGTTATTTTGATAAACTTCGACAGTGTGGAAATTCTACTGGAAAATCATGACGTTTATTTTCCTCTTCTCCTTTAACTTAATGACAAGCACAGCAACCAGTTCATGGCTTACAAAGACCCAAGACAAAGAAATGCACACCTTGAAAACTAGGGTCACCACTATGGGGTAAGCTTTAGTGCCCTACTTGACAAAGCTGCTGTTAAATGACTGTTCTGAAATGAGCATTTCTCTTACCTTTGTCTGTCTCTTTAAAGGACTGCTGGTTTATTTTGGAGGCACTGACTCTAGAGTCATTGCCGGTGAACTCTTCTTCTGTTTCTGTTTCTTTCAAATCTTGAAAAGAATCCAGTTCACCATCTAGGCTTTAAAAAAAAATCAATCACAGCATTCTGGAAGATTTCTACAGTCATTTAAAGAGGAGACTGCTTCAAATATTAGCAGCATAGCAATTGAAAAAAACTGGTTAACAAGTAAACATTTTTAAAAAAGGAAAAGGAAAAACTGTAAACTACCAGTCATGATGCTGAAAACTCACATGTGTGAACTTTCCCCACATTCAGACATGCTCAACTGCAAAGTACACCCTTCCTCCTGACCCCGTATTGCTGTGAGGTGGATCGAACAGGCTCTGTGTCTCTAATTCTTTTAACTACGAGAATGAGTGTTGAAGGTGGGGAAACTGAATCTTAAGTTAAATAACTCACAGGGTAACTGACAGGTGACATAATGAGCAAAAGGTGAAGCAGAACTAGAATCCCAGATGTTCTCTCCAAAAAGATCATCTGAATGTTGGCATTTCCAGAGCCAGCTGTTCAAAGGGAATACACTACAAGTCACAAAAGATAAGTTAAATTTTTCGGGAATTCTTTGGCAGTTCAGTGGTTAGGACTCTGTGCTTTCACTGCCCAGGGCCAAAATTTAGTCCCTGGTCTGAGAACTAAGATCTCAGAAGCTTTGCAGCACTGCCATAAAGAAAGAAAAAGAAATTCTAGCAGACCCTTTAAAAACATAAAAAGACATGAAATTTTAACAGCGTATAATATTTAATCCAATATATCTAAAAGATAATCATTTTAACATACAATCAATATTAAAAATAAGATACTTTACATTCTTTTACCTATTTTGAAAATGCCATGTTTATTTTTTACTTACAGCACAACTTAGTTGAGACGAGCCCCTTTTCAAGCACTCGACAGACACAGGTGCTGGGCAGCCCTGTAATTCCACACTAGATCACAAGGGACTGGTGGGAAAACTGTCCAAAGTTAAAACCTTTCACAGTCCTAAAGCTTCAACTTGAAACAATACCCAGACCATTTAAAGAAAATAAAACTATCAGTTCAATATGAGAAAATAATTTCCATGAACTTATAACTTCCCACAGTTTCCTTTCTCTATAATCAAACTTGGGACAGCAGGGAGATCAAACCAGTCAATCCTAAAGGAAATTATCCTGAATATTCATCGGAAGGACTGATGCTGAAGCTGAAGGTCCAATACTCTGGCCACTTGATGTGAAACGCTGATTCACTGGAAAAGACCCTGATGCTGGGAAAAACTGAGGGCAAGAGGAGAATGGGGCAACAGAGGATGAGATGGTTGGATGGTATCACTGACTCAACGGAGATAAGCTTGAGCAAACTCAGGGAGGTGATGATGGAGAGAGAAGCCTGGCGTACTACAGTCCATTGGGTTGCAAAGAGTCGGACATGACTTAGCAACTGAACAACAAGCACAACATTAATCAAACTACCCATGTTTACATCTTTCTTTAAAAAATATTTATTTGGCTGTGTTGGATCTTAGTTGTGGTGTACGAAATCAGTTGCTCCACAGCATGTGGGATCTCAGTTCCCCAACCAGAGATCCAACCCACATTCCCTGCATTGCAAGGTGGATTCTTAATCACTGGACCACCAGGGAAGTCCCCTCACATCCATGTACACACCTTGACTCCAGATCAACTAGATGACTCTGTGAGCACGAAAGGAGACTGCAGTGACGGTAATGGTAACAGTGGTGCATCTGAGTGCCCTTCAATGTACTGAAGAGCATTCTAAGTGCCTCACACACACTAATAATCAGAAAATGAAACAATGCAAGCTCCAAGGTATCAATCACAGTAACAACAGATATTTCAGGCACAATGTTTTTTTCCCTCTCCAGAATTACCTCAACACTTCTCTTTATATATGTCACATCTTTATAGTTAAACATCACTTCAAAATGCTTGTTTGCTTTTGATACCTTAGCACTTCTTTCTGCCACATATTTTTGGCATTAATAATATTCAGCTTAGAACTTTATTTCACCTTACCTTCCACTGGTTTTACCCAGAGTAAAAGCTCCTCTACAAAACTGCTGACCCTTCACAGCCCAGCAGCACATGGTGTAATATTCTGTAGGCCCCAACCCCAGGGCTGACCTCTTCCATCTCTCTCTGCTACCTAGGTACAGCGCAGTGCTTACCACAGCAGGAGACACACAGGAGACACACCATACCGACTACCGCTGAATAAACTTGTAGTCATTTTTATCTTAATTCCTTATTAAAAAAATAAATAAATAAGGGAGCAAGGCCTTCTTTTGGGTCCTGGATGAAGAGCCATCTATCCTGCAGTGTAAATAACCCTGCATTATATCTGCGAACAGGACGCTAGGCGTGTGGTTCCATCAGATGCTCAGGAACTAGCGCCCAGTCTCCTCCACCGCCCAGCGGGCTCCGGACCGCGGATGCCTTCTCCCACAGAAAGGCGCACACCAGGCAACCTCCGCCCCCCTTGGTTTCTCGATATCGGGGGAGGGGGGTGACCCCCAGCAGGACTCGGGGTACCTTGCCAGTTCACCGTGAGAACACCGCGGGGGGACGCAGGGCGCCGCCTCCTCTCGTCAGAGAAACATCTCAACGACGGACCGACTTTATCTCCACAGGAGAAGATGTCCAAATCCTCTGTGAACAGGAGGGAAGGCAGCCGAGGCGGCTCGGTAAGGTCCGGCACCGACCACCTCGTTCTCGGCGTGGGACACGAACTTCAGCAGACTGGCCTCCGAGCCGCTGGTCAAACAGCATGTAGTTCATCGCCTCCCCCGCCCCCGCCCCCACCCCGCACGCGATCCCGGCATCGACCCGGTGCCGATGACCCTGTTCCGCGTCGGAACCGAAAGACCCAGGCGGCAGGCCAAGTCCCCGAGGGCTCAACACAGTGCTTCTCCCTCAGATGAGCTCTAAGAATTGAATTCACACGATAAACTACCTACACCTGCGGCCTGCGGGGAACAAACAACCCAGCCACCGCCCTACCTGGGGTGCGGGGAGGCCGCCGCCGCCGCTCCGCCACGTCCGGCCGCCGGCGTCCCGGCTGGAAGAGAGCATGGAGAGGTGACCGGGGAGGGTCAGTCCCCCGGCCCCTGTCCCCTCCGACTCCTGAAACCCTGGCCCCGCGAGGCGCCCCCTTTCGCCGCCCATCAGGCACGCCGGGCCCCCGCACAGGAGCGGCCCCCGCGGACCCACCGGGCACCTTGGGGCACCGGGCCCCAGCACCTGCGGCGTGAAACCGGCTCGGACTCACCGCCCAGCGCCGGGACTGACGCAGCTCGGATCCTCACCCAAGTCTACGCGAACGCCTGAGCGCGTTCCCGCGGTGACGCGCATCGATCCTCCGACGCGCGTGCCCGCCGGGAGCCCGCTCCCAGCCCGCCGCCGTCAGGGGTCCCGCCTCGCGCTCACGCTCCAACCCGCAGATCCGGCGACCCGCGAACCTGGCAGGGCCGGGCCTCACCTCGCCGAGGCAGCCGCCCCCCAGGCCGTAGCGGCTTTTCAGGCGCTCCACCACCAGATCTTGCCCCGGCGGCTTCACGACCCTCGGTTCCATGGCCACGACCGACGTCGTCTCCCTGGCAACAGCGCGCGGCGGGGCGCGGCTGCGCGGAGAATATGCGCCGTGACGCACGACATGCCCTGCCCCCGGCAGGGACCCTGACTCGTTTCCTGGGGAACAGAGCTCGGACTCGTGGAGGGGCGGGCGTTGCGGATGAGTGTTACGACGCGCGTACACCCCGACTCCCGCATGCCGTCGGCGCGAACGCGGTTGGGCCCGGCTGCGGGCGTTTGTACGTGTTTGCGGCCCGTGGGGGCGAGATGCGAGCTGGCGTGCGGGGCCATCGTTTCCTTTCCTTCCTGAGGGTCGCGGGCGTTCCGCTGGGGTCGGGTCGAGGCGCCATCCGGGTGCATCTTTCTCGTACGCAGCTCAGCTTGTCCTGGCTGGAGAAGTTGGTTTCAGCCTGAGCATTCGTTTCCAAACCTGGGTCCACAGCTGTAATGGTTCAGGGCGCCTCTGAGTCCCCCGTAGCCCAGAAGCCCCCAGGCACTTGCTGTCACCTGGGACGCGCCCCGAAACCACGGAGAAGCGGAGCCCTCAGGACCGGCGCGCACGCACCGCCCCACCCCCCTGGCCCCGCAAAACACACACACACACACACACACACCCGCACACGGCCCCGCAAAACACACACACACACACACACACACACACACACACGGCCCCGCAAAACACACACACACACACACACACAGTCGGGGGTCAGGGACCCCACCTCGGGCGTTGAGCAGGTGCTGGCCCAGGACAGCCTGTCTCCAGACCCCAAACAGCGCGACAGCCCCGCAGTCCGAGCACACCGCTCCGGCAGGGCCTGCGACGATGTGCACAACGTGCTCGGGGGACTCCAAGGTCCTACACTGAGTAGGCTGAGGAGAGCGTCCCCCTTGTCCAACTTTTTCCACTAGCCATTTCCAAGTGAGTGTTCAGTATATACCCCACTTGAAAACAGTTCTTTCTTTGGGAGTTCTGGTAATTAGGTGGCAGTCTGAGTTTACAGATATTTAATTATTCTCTCTTTGGTTCCAGAATGAACAAACGATTAGATGCACAAGTAATGAATTTTTTAAATATCATGGCTGTTAACAATTGTCACTTTATTTTTGCTACAAAATTCACCAGAAAAAGGTACTGCAACAGTCTAGTATAAAGCAAATTTTTAACCAAAGAACATGGTATAGACCTGTTTAAAATACTCATACTTTATCACAATAACTGCAAGGAAAAATTCAAGTTCTATCAGAACCAATGCAGTTTGAGGTAGTAGAAACAGATGACAGAAAGGTTTTTTAAAAAATCTAATTACTCAACTTAAAATGTAAAAATTAATTTAATACCTTTGAAAGGGCACAGGAAGCTACATATCATTTTAAGGAAAAAAGGTACTCTGCTTAAAAGATAATTTAACTATACAGGAGGTGCAAGAATTTATAGAAGAGCACTTTGGTTAAGTCTCTGCCCTCTGTGGCTCTACCCATTTACAAGTGAATCTCTGTTCATAACTGAACACACCAATAGTTAAAATTACCAAATATAGTCCAAATCTGAAATAAAAATTATCCAAGTCATGGTCCCTTTATTCAAACAGTAAGTATATCCATGCAGGAAGTCTAATATCTTAAAAGGAACTAAAATTAAATTGCATATATCATATTCTTTCAATAGTTTGAGAAGGTCTATTGCTTTTAACAAGATTAGTATTCCATTTTAATACAAATATGTCAGGAGTACATAAACACAAGTACACCTGAAAATACACCAGTGTTTAAACTTTTATTTCACACCATGCAAGGTCAATTATAACACATTAGAAAGTGACAACAGCTATAAGCTGCAATTTTACATTTGTACATTGGAAACGTCCATTTTCAAAAGCTGAACATAATTACCATGTTGTCAAAACAGCTAGGCCTCGATTCAACTTTTATACAGGTAAAATTTACTATGGAAAACAATGATTTTATATCTGTCCACATTCTGTGATGATAATTCGTCGACTAACAGACCCTTGAGGAGAACCAAATGATTCAATCTTTTTCACAGTATCCATACCGTCTTTAACAAACCCAAATACTACATGCTTAAAGTCCAAATGTTCTGCTTTTTTCAGTATTATGAAAAATTGAGAATTATTGGTGTTCTGGCCTTGACTGGCCATCGATAGTAAACCAGGTCCTGTATGTTTCACATCAAAATTTTCATCTTCAAATTTATCTCCATAAATGGACCGTCCTCCTGTTCCATCATGTTTTGTGATATCTCCCCCCTGAAAAAAAGATTTCAATTAACAGGAATCCCAAATAAAACATTATAATACATACAGAACTAACCACTGAAGGGTAGGTCCTAAATACCCAGCTTCTCTGAGAATGTAGTTTGAAAACTAAGAAATTTGTGAAAGGAAACAAAAATGAAAAGATCTTTTCCCACCCTTAATTTCTATCAGGTTCAAGGCCTTAGAAATATGAACCCTTTTAGGCTGCAAGTTCTTGTGGGGATAGAAGCTGGGGGTGTGGAAAAGCTAAAGTCTACAATTACAGGTAAGGAAAAACACTCAGATTTCCCACACTTGTGTGCTGCACTTGTCTAGACCCTGTTGTGATGCACACTTAAAGACTTACTTGGCAAACAAAATCTGGAATCACTCTGTGGAATATGGAGCTCTTGAAACCAAAGCCCTTCTCTCCAGTGCACAGTGCTCTGAAGTTCTCAGCAGTTTTAGGAACAATGTTTGAAAATAATTCCATGGTTATACGTCCCAGGGGCTCATCATCTGCACAAACGTCAAAAAACACCACAGGATTTGTCTCCTTTGAGAACTCTGCTGTCAGTGATAACTGTCCTTTCTGGGGTTTCAATAAATTCTGTTGACATTCTTCAAATTTCTTCTTGAAACAATCAGCCATTTCTTTAGTTTTAAATCTCACTGCAAGCTGTTCCACTTTGGCTTCTCCATCTGTTAAACAACAAACAACACAGTGACCTTAGTGTTAAAATAACTGTTAAAAAATTGTTTTATATATTTGCAGTCAATGTAGAAAAGTCAAAAAACTAGAAAGTAGCACTGAGTGCAGAGCTCACCAGCATAATCTGAGGCAGTCCAAACTAAAGCGTTGTTGGAAACATTCAAGGGTTTCAGTTCCATTGTCTTGGTGATGACGTGGTTCGCACACACTTTGAACACCTGGTCTCTTCTCATCAGAATCCGATAGTAATTCTTCACAGTGTGCCAGAGGATCTTCATGTCTCCAACCCCACGCTCCTTCCACTGACTGGCCTCTCGATCCCACCTGTAAAGTTTGGCTCTCTCTTTAAATAAAATTTCTTCATCTTCTTCTCCAGATTTCACTTCTACCTGTGACAGGAGATGAAATTACCTATAAGCTGCTACTTATAAAATACTCAACAAATTCCAAAGATCCAAATTCCTTAACACACTGACATGAACAGAATTTGAAAAGAGTTAACATCCTAGGGTTACTAATACAGCAGATTTGGATGAGGCAGTAAAGATTTGTCATTAAATGTTTTCTTTGTACTTATTAACATTCTTCCTCTTTTTGGAAGTCAAATACAATCTTTTACAGGAGAGAAGAGGTTTAAAAAAAAATCTTGTTCTTCAAGAAAAATACTATCTACTGATTGAGGCTGAAACTGATAAAAATAATTTGCCTAAAATAACATTTTTGTCTAGAAAAAGTACAATATACTTTTTATTGAAAGGACTGTGGCAAATGTGAGCTTAAATAGGTTTTTAATTTTTTGCCCTTTCAATTGTTATTAAAAACAAACAGGAAAAAATTAAATTCTTCCCAACAATTTCACACAGAATTTACCAAATAACATTTGTATGTAAATTTTTTTTACAAGGACGATTTACATTTTAAGATTGAACTTGCAATAAAAAGCTTCCATTTGCAACGGTCAATGTTCTGAAAGAAGTTGGTCAAACAAAGGTCAGCCCTACAAATCAAGCCCATGTCAAGTTTTAAGTTTTAAAATGTGAAGTTAGTTAGTATAAGGTTTTTACTCTTTAATATTTACCTCTGGTAGTGACACTATTGGTTCAAAATGGATATCTTCATTATGAACTACCTCTTCATCACTACCATCTTCAGCTTCGCCAACTTTACTGGTTGACTGTGATCCAAACACCGCTGCTCCAGTATTTGCCCACTGGAAATTTTTATCTGATGAATAAATTAGGATATTTAAACAGTGATATCTATTTTAATAAGCTTTTAATTCCCGTTAGAGTACTTTATGAATGAATCTAATTTCCAACGATGTGACATACTTCTAATTAAAATGCTTAAAACTGTATTCTCCTGGCAAGTTAAGCTCTAGAGGTGAGCACAAAGGATGTGTAGTAACATTTATGCCTGGGTGTACAGACAGGGTTGTCTAAGCCTTAGTGACACTGAACTTTCAGTAATGAAGCAGTTTCTTCATTCAAAGTACATCCTTTGAAAGGTGAAAACCCAGCTCAGCTCCAAGGGTAGTTTATTTCATAAAACATTCTATCACATGAAAAAAGTAACTTTAGAGCCTAAGAATGTTCTCCAAGAGGCCAAATCTGCTACTTTCAAAGCAGATTGAATACAAATTGGTAACTTCTCCACCTCAGCTCTCTTCTAAGGTTAAGTGGAGTGAGAGCTTCAACTTCTTGCCCAGGTGGCAATGGTGGCCCCAGGAGCAGCTCACTGACGCCACCGCCACCCCCACCCCACCCTCTCTCAAGCAAAACCAGGTTTAATGGGTGAAAAGGCTCCCCACTCCTACGCAGAGGAACAAAGACTTTTCTCTCCCTCAAACCCTAGAGAAAGGGAACACTAAATGCTGTTTTTTCCACATCTTAACTGTGACAACCCAGCCTGCTAATATTAATACATTCCCCACTATCTTAGAAGAAGGAAACCTCTCAACTCTTCATCGCTATGCTGACTGACAAACCACTGCTCTCTAATCCTACATCTGATCCAAACTCGGGAGAAGGCAAAAATTGTCACGTATCAGTTAAAAACTCAGCACCTTGAAGAAAGAACAAAATGAGTATCTAATGAAACAGTAAATTCTTCTAAGACAGGTTTATGGGGAGAAAAAAAAAACAGGAAAGAAAAAAAAAAGTCGTACAAATAAATAGCAAATGAATGTTCAAACAAAAGCACCATCCCAGATTGTGTGGGGGCTTTCTGAGGATAGTAAGCACAGACCTAGTTGATTCATAGGTGTAGGGCTCGAAAAGAGCTTATTCAGGAACTCCCAAGCAGAAAAAAATTTTCAGTTATCCCAATACCTTGAGATGTATGGCAGAAAATCTCAAAATTCCTCCAAAGCAATGGTTCTTAACATTGGGTGCATATTAAAATCACCCCAACAGCTCCTATGAAACACCAGTGCCTGCGTCTCACACCCAGAGCCCAACATAACCTATCAAGCGTTCCACCCGCCCCCCAACTTTAAAAAGCTCCCAGGAATTCTAATATGAAGCAGAGAATTGAAAACCACTGCTTTAAAGGGGCAGGAAAAAGAATTTATTCAGTAAAAGTATAAAGATAAGTCTGTCAGTAATCAATAACTGTATTCTAGGCAGCAATACCTAGGATGCTTCCACTCTGGGTTTAATGGAAACATTACAAAATCCCAAGGAAATATGATAAAATGTCAGTCAGAGGCACAGGGAAGCAGCATATAAACAGCTGTTTCTTATTTTCTCTTAGGAGTTTCTGTATGAGATATTACATACAGTAATATCTCATAGATATAGAGTGACCAGCAGACCTGTGTGAAGATGACTTTCAGGAGAAATAGAGAAAAAAGGAACAAAAGAAAGTGAAACAAAAATAAAATCAACAGATGAAGAAAAAGCAATCACCACAGAAATAACACATAATAGAAAAGGTGAAAGAAAAGACTCCTCTGGGCTTAAAACCAACCAAAACAAAAAGTTTAAGATCAAAAAAATCCACACAAGGTCAGAAATATGTTTAAGAAACAAAAAATCATTCTGATGAAACTGACCTTTAAAAAAAAAATTTAAATCCTACAAGCTCTTAATCAAAGGCTAAAGTATTAAAAATTTACAAGTGTGAAAACTCTCCATGAAAATATATGAAATGGATTCCAGGGGATTTACAGTTTCAAAATACTATTCTATGCTTATATTATTAGCACAATATAAATTAGACATTCAATACACAAGAAAACTAATCATAATTTAAAGGAAAGTAATGACAAATCTGGAGATAAATAAAAAAACAAAAGGAGAACTGATAAAACCAAAAGCTACTTCTTTGAAAAGACAAAGCACAAATTCCTAAAAAGCACAGATCTAAGGACATAAACTAAAAGGTGTAGCTTGAAAAAAAGAAGCTTGGTGGATAATATCACTGGATCAGCAGGTAACTCAGGGCAAGCCTCCCACACAGATATGGAGCTGTCCTATGTCAACTTTACTGCACAACACTGACAGAGTATCAAGCAACCTACACATCAGCTTTTATTTGGCTTTTCATTGGTGGATAATTGTACCCACTCTATTGCTGCATTTGCTAACCTATTATCCTGTAACTTCAAGCTACTAAATAAATTCAAAATAAAGCAATGTGACATCAATGAAGCTATGAATGCCAAAGTAACGCAACATCTGAAGGTAATTTCTTAAAGTTTTATAAATGTTTCTGTAAATGACGGAACTGTGAAACAAGTAAAATATGTGTGATGGAATAACACTATTTCGAATTAATCATGTAAGTATGTATCTTCAATAAAATTTATTCCACAGATCAAGCATCAATTCAATTTAGGTGGTGCTATAATTTGTTATATGAAAGATATTTAGGAAGAGGAAAATACAGTATGCCATAAAACAAGGAAAAGGATTACTTTCTACAGATGATGCCAAAACAGACCAAAACTAGAAAAACCACTGGAAAAGATGGGAGAGCTCACCAGTTATAAATTAGCACAACCCTTATATGAAAAAATACAATCAAGGATAATGCAAAAACAGAAAACTTCAAAGTCATCTCCTTAAAAATTACAGATGTACATCTTGAAATATTAGCAAATCAAAAGTGTAATTAGAAGAACAATCCCAAAGTTACTCCAAAACTGGAGGGAGGGCTCTGCATTTCAGGATGGGCAAGACTAGCACAAGTTACAATGAATTAAGAGAAAATTCTCATGGTTATATTAATAATAGTAAAAGTAATAGTAAAATAGAAGCCCTTCCTTTAATAAAACACTAGACATCTGGAGGGAAGGGCCAGGAAAGACATGGCCAGGTAAGCAACAACCCTGCAACAAAGGACTCAGCCTCCAGGGGTGCCTACTTCTGTAACACAGTCACTGAAGCCTCCTCTTCTCCTAATCTTACCTTTGGATCCAAAAGCAAAATCCCCAGAGTTACTGGAAGCCAAGTCCGCAAATGACAGCCCTGTGCCACTTCCGAATCCAAATGCAACTGTTTTGCTTTCCACTGGCAAAAGGGAAAGAGCAATTTAATATTTCATTTAACATATCAAACACCAAGGATTTACCCAGGACCCAAAGGGAAGGGGTGTATGTGTATATGCTGGGAAGGGGGTAGGACCTGCTATACTACTGATGCAGTGGGGTGGAGTAAGGAGTATTTTTAATCTAGTTATTTCTCTGAAGAAAACTTACAAGTTTACAGGTACTATTCTCAATGAACAATACACCAGAAGCAGCATGTTCAAAATCATTTAAAAAAAATGAGATGTAGATCTATACTAAGTCAGACAGAGAGCTACACAGCTTCTGCTTCACATGGTCGAGTATCATCTAAACAAACACTCATTCCAAGAAGGATTTCAGGAAATATCTATGTAAAGATTCTGTGTTCGCTAAGAGAATTGAATTCTCTCATGCCCCTTTGTGGAGAAGGCAATGGCACCCCACTCCAGTACTCTTGCCTGGAAAATCCCATGGACGGAGGAGCCTGGTAGGCCGCAGTCCATGGGGTTGCTGAGAATCAGACATGACTGAGTGACTTCACTTTCACTTTCATGCACTGGAGAAGGAAATGGCAACCGACTCCAGTGTTCTTCCCAGGAGAATTCCATGGATGGGGGTGCCTGGTGGGCTGCCGTCTATGGGGTCGCACAGAGGTGGACACAACTGAAGTGACTTAGCAGCAGCAGCAACATGCCTCTTTGTACATCTCAGTTTAAGAAAGGGAATTCCTGGATGTACATTTCAAAGTATCATCTCAGAACCACAGGTGTACCTTATGCAGAAATTCATGCCTACAAGGTTGCTATAAACATACACCAAATTTTACCTTGGCTTGTAGAATCTCCATCATTTTCCTTTCTAGTAGATAAATCCACAGGTTTGTCAACAGTTCCAGAAGAAACTGATGGTGAACTAACAGATTTGGTAGTAAACTCTGGCTCTTCAGATTTACACAAAAATGGCACAGTCACTTTAGTGTCATCTGTACATATGCCATCGGCTGAGCTAGCTATGTTCTTGTCCTGGGATTTCTGCAAAGAGAAAATAACAAATAACTATGCCATTAAATACTGAATGACAAAAAGGATCGTATGCTCTATTGTACAATAAGCAGATGACATGGAGTTCTGGACAAAGTGGAGTAGGCATACTTTTCTCTCCACCATGTTACCGTACCTCCAGTCTCTCTGGCACCTGCAACTCAACTACACTGAAAAGGACAAAGTGAGCAGAAGTAGCTGAGAAGTGGATGGGAGCAGGAGGACCAAGAATCTTGAGACATGAAGCAATGTGAGTCTACCAGAGAGGAACACTGGCTGAGATGCATGAGGCAGCCAGGTCTGGGGATGAGACCATGAATACCTCAGCCTCCAGGGGCCAGCCCATCCAGGTCCACAAGCCACAGCAGGAACCCAAAGAGGCACTGGTCTGAGCCAACTGCCCCCCGTAGTTGCTCCTGCTGGTGCTGAGATACGAGCCCTGGCACATGCTGCTGGGGTGCTGCCAGCAAGGATGCAGGCACTGGGTCCTGGGGCCCATCGTTCAAGCGGCCCACCCCTAGCCAACATGGCCAGTCCCTGCCTCGGGGGCCATCTCTGCAAGGACTGAGAGCACACAACCTCCTCTGAAACCCCACCCCAGGGCAAAGATGGCTTCTGGAAATGGACGGTGCTGAGCCGGAGGATGGCTAGGCAGAGAAGAAGAAAAGGGAGGTTATGACTGGGCCCCCTCGCTGACCTGCTTCCTACTGCTTACAGGGTCGTCCCAACAAAGGAGCACTGAACCTGAGTGAAAGGGTTTCTAGTCGGAGCTGCTGGACAGCATCAAGAGAAGAGATTTTTTCTCTGATTGTCCCCTCATTATGGCGTGTGGTCCCCAGGTATAAAAACAACTGGAGAGACAGGCAAAGTGACATCAGAAATCCTGGCCTCACCAAATCCGCTTTTAATCAAGACCATAAAATATGTCCCTTGAAGAAGACATATTTACGGTAAACTTCTGTGTTTAACTTACGAGAAAAAAAGCCTCTCAAGCTCTGAGGGACAGTAAGGTAGTAAGAACCTGGTGAGTTTTCTCCTGCCCCCACACATCAACCCATATCCCAGCAGGGGTACAGAGCTGTCCAAGAAACTGGGGCTGCCAACAGCACAGATAGAAAAGCATCCAAGAAGAGTTGGCTTTCTTTGGCTAGGGATGGGGAATGTCATAAAATGATCTGTTGAAAGATCAGACAAACTCTGAAAAGCTTCTAGCAATGTTCCAAGAGGTAAAGACAAATACGCTTAAGACAAATGAAAAGAGTTGTCAGGCAAACAAATATAAACCACAAAAGAAAATCCAACGGGAATTTAGAATTGAAAAATACAACAGAAATTAAAAAACCACAGAATGCCCCATCGAACTGCAGCAGCATACATTCCTCTCAAGTGCATATGGAACACTTAAGACAGACCACGTTCTAGGCTAGAGAACAAACCTCAGCAAATTCAAGAGAACGGAAATCATACAAAGTATATGCTCAGTCCATAATGGAATTAACTAACATTTACTACAGAAATACAGCTAGGAAAAAAATCTCCAAATATCTGGAGATTAAGCATTACATTTTTAAAAAACATGTTGAAGTCTCTGGACAAATTAACAGAGTCCATCAACAATGATCCATGGACATTAAACAGGAAATACATTTTAATGACCTTCTCAACTCCAGGAACACTATTTTGCCTACAAATGTGATAATGCAGATGAAATGGACCAATCAATTTCTCAAAAAAAGTAAACTGATAGAAGAAACAGATAAAATGAATTGGCCTATATTTATTAGAGAAAATGTATTATCAATTAATACATCCTTACAAAAAAAAAAGTACCTGGCCTGGTGGTTTCAGTGGTAAGTTCTATCAAATATTTAAGAAAGAAATATCACTAATTCCTACAGTGTGTTCCAGAAAACAAGCAGATGGAACACTCCCTAACAGGGTACATGCAACAAAAACTGACAGGAGAAGCAGATTTGCTGGGCAACACTCCTGTCAATAATCAACACAACAAGCAGATGAAAAATTAGCAAGGATACACTGGACTTGGACACTACAGCATCAACTGATTTGATCTATTTAAAAACCTGTTTTCAATGCAAAACAAAAAAAAATTACATTCTTCTCAAGTGTACAATGAACACCCACTGAAACAGTGGTCAAGAATTCTGTAAGAACTGAAACTATTCAAAATACACTTATAGACAATAATGGAATTAAACTATAAATCAGTAACAATGACATCTGGAAAACTGAATATTCGGAAGAAACATACTTTTATCCAATGCATTTGTCAAAAAGAACGTCTCAAGGAAAATTAATAGTTTGAACTGAATGAAAGTGAAAATATCTCATATTAAGACTTGTAAGATAGAGCTAAACAGCTCTTATAGGAACTTAAAATGTTTATTAGAAACAAACTGTCTTAAAATCAGTTAATTTAAGCTTCCACTTAAACTAGAAAGAGCAAAATAAAACAACATTCTTCAAGGATTAAAGACAGTGAATGTACAAAGTCCGGAATACCAGCTGGTGGCAGAAAGGAATGCACTATCACTACACACAGTGACCGGGCCACATCTCAGAGGCACTGTGCTAAGTGAGAAAAGTTCATATCAGAGCTTACATGCTGTATAATTCCATTCATGCCAATCTGGAAAAGGCAGAAACAAGCAGATCAGTGGCTGCAGAGGTTCTGGGTGGGGAGGGATCTGAAAGAGACAGTAGGAAGGAATTCTTTGGGGTCTGGAACTATTCTGTATGCTGCCTACGGCGGGGATTACAAGAACTCAGGCATGTTTAAGAACTCACAGAAAACATACACACAACAAAAAGTGAATTTTACTTATGAACTTGAAAAATATAAATGAAAAAAGTCGTTATTTCTTAATGACTGAAACAAAAGGAAATGGTAGTCCACTCTGTTTGTGTCAAATGATTTAGGCTATCACAGTAGTAGTGTTTATTATAGCCAAAAAGAAGAAACAACCCAAATGGGCATTAAACACATGAACGGATAAATAAAATGTGATAAATTCATACACTGGAATGTTATTTGGCCATAAAAGGACCAAGTACAGATAAATGCTACAATGTGGATATATCACAAAAACTTACTAAATTAAAGAAGCCAGACACAAAGGACCACATATTATGATGTTTATATGAAATGTCAGAAAGGCAAATCAGAGACAGAAATGGTACATCAGTGGTTATCCAGGCCTAGGGGAGACAGGGAGAAATGGGAAGGGTGATGACTGTTAGAGGTTAACAGGGCTTCTTTTGGGGATGATGAAAATGGGTGAATTAAACAACAATAAATGTCACCCCCGAAATGCTGACTAGATTACTTGGGAGAGGAATGTCATAATTCAGCTCCTAACACATCCTCCACTTAAGAGGCCATGAACAAGAAACTCCTGTAGACAAATCCAAAGGCTGCTCCCTCGTTCAGCACTGCACCCTGACCCTTGGCAGTCCCGGCACACAGTCAGCACCTGTAACCACAGCATGCTCAAGCACTTTAAGCCAGGAGTGCGCATGTCAAGAGTTCATGTAGTCAGGAATAAATCAGTGTAAAGCAGGAAAGATGTGTCGTAAGAGGACATCATCTACATCCATCCACAGAACATTTTAGTTTAATGGCTGTTAGTTCTGTTTCACCTCTGTCTATCAAAGTGCACTCTCCTCCAAAATTACAATTCACTGAAACAATTTTTTTCCCACCCTTATAGTGACTTACCACATTTAGTTTCTGTGGCAAAAGGAGCCTCTAGGATTTTTATTTAAAGAATATTGTGTTACAGGATATTTTACAAAAAGATTTTAACTTATGACAATGATAACACAACAGTCACTCAAATAAGATATTTTAATAGCTATGAACAGCACAGTACACTGACAAAAGAGACCAAGTCCTGTGGACACTACAAGCAGGAAAAGAATAAACACTGTACAACTCAGCATGTGCATCAGCACTGAGATTACTTCTCAGTTCTATTTTTAAGGCTTGAAATACATTAAAAAATGTAAGTTTATTTTTCAGTTTTGCACAAAGAAAAGTGAAGCCATATTTAACTGCACTGTTCACTTAGTATGACTGGACTGCATCTGCCAAGTGAATGACCGCATGCCAATGCCTCCAGCAGCAGTGATTAGAGGTGACTGACAGAAACCACACACTGTGCACTGCCACTGAGACAGGGAAACAGCCGAGTGACGGAAATACACTTTGGATTCAGCACAGCTGAATGCAGAAACTTTAAATAGTACTTCCACAAATAAACCTATCTGGTTATAAATGAGGGAGGGCTGTGTCGACGTTAGCTCTTGTGCACTGACGAACAAGTTTACACCTACGGAAGAGCCGGCACAGCCTCGATGGACAGCTGAGAGAGCAGGCTGGCTACTCCTCAGTGTCAAACAGACAGTGAAGGTCAGTAAGTCTTCCACAGATCAGGACGCATGCTGGCCATCTCACACTCTTCTCATGTATCCGTTAAAGAAAACACTGCATTCCCAACTCCAGGACCTACTTTATTTTTACCATATTTACAACAATTTTTAAAAAAGTATTTCATGAGGAGCAAGGAACCATTCTGATTATGTCAATATTGTAAACAATTATAAACGACTAGTGTTCTAGTTTCTGTGGAACACAAATTCAGACACCAAGGTGCTGACAACTATTAAAATGACTACACTTGAACTAAGAAAGTAGTCAGATCATGAACTTACAAAAAGCCAAGTATACAGATCATGAAAACTAGGCTTCAAATGCTATTTCCTATCCACTCTGCCCACTCCAGAATCATGTAACAGGCACAAAAAGTATAGCACTTAATTCGTTCTTGGTACGGCAGTAGACCTTGTCAGGGACATCAGCATCGTCCATGCTACCACTGCAACTTCTCAAACCCAGCACACACGCAGCAGTGATAGGTGGGCCTTCTGGTCCTCTGCCCAGAAAACAGTTTCTCATCCTCTAGCCAGAGCTGACCAAGGCGCCCACCCACTTGCCAGACGCACCCTACTGTTACCATGTGCTAAGAACACTCTAGTTTATTGCATCAACAAAGGCGACTGAGCCAGAAGGAATGCCAGAGACAGTCTTACTTGTGCCTCCTGCACTTTCTGAAGCTCCGACTGAAAGTCGTCCGCATTTCCATTGTCCTCATCAGTGTCACTGCAGACGCCACAAAAAAATGTAGGCGGAAGCTTCAGAGTGTCTGCTTTTGCCTTCTCTTCAACTGTTGGCTTCTTTTCCCAAACAATAACACATTCTTTCTCATTATCTGAAAATCCAGGCAACGCAAACAAAGCAAAGTTAAGATAAAAGTAGATGAAGCCCAACCAACTCCACAATAATGGCCCACAATGTCACCTACAGATTAAAGACCCAAACACTAAGACCCTGGATGCTAATGGAGAACTAGCACCACCAGGAGTGATGTTTCCCCTTCACATTATTTTTAAATATTTTAAATCACCAAGGCAAAACTGGAATTCACCAATGTAAGCAGATTGGGAGATTCCTTTAAACAGAAGATTTTTAAAAAACACTTTAAATTATTTGTTTTAATGTTACATACCTGTTAGATTTTCTTCTGATAGTCTACATGTTTCTGAGTCATCCAGATACAGTTTTCCATTGAGTTTCTTGACAGCTGTGTCGAAATCTTCATCTTAAAGTATAATTTATTAAATAAATAAAAGAAATTGCAGTAACTTTCAGGAGATTTCCCAGTCAGGAATCTAGGAAAATTATCTGCAACTTCCCATTCACTCTCCCTTACTCCCTACATCCAAACAGCAACCAATTTCCTGATTCTGCACCCAAACACCTAGTCTAAGCTGCTCTGGCATTTTGGGGCTCTGAATGCCTTTCTCCAGTTCCTACAATCCAGTCCTCTAAATCACTGCCCAAATGTCCTACCGAAATTATTTTGAGCCCGTAAGTCCCTGCCTGAGAACTCAGATGGGGTCCATAGAGCTTTCCTACTCAGACCCCGTTCTTGCTGCATGGCTCAGCCACCCCTCTGAGACTCGGGGGAAATCAGAACTGCTTTCAGTCCCCTCAGAACACCTGTCCTGTTCACAGCAAAGACCGGGGGAATGCGGACACACAAAGGCAGCTCTTCTAACCATGACATCCACTGACTGTTCACACACATTTAGAATCAACACGGACCTGCACGAACAGCAGGGGTGGGGGCTCCAGGAGGCTTAAAGTAACTTCATGAGGCCCGTTCACTAGGATGAGCATGAACAGAATGCTCTACAGCAACAAGAGACTCACCGTCTTCCTCCTCCTCGCTGATGTAGTCTGGCCTGTTCTTATAGCAGAAAAATGTGGGGGGAAGCTGAAGTCTGCTTGCAAGAGCTCTTTGCTCAGGGGTTGGGGTTAGCTCATACACAATGAGAACATCATCATCAGAGGGAAGATCCTCAGGTTTTTTCCTCTCTTCCACTACAAGACAAGTCAGAAAGACTGATAAAGACAAGGTGGTAGGTAATTAATACCAATATTGTAAGTAAAATAAAAATCTTGGAACTTCATTTTTAGGTTAAAACAGCATGCTGATGAAAACACACATTCTGATGTGGACACAGCTCATAATAACTGTCAGAGTTAGAAGCCTGAGGAAATGTTCTAATAACCTTAATAACCAGGAAATAAATCCATTTTACTTTCAGTAACTAACCACCGAAGAAAATACTACTGATGGCTATAAATTTAAAAAGGTATTTTAAGAGTGCTGCCATAACCATACTTGGCATACTAAATGGTTTAGCAAAGTATCCATGCATTTGCTACAACTGAAAAAAATTAAAGAAATCATGAGCAAATATTAGTATAAATACAAAACTAACTCAAAGCCAGTACCAATGAGACCCTACAAAGAAAGCTAACAACTGCCAAGGCCGGTGAATGATTAGAATTACATCCACTTTCCTGTATTTCCAAGCATGATAACATTAAATTAAACCTGTTACCCTCTGGGTAAATCATACTGTAAGCATCTAAGACAATGTCTGTTCGCTGAAGAACCACGACCACCACCAAAAAGGCAAAAGATGGGGAGAAAAGAAACTCTTCACACAATAGGTCGTGGTCTATAAGAAAGGACTTCTAACAGAGCAAGCAAAGTCATGGAGTGTGGCTGTGAAGCAGTGCAAGTGCAACCAGTCCAAAGTGAGATGTACTCCATGTGGGAAAACACACACAGGGTTTTGAACATGTGGAAAAAAGAAAGGGGGATAATCTCATTTTTCATACTGATCAGAGATTGAAAGGGTACTCTGGATGTAATGGGCTAAGTTGAATAGATTATTAAATTTAACTTCATCTGTTTCTCTTATTTCACCTGTTTCCTTTTATTATCAAACGCTGATACTAGAAATTTTTAAATTACATATACTGGTCATACTTTATTTCTACTGGATGATGCTGATCCAGAAAACAGCTCTTTAAAATGCTGAACCAGCCTTTCACTCTCCCTCCTTTGTTACAAAAACTGAGCATCAGTTCTTGGCCAGGCCCCATGAGAGGACACTGTGAGACAGATTCCTGTTAAATGAGATGGCCTCCTTGGGCCTCAGTCTCCTCAAGTCCCCATCTCTTAAGGTCGTCTGAAACCAGGACGTTCTCGCACCTGAGAACCGGGCTTTGTCCCGCAGCAGTATGTCAGAGCATTTGCTCCCAGACCAGGGCTCTTTGGCTAGGGTCCACAGAGTCTGTGCACAAGTATGTAACACACACACACACACACACACACACACACACACACACACACACGCGCGCGCGCCACACAACTTTTCAAATACTGCATCCTTAATCATAAACATTAAGAGCTGCTGCAGTTAGGAGAACAACCTGTGTACTTTACAACTGAGCTCCTAGAAATCACAGGTGGTCACTTGATTACTGCAGCTGTCTGGCATCCGAAACACAGCTGTCCTTCTGGGGGTGAGTCTTGGTCTCCACAGCCTGCTCCTGAGGGTCTCTCACAGAGCGCACTGCTGAGTCCTCCACTCCACTCCACTCCACTCCAGCATGACTCCACAAGGGGCCTGCTCTAACTGGGAATAGCGAGATACGGGGGAGCTCTTCCAATAGGGCAGACTTTCACACACAGGATCTTTGTCAACCAGGGAGCCTAGGTTCCCTGTGGTCCACATGCTGCTGCTACCGTGTCTGGACAGAAGCAGACAGTGACGGTTAGGTGACACACAGGTCTTCACTAATCACAGGAGAAAATGATGATGTACAAAACAGACATGGTAAAGACCACACAGATCCACCTCGAAAAGACGGAGTACAACATGTGAGAAAACATGACATCCAAGTAGGAGAGCAGTGTTACGGGCTCACGAAAGCCTTGTCACATGCACGCTGCAGCATCAGGCACTTGATCTCATACAGCCAGTTACACTGCTGAGCACCAGCAGCTGCTGACAAGCGGACGCCCTAGCATACTGCCAGTGCCAGCTCTGTACCTCTGTTCTCAGGCTGGGAGGAAGGGGTGCTGGTCCAAAAAGCCATTGGATTAGATTTAAAAAGGCTAAAGTTAAATCCTAGAAAATAAAGAGTATTTCATTTTTGAACATTTTGTGAATTAAAATGAACGCAATTTTAAAATATAAAAGCCAGATTCCGTCCATTTACACCAATGTGGCTGTCCCACACATCCACCTATCCTATCCCAAGGCTTTCATTCTTTGCTCATTGCCAAGACTGCTCATGGCCAGACTGCCTTACCTAAAATGTGAGCATGCAGTACCGTCCAAGAACATAAGGGTAGTAACTGCAGAACAAACCTACTGAAGTCCCTAGCTTCAAGTGAACCCTCAGGATTTGAGTGCTAGTGGCCTGGACCCAGTGCTGAGCTGAGTTCTTGTGCTCTGTGGACAGACATGTCTCCCTGAAGCCGACATCTCAACAACGTGCACACACCCTCTCTGCTGCTGCTGAACACTCACCACTAAACCGGTTTAGGGAAGAAAACAACCCACACAGACATATTTTCGGAAGGAAAGTGGGGAGGGAGAGAGGGTGAGAGGAAGACAAAGTCTGCCTCATCTAAAGACCAAGCGCTTACCCTTTTCTGGAGTTTTAAACGTGTGGCTGGTTGAGAACTGCTCCTTCAGAAAAGCAGGAGAGGTGTTTTTGACTTTGCCGTCAGAAGCCGGTTTGAGATCAGAGTTCTGCGACTCCTGGCAACCACCAGGTTCCACTTTTCTCTCAGATCCACTCTGGGCTGCTGAACTGGCTTCACTACTGTTATTTTTCAGAGGTGTGTTAAAACTAAATCCAAACAATGATCCAGTAGCTGAACTGTTGCCAAATGCAAATGGTTTTGACTTTTCACTGCTAAAAATGCTTTTAACAGACTCAGAACCAAATACAAACTTTGGGGGTGAAACTACTGCTTTTGTTGTTGTTTCAGGGGTGCCAGACACCCCGCCAATTTCTGAGGTTGTGTCTGCCGCATCATCACCCTGAGACAAATCAGTTCGTTCTCTGGTGGTTTCTTCTAACACAGCAACAGCCATTTTCCCACAAGGTGACTCCCTGGGAGTGGTCGAACGAGCAACGTGAGGGGTTATCAAAAAATCTTTTTCTTGGGCCACTTTTGCTTCATCAAATATTTTCTTAAATGAGTCTGCAACATCCTGTAGTTTAAAACGAACAGCTAAATGTTCTATTTTTCTTTCTCCATCTGCAAAATCACATGCAGTCCACACCCACACTCTTTCGGTCCCTTTCATATTTTGCAAAGTCATGTCTGGAGTTATTCTGTGGTTGGCACAAAGTTTTAATACCTGGTCCCTTCTCATCACTATACGAACTTGCTTGTTTTCGTAGTTCTGTAAAATTTTTATATCGCCGATGCCTCTTTCTTTCCACTGACCAGCATCTTTATCATACCTGTAGAGTTTGGCTCTGTGACTAAAAACAACTTGTTCGTTTTCTTCCCCACTGGACACCTCGACTAGATCAGGCAAAGGGACAACAGGCTCGAAGTGCTGTCCGTCTCTCTCCTCCTCCTGAGTGACATCAGAGTCTTCATCCGTGCCCACTGAGGCCCCACTCTGATTCAACTTGCCAGGGGACTTGGACGGGCTCAGAGCAGACTTGAAGCTGAAGTTAAAGCCAGTGGTAGACTCGCCGAAGCGGAAGAGGTTTTTCCTCACGGGGCTGCTGGCTAGCGGGGAGGCATGCACAGAGCTGCTGCTCACACTGTCGTCCAAGGCGTCCTCCCTGAGGTCATAGTTGTCCCACTCCAGGGTGGGCCCCGTGGTCTCAGTGTTTGGCGCGCCACTCACATCGGCAGCAGTGGCAGCTCCTGCTCTGGAATCCTTACTGTCTTCCTCACTGACTTTTGTCTGATCGTTCGTCAAAAACGTCTTGAAATCTTTTAGCCCACTCTTCATTTCTTCCGCTCTCTGTATTAACTTGGCGGCCCTGCCAGTATCCACAAGCTTATGGGGAGTCTGCAGGGGAATGTCTAACAGAAGTCGCTGGCATTCCTCAAATTTCTGCTTGAATTCTTCAGCCAGTTCAGGTGTCTTGAATTTTGCCGCCAGCTGCTCGAGTTTGGCATCGCCATCAGAAAAGTCACTGGCCAACCACATCCAAGCCCTGTCCGAGCCGGAGAGGGGCTTCAGGTGCATGGTGGTGGTGATCCAGTGGTTGGCACACACCTTTAGCACCTGTTCTCTCCGCATCAGCATCCGCAGTTTGCCGTTGACTTCGTTTTTGAGGATTTTTAAGTTCCCCAAGCCCCTTTCTTTCCACTGACTTATCTCAGCATCAAACCTAAATAATTTCACCCGCTGTGAGTAAAGAACTTTCTCATCTTCCTCTCCTGTGACCAGCTCCACTTTCTCAGGCATCTGGACAACTGGTTCAAAATGGATGTCGTCACTGTCCTCGGTCTTATAGGCATCATCATCTTTCTCATGATCAGCACAAGCGTCCACTTTATCAGCTAGTTTACTACTTTGTGATGAGAATAACTTCTCTCCAGCACCTGAAAATCCCTTGAAATTGGGGTCTTTTTTGCCAAACTGAAACCCTTCTCCTGAATTTGACTTGGCAAGATCTGCAAAGGTGAAAGTGCTGCCAGTCTGACCAAAGATCACAGTACTCCCGTCTTTCTGACCACCAGTGTCTTGAGCCTGACCACCAGTATCCTCGCCAAAGGACTTCTCAGTAGTCTTCTCCTGATTTTCTGTCTCTTGAATGCCAAATTTAAACCCACCAGCAGACACAGGGACAGAAAAACTAAATCCTTCCTTTGCTGATTTAGAGTCTGTATTAGAAGAACTCTGAAATTTAAATGAAGGTGCATTTTCCTGATCCACGAGCCCAAATTTAAATCCCTGTTCTGCATTGGCAAACTTAAAGGCTTTTTCTGAAAAGTTACTCTTAAATCCTGTTCCTGTCTGACTTGCACAGGAGTTACTTGTCTCAGCTGTGGAGCCCACAGGGAAAGTGAGAGGCACTTCTGCAGCAGGGTTCTGGGTTGGGTTAGAGGCACCACAAGCCACACATTTTGGAGAACTTCCTTCATTTCGTATCATGCAGACATTGCAATCCCACTGTCCCTCCTTCTTGGCGAACAGCTCCTCAAGTCTACTCTTTGGAGCCTTGCCTGTTTCTGAAGAAGCAGGTGCTGGAGCAGCAGAAGCTGGAGGATTCTGACCTGGGTTCTGACAGGCCACACACTCGGCCGTGCTGGCCTCATTTTGCACTGAGCAATCCCACTGTCCTTCCTTCTTGGTGAAAATGCCTTCAAATCCACTCTTTGGAGCCTTGCTTGTCTCTGAAGTACCAAACTTTAACGAGGCAGGTGCTGGGGCAGTGAAGGCAGGTGAACTTTGTTTCCGTGGAGTCTGACAAGCCTCACATTTCACAGAACTTCCTTCATTTCCTCTCAAGCAAACACTGCAATCCCACTGTCCCTCCTTTACTGAAAAAACGGATTTGAAATCACTGCTGGCAGTCTTAGGAAGATCTCCCTGGCCAAATTTAAAGGAAGGCTGCTTAACAAGTGGAGATCCACTTTTGCTAGCAGGCTTTTTACTCTGACATTCAATGCATTGAGACACAGTGGGGTCATTTCTTACAAAACAAACACCACAGTCCCAGTGTCCTTCCTTCTTTAGAGTCACCAGAGCAGATCTACCGGGCGTATGTTCTGAGCCGGGTTTAGGAGCCGAGACAGTTTCAACTAATGGTGGGCCGAGGAGCTCCTTACTGCCTGGGTTTAGATTCTGGCATGATATACACTTCTTAGCAGTTGCCATGTTCTTCAGTGAGCAGATGTTGCAATGCCACCAAGACCCTTCTTTCTTTGCAACCTGAAATTCAAAATTCATAGTTATGCCATCAGATTTGTCAATATCCTTACTGTCATGACCTGTGGGTTCTTTTATAGTTCTCGTGGCCTGATGGGTGGTTTTGGCTACATTTGCTCCTGAGGCTTTCAACAGGCTCTGGGCCTCTTCAAACTTGCACTTGAAAAGGGCTGCCTCCTCAGGCGTCTTGAACCTAATGGCCAGCTGCTCTGGTTTGGGCGACTCATCGGCATAGTCCAGAGCATACCACACAAAGGACCTGTCTGAGCCAGCGTTAGGGGCAAGGGCCATGTCTGGGCTGATGTAGTGATTTGCACAGATCTTCAGCACCTGCTCACGTCTCATGAGCAGGCGGATTTTACCGGAGGTTTTGTGCCTGAGGATCTTAACATTGCCGATTCCACGCTCCTTCCACTCTCGGGATGCTGCATCGAAGCGATACAACTTTGCACGATTGCAGAAGAACTCCTCCTCGTCCTCCTCACCAGTCCTCACTTCGATCTTGTCAGGAAGAGGCACCACGGGCTCAAAGTGAGGGCCATCATCCTCCTCGTCCCCCTGTGCACTTCCCCCATCAGCATCGTGACCCTTGCTGGCGGGCTCTGTGGCAGGCACTCCGAACACTGATTTCCCTGGGCTGTAGAAAGTAAACATATCATCACTGCGTCGAAAACCAGAATTCTTTGGCTGATTTGTACCCATGTTCTCGGTTAATGAAATTCCAGGCACATTTTTGCTTCCAAAATTGAACGTATTTCGAGGTCCCATGTTTTGAGCAGCTTTTGGTCCACTGTACCCATCTCCCTGCAAAGGTTTATCTGAAGTCAGCAGACCTAAGAGGCTTTCATTATTGTTGTAAGTCGTAGAAGGGGGCTGTGCCACAACCTGTGGTGAGGAAAACGTGAAGTCACCATCATTTGACTTGAAATTTGAATTAAATTTGAAAGGAGTCGGCTGTGTTGTATGTGCAGGTGCTGCCAGAGATGGCCTCATTCCTTCACCAGGCACTGGGTGAACAAAATTGGTTTTTCCAAATTCTAAAACCTTAGGTTCTGCAGACCTTGAAGCATGTGCTGCAAGTGGAGGTTTTGTAAAATAACCTGGTTCTGGCAAAGGTGGATTTGTGCTCGTCTGTTGAACATTGTAATTAAAGTAATCATCACCCCTGGGTGACAGAATTCCTGTTGCAGGAGACTCAAAACGCAATGGGGGGCCATACATGTCTTGAGAGAACATGCACGCTGATGAGCTCTGCACGGGCGGCGTGTGCATCTGCTGGGGGTAGCCGTAGACGTGCTGCTGAGGTGGAAGCCTGTTCATGCCATAAACCGGCCCCTGGAAAAAGACAAAGTGAACACTTTTGTAGGCTGTCCATAAAACTATAGCTTATCTCGATACAAACCAATTCTCAAGAACCTCAAGCATGAGTATAAATACACCACTAGAGCATAACAGTGTGTTCTTAAGACATTGCTACAAGGTACTTACAGCTCTAGTTCTTGGCATGTCCCAAAAATCGCCTTAACCAAAAACAGCACCTTACACATCTAATTCTCCTACACTAGATCCGTAGAATAAATACTTTCCTCACTCCTAAACACAGTGTCAAATGATGTTGATAATGATGATGATGACGATGAGCACTGACAATTGTTCATGTGCCACTTGGGCATAGCTTCAAGTTCTGTACACATAGTACCTTATTTTAATATTCTCAAACCCTACAAACTAAGGCACTAGTATCATTCTATACATAAGGCACAGAGAAGTTAAGAGCTAGGGCCTGGATGCACCCAAACCCCAGTCTCTGCCCAGCTCTGCTGGGGCTGGTCTCCATGGACACTTGGTCACAGTGCCTAGGCCTGCGAGTGCCACCCACAGTGCTCCAGGGAGTGCATCACAGTCCTGCCTCTTTCACAACCGGACGATGAAGCTCCCACCACCACCACTCCTGTTCAAAAATATTCTAGATGTTCACATATATGGTATTAAAACTAGATAACTAAGAAACATGTCTTCTCTATCCAGAGAGAAATTTAAAATACCTATACCTCATGGGACATTTAACTTTTAATGTTTAATTACTTCTTGAATTAATCTGTAGGAAGCTTGGACAATTAAAAAGGAGATATTTATAAACATAAATTATTCCTTTGTTACCTTTGTGGGAGTAACATTAGCTGCTGGTCTGAGTAGATACTGGGTATTATATGCTGGTGACTGACTATAACATACTGAATGGCCAGTAGTTGCAACTAAAAAAAAAAAAACAAGAAAAAAAAAAAGAAAAGAAAGAAAACACTGTTAAAAAAAAATCTATGCTGCAGGTAGCACTATCTAGGCAAGAACTATAAATACAAAAGCAGTAGAAATCAAAGATTTAACTACAGAGACTTTTAAAATTTTTCTATACATCAAAATACACCATAAAGATGATTATCAAATGACAAACTAGAACAACTGCCAAGTGTAACAGGAGCAGTGAAGGCAGCAGCAGGTGGGCACCAAGAAAGCCCCCACAGTGAGCACCAGAAGGAGCTAAGAGGAGTGGTGGGCCCCCTTCCTGAGAAAGAGGGGCTCGATGTGAAGACACAGTCCTGCCACATCAGGAATATGGGGGAGACACTGGCCACAGGAAGGACTTAAGGAACCAAAACAAATGTGATGGCCTCAGGGCCACAATTTTGAAGTGAGGCTTGAAAATCTGCAGAATGACAAGGTTGCATTTTATACTCAAGCTAACAACAACATTCAGGTCAAAAATCACCTGGCAAAGTCACATAAAGGATCTCAAAAGTAACACAAAATCTGCTTCTTGGCTTAATAAACAGGCTACAACATGACTAACACTCGAGCTGGTGCCCAAACTATTTGCCCCACCTGCTTTGTGTACGTGTCTGTCACCAGGAAACCAACAACTAGAAGACACTCCTGTTGATGGTAAAAACAACCGAAAGCCACTTGCCTGATCTGTTTTATGAAAGTTTTACCAGAAAACAAAACAACTTAAAGATCATTTATAACTTTACACAAGGAGGAAGTGGAAACTGTGACCCAACAGGTGCTGACCAGCCGACTCTGGAAAGTCCTGCAAAGGCCCAGTGAGGGTAAACCAGGCCGCCTGTGCTCCCTGCACAGTAACACAGAGGCAGCGCCACTGGAGAAGCCCACAGCTGAGCAGGGAAACTAATGCGCTGCTTGCAGGGGCTCCTCTGAAACATTCCTGGGAGAAAACAGGCAAAGAACACAGAACAAGTGGATGGATATATATGGGATAAGAATTATAACATCTGAAATTTAACTAGTGACATTATCACTGAGAGTGAAAGAAACAGTTCAGATGTCTTATAAACCTACCCAAAAAAATCCTACAGAAAAAAAGCACCAAATGAATAGGTAACTCATGAAATCTAAGTGTGCTGGACATTCCTAGTATTAAAAAACCAAAAATTTAAAAGCTGATATTATCTTTGCTTTTAAAAATTGGCAAGGTTTTAATAAACTGATAATAGTTAATAACTGGCAAGAATGTGAACAGACAGGCACTACCAGATCCTGGAGTGTAAAAAAAAGTGTAAAACTGGCACAGTTTTTCAGGAAAGCAATTCCCCAACACAAAAAATCTTATAAACCCCTGGAATCCTAGGATTGTGTTCACAGCAATAATTACAACACCAGCAACGGGAAATAAAAACCAGGGAGTAAAACTTGCAGAGCTTCCGTGTGATGGGGTCCTCGTGTTCATTAATGGTACCATCAAAGAATACTGAGTAGAAAAATGCTCAGAACTTAAAGTAGTATTTAAAACACATGCTTACTCATCTCTGAACAAAATGCTAATATGGTGAAAATCTCATAAAAAAAAATTCCTTATGAATACAAACAGAAAGGACCAGAAAAAAATGCTCCAAACTGGTAGCAGAACTCTCTGTGACACGATTAGTTTCCAGTTTTCTTTACACTCATCAGTACTTTTGAGCATTTCCTTATTCGAGCTTACTGATGGTTTTTAGTCATCTACTATCAGCAGACAAGGGCCACCCTGGCACGTCTGGACTTTCATTAAGGAAACCGTCTGTGAGTTCAGGAGGGTGGTCAGGAGCTGGGACTCTTGGCTTGAGCCAGAGCTGCCTGCGACTGTGACTATCAAGCAGCCCTCTGGGGTATCCACTCCTCTCACCTGTTAAGTGAGGGTGTGCTGCAGTCTACAGGGTATTTGCGAGAATAAAATGAGACAATGTGAATGTTATGTTCAGATATGTTTAACAACCAGAAGACCTGCTATGCACATACAAACAAGAAACAGAAATTGTGACCCAAAAGGTGCCCAGTGATAACCACACTGCATCTAGAAAGCCCCAGAGGAAGCCAGCCATGAGCCTGTCCCCGCCAGTCAGGGTCACCATGGTGTATGGCACCTAAGGCAGGCAATGTTTAAATCTGGCAGGCTCCTCACATCCACACCTATGATTGACAGCATTAGTCTGACTTCACAAAGATCTTCTCTGTTACCTGTTGCACTTGAAGGACACTGTCATGAGAAGACAACAAGCTGCTCTGAGGACCCTAGGGACCATCACTAAGGTACTAAACTAGGCCACACCATTCCCAATCTTTCTTTTGAACTAAAACCAATTAATCTAATTACCTCCATTTCAGGAATCTGTCCCACGTGAAAAACCCTGTCTTCATCACCACTCTGGCTGCCTGGGGGCACGTGGCCTGAAGTCAGAGCGCACGTGGCCTGAAGTCAGAGCACCAGAGTCTGAAGCCTCTACCAATAGCGACGTGTACAATAATGGTGTCACCTAATCTTCCAAGCCCATTTCATCTAAACATGGGAATTCATAATGGTATCTCCCACTCTGGGTTACTGTAATTGAATGAAATCACATACACAATGCCTCCTGGCACACAGACAACCCACAGGGCAACTGCCTTGTGCCCTGTGGTTCACTGAATGTTTACTGCGTACTCTAAGTAAATGCCTGATGTACGCACACACACACCCCCCCAACCTATACAAATACAATAACCATGCAATGCAAGTGTTATTTCTATGTTTCAAACAGACAAACTGGCTCAGAGAGCTAAGTACGAGTACAACCTAAAAATCCACTCTACCCTAGCTCAAACTCTCTCCTTCCATATATGAAAGATTTCCCGACTGCCAGACCTCTCGGAATGTCATCAAAATAATTCTCCAAAGTTTAGTTTCATAATTAGGCATCTCTTAATGAATTATCAGTTCACATTTTTCCAATATAAGGCATAGTTCCAGCTCAGTCTCAGCTCCTCCGAGATGTGCAGTAAAGGGTTCTCTAAGCCTTTACATAAACAGGATCAGATAAAGCTTATTTTGTTTCTGGGGTTATAAAAAATCTTGGTAACAACAAATAAAGCTTAAGCAACATATAGGTAGACACAAACATGTAATAAATTAAGGCACACAGACAAGGTGATTTCACAAATTACCTAACTGAAGGAGGCAGCAGTACAGTATCATCACTAACACCTGGGATTATTCAGTTGCCAACTCACCTGTCAGTGGGGCCCCGTGAAAATTCTGTGATCCCTGATAACTATCAGGCACTGGGTCTGGTCCATAATTCTCTGGAGGCCAACGATGAGGGGACCCTGAGCTACTGCTATTTAGTTTCAACTCTTGCATTTCTTTCTGTTGGAAGAAGAAAACAATTTTAAGCAGTTATATCATGGCATAAACAGTGCTAGAGCAAATTTAATGCCTAATGATGCCTTCAGAGAGTCCATACTCCACAGTCAGATCTGAGTACCAGGTGCTGATGTAAAACATGATTCTTAATTTCTTAAAGCTTGTTTTTTGCTCCCATTCTTTTCCCTCCTTAGTATCATTACCGTATCCACTCAATCTAGAGTCAGTTCTAACCTAAAAAATGGATTCATCTCCCTTTCCATTCTACATTTACTTCATCTTTCTAAAGTTCTGTTCAGGACTTCCCTAGTGCTGCAATGGATAGGAATTTGCCTGCCAATGCAGGGGACACGGGTTATATCCTCTTGCTCCAGGAAGATTCCACATGCCTCAGAGCAAGTAAGCCCTCGAGCACCAACTACTAAGTCTTTCGATGAGAGCCAGTGGTTAGGGATCAGACAAGAAAAAGGTAACACCTCCCCAACCCCAGAAGCTATAAGGCAGGTACTTTTCAGGAGTAAGTTATAATAATGAGGTCAGAGACAGATCCAGCATGGCTACCCTCTTCTTCTACAAGTGTTTCAGATGAAATTTCTTGGCAGTCTAGTGGTTTAGGTTCAGTGCTCTCACTGCTGTGGCCCTGGGTCCAATCCTTGGGTGGGTGGGTGGAAGGGGATGGCAACGAAGATGCCCACAAGCCAGGTGGTGTGGAGAAAAAAAAAAAAGAAGTATTTTAGGAATAAAAATTTCCTGGAAAAAAAAAAACCCTGTAACTATTAAGGTAAAAAATACATTGTAAATTTTCAAACTAAATAGAATTTTTCCCATTCATCATCTATACTGTGTCTAGTCCAGATGGTATATATCTGAAAGTAAGAAACAAATGGAATCAGCTGGAAAATTTAACTGGTCACTACTAGTATCTGGACCATAGATTTAAACATCCAATTAAAGCTATAAACATAATGTTAAAACTCAAACAACTAGAACACATGATGAAAACTAGTTTCGACAAGTCTCACTTTATGTATGAGAAGACAGACAGAAAGCTAAGCAAGTGCCTGACCCAAAGTTGTGCATCAATGGCAGTCAGTATTAGACCCTAGCTTTCCAGGCACACAAGAACACCATGTAGGTGCCAGAAATCTACATGGTTAGCATGTAGTATCATGCAAGTCACAATTATACAAAATTAACACACAAAATTCTTATGCAAATTGAAAAGTGCAAAAAAATACAGGTTTCAAGACTTTCCTTGGCATGATTTTAGAAGCATGAATGATTTAGTTCTTGTCAATAAGCATGAAACAACTTGCACCTCCAATTCCAAAGAAGTAAAGTTTCTTTGAGTGCTACAGTTGAGGTCACTTTCATAAAGTTAAAGCATAATCATGTACAGACACCTGCGTCTTTACATAATTAAGTCAAATTCATGTGAAGTAATAAAAAGATAGAGAGACCCTTTGAAGTTTAGACCACTTGTGAAGTCTTAGCTATAAATGTGACATACACACTAGGCAGTGTAAGCTATAATCTCACAAACCAAGGTATGAAGACTATAGCTCGCTAAGTTCACTCAATCACTGGGGACTTCCTCTATGCTGGGAACAGGGCCATGGTTTGGATATGAGTCTCCATCTTTGAAAGAGTCACATCTTGTGGAGGATAAAGACACATAAGTAATTTCAAAAATAAGCTAATGTCAAGACGGAAGCATGTGAAACACAGTATGATTCTACAGTCATGCAGCAGAGGAACATCTGGAACAGTGTTAGAAATGAATGAGAAAGTGGTCAAGGAAGGAATCTTGGAATAAGATAGGCACAGTTTAGAAAAATCAAGGCATTTACCTTAATGGCCTCCACCTGTTCGCAGATCATTTTCAATAAGCAATTTTGATCTTCTGCCCACTGAGGTGGTGTTTTGGGAGAATACTGAAAAAATAACAATGAAACAGTATTTAAAATGTGTGTTTTAAACACACATTCTGCAGTAAAGTGACTTCTCTTTTCCACTTACCTTATAACTTCTATTTGGTGATGGAGAGAATTTGGTGGGAGATGAAGTCGAGTGTTTTATTTCTGAATCTGCATTTCGCAAAGACCCATTTTTATGAAGAGGCGCTCCTTCACTGAACTCATCAAGCTCCTGCATGACTAAATTAAGCATCTCTTTCACAGATTCCAGGGTCACAGGCAACTAGAAATAAAAGGCAGGAATCAACATCTTTAGTTTGCAAAATCACCAACAGAAGAACTCTCAAATAAAAATTTTTATCTTACTAATTTACATTTTCATACTTCTGTGTGACAAGCACACTGTACTTTATATAACAACACACAGAAAATGCTGTGCAATCTAAAGTCGCCTAACCCTCAAGTCCATGCTGTGTCTACCCCTCCTGATGGCGGCAGCAAGGGCAACGCAATGTTAACTGGGGAGTATTTCCATGTGAGCAAAGTAAGTCACTGCCACTCACTCACTGATTCTGAATGAGAGGAGAGGAGAAACACAGAAGCTGGCATGCACCAAACATAACCCTGATCCAAGAGCAGCAACACAAACTCACGAATAAAACAGGTGGAAGGCTGAATGTCATTGAGGTTAATCCCATCACAACAGTCTTAAACTGCTGACAGCTGGGGAAAGGTGGTCACAGGAGACAGTGACGAGGGGAGAAACGTCCCAACATCACGGGCAACCACCCGATTTCATTAACATGTTTAACTGCCGAGTCCACACAGAACTAGTTTCAGTGGCAACATGTGCTGAATATATCGCCAGGTAACAAAACTAAATGCCAGCCTTTTCTAATTCTCCAACAAGCATTTTTCTAACTGTATAAACCTAAATGTCCACATTTAAACACACACACACACACACACATATAAAGGCAAAGGCAAAGTATTACTAATTAAATATTTAAACACCCCATTTCTGTGCATTAATATGGTATCACTAAGCATTTTTAAAATTACCAAAATATAAAATCAAGGGAAAATTCCTTATCACTTAGTCAGCAATAATAAGAAAATAAAATCTGCAACTTACTTTCTTAACTACTGACAGATTTGAATCACAGTCATCTAAAATCTTTATCAGGTAGTCCCTGGTCTTTCTCAGGTAATTTTTGCATTCTTCTTGTTCTTCAGAAGAAAGCACATCATTATCAATGTCTTCTGCTTTTCTGTGAAAAAGCTATACACAGGAGTGCTTTATGAAACAATTATGTTTTAAAACAAAAGCCCTTTAATTCAACTACCACACTACTTACCAGTGCAAGATTCCAATAAGAAACGACGTTATTAATAGATTCAAAAGCAGCCATAGCATCGTCTATATTTCCATTAACTACATCCAACATAGCGAATGTTATGTGTGCTTCGTCTTCATATTCACCAATTTCACATGCCTAAACACATTGGGTAACTTTCAGTCAAGCTGCCTCTACCCAGAATATCAAACCCAAATATTTCCCAACGATTTTACACGATCTAATGAGATCAGCATCTCAGTGTTCTTCTCTGTCATGTTGCATCTGTGACAGACAGAGGACTTAGAAAACAAGACTACCATTCAATAGTCGGGCAATTAATATAAGCAGTTTCTACTTCCATTTCCTTATTTATAAACTAGAAGCCCAGACCTCCAGCTAGTTCACGACGGGACTCTCCATTACCTGAATGTCTGCACTGTGGAAATGCCTGAACAGAGGGTCAGCAGGCTCAGGGATGCTGCTCTTCTTTTTGATCATCTTCAACAATGGTAAAACCTTTTTCCAGTAATGAACACTTCTGCCTATGTATTCTCGTTGATCATAAAAAGATTTAAGATCAAAGCCCTAAAATACAAAGTTAGAAGCACACAAATAGACACAAATGAACAGATTCAAAAACTCATTTGCAGATGTTCTGAACTGGCTAAAACTTCAAATCCTAGGCAAAATAAAATAATCTCGAAAGTCATATGCTCACCTTTCCAAATTCTAGAATAACTAAGCACTTTACCACCAGCACTCATTCTAGACCCAATTTTGAAATACCTCCAATGACACTAACCAATCGGGCAGCCTCCTCTTTGTTCGTGAAGTTGCTATAGGTGCCACAGAACAGACTTCAAATATTGAGCAAGGTCTATAATGCCCTTACCTATAGAGCCTTGTGTTACCCAACAGCTAAAAAAATCTTCAGGTTGGTAACTCTAAGTAATAGTAACAGCTAATACCTGGTAACACTTACTGTGCTAGGCACTGTTCTAAGCACATACATACAAACTATACTAACTACTTTGTGGCAAGACTGAGAAAATAAGATTTCACCTGACACAATATGAACACATTGCTACTGTTTCTAAAACCAAAAAATTTTCAGTGTCAAGTATGTCATTAAAAAAAATTAAGGTAATGTTCTTACAAACTGCTCCACTTCAGTGAACTCACCGTTTTCTGAAGGCATTTTGCCCAGTGCACAAGCAGAGCAGGCTGAAGGCCAGTTTTTTCCTGGCCTCGTAGAGTGTTTATGTCACGCTGAACTAGAAGTCGCAATTTTGCTGAGGTCCCAGGTCTAAAAAAAGTTTTATTTAATGAAATTGGTTTATAAACATGCAGTTCAACACTTACACATATGTTAATCATCACATGATAATTAAAACTTTACATGAGAATTAAATTAAGTCTCTGTGCAGTTAAAGGAATTTTTTTTTTGTTTTTACTACTTACACTGCTTTTCTGTGAATTAGATTACAAACTGCATCCCACCATGCTTTCTGTCTTTCTGTGCAAAGCTGTTTACACACAGGCAGTGGCAAGCACAGAGGTTGATAGAAGCTGCAGTGAGAATTAGACTTTTCCTTTAACTGTAAGTGGCTGGTATATATTACCCCAAGCAGAAATACCTATTTACCAAAAAAAAAAAAAAAAAAATCAATTTAGGGGAAAAAAAACAGTGTTCATGGTATTTAAGTTATTAAAATATATGCTTACTTCAAGATCTAAAATACATATTGATTCAGGTGCATTTGTTTCAAGTCTTGAGGTTTCCTGGGGCAAATGATGAAAAAGCTGTTTTAGCCATTTTCGAACTGCAGGTAAGGTAGGTAATGAATTCCACTGTAAGCCAAGCCAGGTGAGGTGTTGAAGACTACCATTATGTGCCCGAATGGCACCTGAAAGAAAGCAAAAAAACCCAAAAAAACTGGCTTGAGGTTTTGGAAATTTTTGTGTGCCATCAGTTTTGCCAACATAAAACAACTGACTCATAGTAATATTAAATGTACCTTAATGTTATAACTACTTTTCCATATCAGAGTACAAGGAAAATCTATAAGCAAAGTCTAGCGTTCTTAAGAAAAACAGTTTTGATGGAAAAAGTTCTTTTGAAGGAAAAAAAGAGCCTCACTAGAACTCAATAAAACAAAATCTATTGACAGAGTCAAATAAAGAATAGCCATCCAATAATAAATCTTGAAAACAATAGATCTTCCTTTCAGTAAAGAAATATGAAAATAGTGGGATACCACTACATTAATAAATTAAGAAATTCAATACTAAAAAAGTTTATGGGCTTCCGAAAGCATAAAAGAGGAACAAGCTTTCTGGTAATACGGCAATTTGCAAGACAAACATGTCCATCAACTTTACCCCAGTAATTACGTTTTTAGGAAACTGTATAGAAAAAAAAAAATGAAATGGAGACACCTAAAAACTGTCATCAGTATTTTTAACGTAAGTGAAAAAACTTGGAAACATCTTAGCTTCCAGACAGAAACTGGCAAGTACATTATAGCTACATTAAAAAGATTGTATTAGCACCAAAATGATACTTAAGAGAGAATTCATGACACCAATCACGTGTACAGAACTATTCAGAAGAAAAGCACATGCTACCACAACCACTACTAACATCTCATATTACCCTCCCCCCATAAACCTTGAAAGTAATTCACAAAAATATTAAGTCGTCATTTCTGGATAATCCCCCTGTTGCTATTGTGTATCTCCTGGCGTAAAAGGATTAAAATGCAAAGTCTTTCCTTAGAAAAATACCACTTACCAACATCATATCTAGCCAACTCATCAGGATCCGGTTCTTGTACATCAATGCTTCCAATATCATCATTACCAAGGAAAGAGCTATCCTTAGGTAACTGACGAGAAAACACAGCATCGTACAAAGCTGACTGCCCACTCCTGTTGGCAAAGGATTCTACAACCTCTTTTAAAAAGTCTTGCTTGTCACGACTTAAGTTTAGCAGCATATGCCCTGAAAAACAAATTATTCCCATCATTTAAAAGACATAGATTAAAGTTACATTTCTCAACAGTTTCATTCACTTACCCTAAGAGGAAATAACATGACATTCTCAAAATGAACTCTCCAGCCCAACAACCACAGCTGGACCCAAAAGGGTGCTGATGTGAAAAATGAATAGATTACAGGTGTCAAAGCATCTGTGTCTATGTGCTAGAGTAAAAGGAAAGGAAAAAATGTGTGTGAAAAATCCCAAAAGGATTTCCATTTGGAAAAGTGTGGGATTCAAGTGGCCACAGGAGAACAGGATTAAGCTCAAATTCTCTGTCTTGATAACCAAATTTCTAAATCTGGCTGGTCAGAATCATCCTTTAAAAGAGCTCAAAATCTTTCTGTTTAAGTTCTAGACTTCCAGTCCCAGAGATTATGATTCCACAGATTTGAACCTATTTTAAAAACACTCTTTGGATGAGGTTCTAGTTCACGTTCTAGTTCTAGTACACATGGATGTACCCTGAAAGCACTATGCTAAGTAAATGAAGACAGTAATCCAAAGACCACAGCATGTATAATTCAATATACGAAATGTCCAGAATAGAGAGATAAAAGAGACAGAAAACTGGCGGCTGCCCAGGACTAGCGGTTTGCAGGGAAATGGGGAGTGACTGCTAATGGGTACCAAGTTTCTTCATGAGGTAATGGAAATATCCTAAAAGCATGGTGATGATCACACAACTTTGTGAACATACTAAAAATACCACTAAACTGTACACTTAAAATAGGTGAATAATATCATTATGTGAATTTTACACAATCAGGCTGCTTGAAATTAAAAAAACAGAACTTTTTTTCTGTAATTCTGCTGGTCAGTCAGGTTTCATTACTATCAGACAATTATCTCTTCAAAAATTTGCAGAGACAAGCTCAGCAGGCCCAGATCAAAGAGAGTACAACACAGTTCATTTTACAAACTGTGACCCTCTGCAAAGGTAGAAGGGAGATCTGAGAAAAAAACAAAAGATCATTTCAAGGACTCAAAGTTTGTCTCCTATAAAGAAGTAAGCTGTGGGACAGAGGAGCCTTGACCAACAGTCTACCTACAGACCCCAGCTTACAGCTACTCAGATTTAAGATCATTTCCTAACTCTTAATGAAGGCCCTTCAACTTTACATCAAAACTGCCTCTTACAGAAACATTTCCCTACAGAGCCTTCAGTTCACTTTGACTCACTGGCTACATGAACACTTTCAAGTTTGTGCCTTAGGAAAGCCAGAGAGTGTAACAGACCTTTAGGATCCAACCCAAATAGTAAGAACTGGGAATAAATCTACAAATTCCAACAGCCTAACAGTATGCGAATATACACCTTCTGTCTTTGTTTCTAAGTTGTCAGCTCCTGAAGACAGAGATCCCTAATTTTTTCACCTTTTATCCCCAAAGGCTAGCAAACCAGTAACTGATTCTTAGTTCCAGAGGTGCTCTAAAATGTTCTGGATGGAGATTCTAGCAGCTAGATTAAGAATGGGTTAAATGTGTTCAAAAAAGGAAAAAGTTCTTTTTTCTTTTTAAAATAAAATCAGTTTAACGTTACCAGTACCTGATTGGCTCAGACGATCATAGGCCATCATTTCCAGTAGACTTTGTCCAGCTTCTCCTTTTATTAATTTAATCTTTGGTCTTGGAACCTAATTATTTTAGAATCAAAAATCTTAATTTAGTGATACATTTCTAATAGTAAAATGTTCCTTTCTGTTACACTGTACTTTTCTTCAATAATGAATAAACAGTCAATGGTTAAAGAGAGTTGGGAATCCAACTGCAAAACACTGGGAACTGGAGAATTTAGATAATCTAAAAAAGATGCCTACAAAGAGCATGTATGAGAAATTACTTTCCACTAAGAACATGTTGGAGTTACAGCTGGGGAAACAAGAGCATCTGGTTGGAGACCTTTTCTACCCTGCACAGACAGACTAGGAGCAGCCTGGGAGATGACAGCTCTCCACCACCCAGCACTGGACACCCCCCCCCCCCCCCCCCGCCGCCCCCCCCCCCCCCCCCCCGCCCCCGACATGGAAACGCCACACCCTTCCAGAGCGTAGACCACCTGAGAGACCACCAGGGTAATGGGAACAACCTAGACAAGAAAAGGGCTCCAAGTCCTGTCCTATGAAGAAGAGATGGAAGAACTACAAGTAAACAGAATGGTGAGAAGATGACAGCTGCCTTTGAGTATTAAGAAAATTTATCTTGTAAAAGAAGGGAACACCAAAAGAAAAAGAACACCACCAATGGGTAGTGGCTTGAGAAATATTTTTACTCCATATAAGGAAGCACTAAGAACCAAATTATCCGAAAATAAAACAGGCTACCTTGAAAAGTTGCAAATGTCCATCACTGACACGTTGAGTCCCAGCCAATGAACACTTACCATCCTGAAAGTAACTACACAGACAGTGGGTGTAATGGCATCAAAACTCTAGTGATTTTCTTACATTTTGAATGGCAGTATAATCTGGTACAGCCTCTGTGAGGCTGGAAATTTGGCAATAGCTCAGAATACTATAAATGCACAGATACACATTGATCCTGCCATCTGTCACTCGAACTCATTCCACTCCCAAATTTTCACATGGGAAATGGCACAAGGTAGTCATTGCAGAATTATTTTGAAGTAGCATAGCAATATCTCGGTTTTAGGGCATCGGTTTAATGAAACCCAAACTATGGTACAGCTACAGAATGAACTAACATCCAAGCATCAGAATAAATAACAGTGCTGTACTCAGGCTATGTTTTCTGTGCTCATAGGGAAATATTGGAATTCAAAACTCGAAGTGGAGTTTCTACTGAATGGGTATCACTGTCACACCATTGTCAAGTCACTGTTGTAAGTCAGACAATAATATGTCAGAGACCAACTGAACTCACTAGAACTACCGCAGTCCCTAATCAAGGGTCTGAAAACCTTACCATTCAATCAGCTGCAGAATCAATCAGGAGGGAGATGTAGTTTTTACTATTTAAAAAGGTCAAAGTTCAATACAACAAACTAATAAATACAACAAAAAACAGACTTACAGACATAGAGAACAGAGACTAGTGGTTACTGCTGGGAGGAGGGGGACGGTATCAGAGTGAAGAGGTGATAACTACTGTGTATAAAATAAGCTACAAGGGTATAATATACAACACAGGGAATGCAGCCAACATTTTATAACTATGAACAGAGTATAATCTTTAAAAATCGTGAATCACTGTACTACATACCTGTAACCTATACAATATTGTACATCAACAATACTTCAATTTTTAAAAGGCCAATGTTTAGAGCAGTTGACTGTGTCAACATAAAAATACTCATTTAAAAAATTTAATACATTTCAATTTCCAGTAAAGAGAGCTGTTAGCTACTTGATAATTCTATAAAAATATTAATCATAAGAACACTTTATAGTGCTTATACAGATTAGCAAACTTCATTAACTTCACTACTTTTCACCAATAAATTCCTTATGAACAAAATGCTTCTGCTGAGCTAACAGCAGCACTGTGGACTGCACCTCAACAGGTTTTAAAAGGCCCAAGTGATATGAACTACAAAGAGCAACATCCTCCAACAGTCATTTTACAGTGAAACCCTTTTTCTTTCTCTCAAGCAAACGATTATTCTCTAAAGCTAACAATTTCTACAAGCTAGGCATAATTCACTTTGTGGAAGACTGTTCATTTCTTTTCAGTTCAGAAATGATGCAAGCTCACTAAAGAAAACATTAAAACTGCAAAAATGGATGAGGGGAGGGCAAGAGCCAACATCTCATTATCTAAAAACAAAGGTTCACATTCTGGCATATTCTCTTCATGTCACTTTCTATGCGTAAAGTTGTTTCATGTTTCCAAGGATGAATAAGTATGCAGCTGTGTAGTAAATATACTGTTAATGTTGTATAAATACTAAAAATTAAGTTTCCAATTAACATGTTAAAAGTTATGGTAAACAGCCTTCTATAATAGCTTATGCAACTGTGCCCCAAAACTGACTTACTGATTAGCTTTTCATCCAAGTTATGTATCTTGTATCTCTGTATCTTTTTTTGAATGATTTATCCATACTTGAGGCTATTTCCTTATAGGTTCCGAGAAATGGTACAGTAAAAAGATCAAATTCTTCAAAATGATCTTCCAAACAGTCAAAGCAATGCCAACTGCCACTGGCAATGCTTCAGTGTACCTGTTTCACCCGCCTCACTAGTACTGTATATTAATAAATCTTGTTATTCTTTTCCCCATCAAAGTATTTCATTTTAACTTTGTACATACTTCTTCCCATTTTCAACACATATCAGGACATACCCCATGTGATGCACAATCAAGTTTTACTGAAAGGTCAAGGGCATGCCAGACAGGGAGCGATTACCTGGAAGGCTATGAGATAGCAGAGTGCAGCCAGCTCCGAGAGCGCGCGCCACTGCACGTCACTGTGCTGGCCCATCTTTAGCAGCAGCGACCCAGCGTGCATGTAGAAATGTCCTCTCACTTCCAGGAACGTAGCAAAGAGCTCCTCGTTTTCACCTGCACGAAACTTCACAGACTGAAGAGCACTATCGAAACTGGAATATTAAAGTATTAAATAGGTGTTAAACTACTGCACTGTGAATAATTCCGTGTCATTATTTAATTCTAAATAAAACTGAGAAAGGAATTTACTTCAAGCATCACCTTCCACACCTAACTCCCAACAATCCATTGTTTTATGAATTATGAATCATTGAGTGCTTCGTGTTATTCGACATACTTCCTATATTTCAAGCTTAACCTCCAAAATGTCTTATTCCAAAACATCTTCTCGATCATATAGTTTCATTATTTAATTCAAAGTTGAAATTTCTCACAATAAACATGCCATTTCACATTATAAGTAAACAACTAAGACACATGCATTATTAATACAAAAACTGCTTTTACTATATGTTTAACTACAGAGTTAAATTAATTATAAATCTCACTATGATTTGTAATCTACATACTAATCAGTACTTTTTAATCCTAATGGTCCTCAGAATCTTCATTTTCTAAGAAAATCAAAAGCAAACACTTAATAGAAATGTGAACAATGATTTTGAAGTAGATTATAATAAGAAATCTGAGCAACAGATTATTTCTTCTAGCCTGTGAACTTCTGGAACTTGAAGAAGGTGTCAAGACTCCTAAAAGGGGTATGTGTAGTAGTAGTATCATAGCACCAAGAAATCATCTTTCTCACCACTTTCTCATGGGACCAAAAGTTTTTAAGTATATAACCATGTCCACTTCCCCCTAATCCTAAATATTTTCTAAAATCATCAGCAAGTTTGATTGAGTCTTTTTGGCTACTCCCTCATACTACCTATATGAAGACACCAAGTACTTCCTCAAGAAAACGACTTACTCTCCTACACCCCAGTGAAAAGAACTCCCTGCCGTGTCAGATGGGGGAGGAACCGTTACTTTTCAGAATGAGAGTGTACACCAAGGAGCAGCAACCTTGTCCATCAAGGACCCCATGCTTATGTGGCTCTGAGGGCACAGCAGCTCTGCCACAGGGCTCGCCTCCACCGCTGCAGTGCGCGAGCACACAGCTGACATAGCAGGAGGACAGCTGTGTCAGGGGAGCCCCACTCACAAGCAGGTGGTGAGCCTGGTTTAGCCCACGAGCTCTAAATTGACATACAAATCCAACTGACATGTCTGTTCAATGGAATTTATTTTAATCAAGTGGAGACACTGGTCCTCAGAATTATGGAAGAGCAACGAGGATGTGCATTTTCAGGCTCAACTCTTGACTAAGCATGCCAAAACTAGATGCTTAATTACAAGAGTTAACAAAGAACAGTAATAGAGTTCTCTAAGAATCAGAGTCTCACAAAACCAATTATAATACTGCCCCCAAAGAGGGTTCCTTTTAAGTAGTTCACCATGTTATTACCATGTATTACCATGTATCACCATGTATTACCTCTGGACATTACAGAAAAAATAATGACATTAAATTGTTTAGACGAATGAACACAGACATCTGTAATTTACACTGAAGTGCTCTCTCTAGGTCGGCCTACCTCTCCAGTAATTCTCTGCTCTCCTGTGCATCTCTCATGGACAGCGTGAGAAGCATCAGGTTAGCATAGGCTACAAGTAAGTCCTGACTGGTTGTTCGCCAGTTATTTTTATCAGACTCCAAACACTGTGAAGATTCCAGGTATTCCTGTAGTGCAAAAAGAACTCTAAGTTACAAAACTGTATCATGTGTTACAAAACTCAGTGTTTTACGACTACAAACCCCTTTGCCCATTCACAGGCTGAAAACCCATGTTGGTTTTAGATCAGCCTACAAAAACACCAAAAAATACACAAACGTATTTCTCATATTTATCTCTTGAATCCGCTCATTGTAAATTGAAATCATGCTGGTAAAATCAGCTCATTTCACAGCTGCTACACATAAACGAAAGAGACTTAGGTCCTGGAGGGCAGTGATTAAATACAAAGGGATACATGGTAATTGTGAGACCCAATAGCCCTTACCTACCTTAAGGGTCTGTACTACACAGGAATTCCACTCTAAACTTGAGCGCAGGGCTGTGTTCCTCTCTGCCTGGTGGCAGTGGGCCACAGCATCCCTCAGCCTGCTATTGGAGCGATACAGCTCCACCAGTCGGATGTTCACGTGTACATCATCAGGCCTTGCATAAAGTTCTGACTGAATCAAGTCGAAAAGTTTATTCCATCCATCTTCACCTTTACAATCTAAAAGCTGTTCCTATTTATAAAGAACCATGAATTAGAGAATCATCTGTCCAATTTTAAAAACATCATGGCTCCTATGAGTACCATCCCACTGTGTCTGGCTTTAGTCAATTCCCACCCTACATACCTCATTAGTGCCATCAGTCACTTCCAGAAGCTAAACCTCCAGAAAATACATGGAGAGAACCATCTGGGACTACAGAGCAGCAGGAGGGCCTGGACTCACTCAGAACATCCTTGCATGCCCCTGTCATGACCAGAAGGGACCCTTGCACCCACGTGTCCTCACCCTCCATGTGCTCTGGATCTCAAGGCTGCTCAGTCCCCGCTCCCACTTCCCCACTGTGGAGCTCCTACTGTGCCACCATCTCCTTGGTCTTCACCTTTCCCGTTACTGAACGACAGTGCCATTCCAAGACAGCTGCCATCACTTATCGACCAGTCTATGTACAGGTGGAGGAGGTGGTGACTGACTCACTCCCAGACTCACTGCCAGCATCATCGCCTGATCATGCCCCTCCTCCCCCAAAACTGTTTATAACATTTTACTAAAGGATGTGCTACCTGGCCACGCCTCCCACTCCTCCTCATCAGCACCTGGAATAGAACTACCTTCGTTTATCCCTAAGATACATCACTACAAGCAGCACAAGACACAGGAGAGCCTGGCCACTCTGCTGTTTCACAGCTTCACCTTCACCACTCCACACCAGCCTCAGCCATCCATGTGGCAAAATCCATACTCTGAACAAACCACTCAGACCACAACAACCCTCTCATTCTCTCACCGCCCTGGGGCTAGCACAGCCTCACTGCCGCATCTTCTGTCTCTTCCGCGTGAAAAGGTCCTTTTAATTTTTCATAAAACACACACATACACTTCCTTCCCTGTCAAGCTAAAACACCAGAGTCTCACATCCAATCACTCCCTACTTACAGATAGAGCCCTCAGTTAGCTCTCTCTGCCCCTCCCTGGAAGCCCCCATCCCGGCAGTCTCCACCCCGGTGCACTAACAGATGAGCATGTGAAGGGCATCTGGAAGCATGGGGAATTACAACCAGGCCAACTGATTCACCTTTATAATCTTAAACCACCAGACTGGCAATGCCTAGAAAAAAGTTCTAGTTTACTTCTAAAGACTCATTTTCTCCACTCCCTGAAGAGTTCACTTCATACTCCTCTTTCCTCTGACTCTCTCTTTAGGATCTCTGCTCATCCTCCATGGAGAAAATGGAAGCCATGGCCTGTAAGCTTCACTTCCCCTTCCTGCACTCACCTCCCGACCATCGCCCAGTGGTGCTGTCATCAATCTCCTCCTGGACCAGTTCCATAAATTTATACCTGGTCTATAACTTCAAAGAAGCCCTAGACATCAATTACATGTTTAAAATTAGGTAAAAGACCAGCACCATTACAGATGTTTTTCAAAAACTCTACTCTCAAACTCAAAAGAAAGTCTTCCTATCAATGATATTTTTGTTCATTAAAGAAGTGCCAAAAAATTAATCTTAAGTAAGCTTCAACTTCTAGGAGAAACAGAATTATTCTGCTTAATAGTTACAAATTTCATGGATTTCTAGGCCAAAAGTTCCAGGAAAAATATCTGACATAAGATTTATTAGTTTTAGACAACATTATTTTTAAAGTCATTAAAGAAAATCAGGATGCTTCACCAACAATTAAACTTCTGTTACACCGCAAGAAAACAATCCCCTCCCATTAGACACATAGTCTATAACACCACTGTCACCAAACGGAATGGACTCTTGTGGCCAACGAAGAAAGTCATGACCAATGAAAAATTATGTTTGAGGCATGAAACAAAGATACTAATAAGGTAAACAAATCTGCACTATGAAACAACATTTTTGATTAATACTTAAAACCCAGATGCTTATCACAGGGAGAAAAAAAAATGTTACTAGTATTTAATCTCCCAGGCTTTTAAAGACACTTTTGATTTAAAAATCTGTACACAATTGTTTTATACCTGATATGTAATAGCTAAAAATTGGAAACACAGAATTTCCTCCCAAAGTAAATGGTTCAATGGTGGAACATACCCGTATGAGGACATACTACTCAGCAAAAACCAAGGAACCTATCCTGACACATACAACTTGAAAGGTCTCAAGGGCACCATGCAGAATGAAGAGCCAACTGCAAAAGGTCACATGATGCCTGCTTCTATTCATATGACATTTTTTAGTTACAAATTATAAAGACAGAGAACAAATTACCAGTTGGCAGAAGCTAAGGATGATGGGAAGGAGAGGTGAATGTGATCACAGAAACGGAGGCATGAAAGACACCCCCATGGTGATGCAGTGCTGGATACGCATGTCTACACGTGACGGGTGGAACAAGGACTACACGGGTACTGCACCCATGCCAAACCCTGTGGTGACTGTTCAACAATCCCAAGATGGAACCACCATTGAACCATGCACTTTCGGGGGAAATTCTGTGTTTCTGATTGGATGGAGCACACTCAAGACCTGTCTGTACAACCTCTGAAACTTCCTGAGAAAAATCTATAATTATTTCAATAAAAAACATTTAAAAATTCTATTGGAAACACGTACAAATGAGGGATAAAAACAATGTAAATGAGAATTCCCCGCTTTTCCTGCAGGGGCCCTGGTTTCAATCCCTGGTCAGGGAACCAAGATCGAACAAGTTGCACAGCAGGGGGAACCAATAGACAATTAAAATTACAGTCAAAATTCTGTTTGTCTAGCACATTTTGGAAAGTCTTTCTCCAAGAAGTCTCCTAGTAAACTATATTTCACTCAGTAAAGAATAACATGAAGAGCCAGTTAATACATTAGCAACAAATTTCTATCACTTTTAGTAGTCACCTATAACACACCAGAGAAACTTTTAACTTCTGCTTAAAAACCTCACTATCCTATAACACAGTCTTTACCAAATTTACATAATGGTTCTTTAAAACTGCCACCTTCTGGGTAATTTTCACCCCATGAAGTGAAACTTTTATACCAGACAGAGCGCAATTTATAATAAATCTCAGCTCCACCATCCACTAATAGCTAAGGAACAGTAGAATCCCTAAAACAGTAACCACTGCGAAGGTAGATGAGATGTCACTTGGAAAGCAAACTGGTTCCTAGTGAAACAGCACACTGTGACACCTCACACACTGTGGAATGGCCATCACCTCCACAGTGACAATTACTCTGCCTCATGCACACTGCAGTACTATTGCCAATGGTCACAGCTCTTATGTCACACCCCCAGACTTATATACAACTAACGGTCTATACCCCTACAACTAAAGGTCTATACCCCTAGGATCCCCATCCCCCTCCCCGCCACACCAGTTTACAGCTTACTACTTAAGTCATTTAAATTCCAAGTACTAGCAATAGCTGTGTCTTTAACTTTTCTCCAACTGCTTTTATTATATGCTTTTTCTTCAGTTTTTTTTTACCTTTAGTTTATAAATTGCAGGACTTCCTGGAAAAAGTTTAGCTGCTCGTTCAACCCAGTATTTAGCTCTTCCATCAGTAACGTCATTTTTACAGAGCAATTCTGCAATCTTCAACACAAGATCTTTCTGTGTTGGGTTTAATTCCACTGAACGCTGATACCAAAAACAATTAAGAAATTAGTAGGATTCCTAAAGTTTATACATTTCATACACAAAATTTAAAAACTCAACAAGTACTCCATTACAAACTATTTCTAAATGACAACACGTTACTTCAAAGTTGTTAAAATTAAACTGTCTGCAAGTTTTTTGAAAATGAATAAAAATTTTTTTATTTGGTAAATGCAAAAAAGAAAAGGAAGCAGGGAAGGAAAGGAACCATGCATTTCTCACTAAAGTAAACTTAAAATTTACAAGTGTTAACATTCTTTTCCAAGTGCTAACCTCTCCATGACAAAATACTTTGGCACTCTTTGGGCCAAATATTTTAAAATGTTTCAAGCTGTTTTGCTTAATAGTATGATGATATGAGTGCTTGTTTTCAAGACATCCATAAAACATACCTGAATTATTTACTACATAAATTAACCTGGACATTATGTGTGTGGTTATGTTCTAACCTTATACAGTTTACCTTGTAACATTCAACAGCTTTCTCTATGTTTTCCTCCACTTCGTAAAGAAGACCGAGAAATCTGTGAGCTTTGGGATCCCTTTCTTGCACATTAATATATGTAGATATATATCTGTTCAGAAATAATAATATAAAAACAATCTTTAAAATACCACATTTAGAACTGTGTTTAAATGCAGAGAGAATATTTTATCCTAAGCAACCACTAAACTAATTACTACTGTTTTCTGATGAACACCACTATTTACTTAGAGCAGAGTACGCAGAAATTCAGAAGCATCCACAGGAAGAAACAGACAGCACCTAGACACACACACACACAGTCGACAGCAGCTAGACACAAAGTCGATAGCACCTACACACACAAAGTCGACAGCACCTAGACACAAAGTTGACAAGCACCAACACACACACCCCCACACACAGTCGACAGCACCTAGACATACACACACAGAGCTGATAGCACCTAGACACACACACAAAGTCGACAGCACCCAGACACACATACACATACAAAGTCAAGAACACACTCACTTTGTCATTAAACGCTACATTCACCAAAAGTTTTACTCAGTGCTATCCACTCATAAGAAATGAACACCTAAGTTACCTTTTTTTCTATTACACTTTGGTAAAGCACTACAAAGTTTTGCAGAGAAATTACAAAGTGATTACAGTAAATATTTAAGTTATCATAATGCAAAATACTAAAGAGCACTAATTCCCAAACAACCACAAAGATAATCTGTTCATCTTTTTTTTTTTCTGTTTATCTTTTAAACAATAACATCTAAGGGGACTGCACAGGAGTCACTCAGTATACCACCAAATGCACATGACTTGACTACAAACAAGGATCTTCTAGGCCCAGTGAACGGTATCACAGGAAGAATCAGACCACAGATCAACACTGGAGGAAAAAGTGTCATTTTATAAAGTAAGGAACTATCGCTGCTAGGTCAATAAAGGTGCTAACATTTTCTTATCAAAATTTTCAACTTCCCATCAATGCCTTCAATAGCCTACCTCCCTCTTAATTTCCAGCTTTAAGCTACTGAAAGTCAGGAGATCAGATCAACAACCTTCTTGGCCTTGGAGGATCACTCACTAGCAGTCAACTAAAGTTATCTCTGACACAAGCTATTCTCCCGCCCAGCAATTAGTTTAACCTTATACTCACTGCTATTTTTTAGCTGATGAAAGTAGCAGAAGGCTAACCAGGAAGAAATCAAGATGTAAGCATGGTTCTCTTTTATTCTAACCTAAAACAATCTCTAGAGAAAGTTTAATGCCAGACAATTTCTTGTCCGAGGTAGGGACAAGCAGCAAGCATGTAGAAAGCATCATTCTAGACTCAATCTTCACATAATCCACTCCTGTCCTCACCATCAATCTGAGGGATGAATCCCTCATTTCCAGGACATACTTAGGAAGAACTGCTAAAACACCCATTTTTATCCATTTCAAAGAAGAACATAAGAAAACGCCCTGGTTTGAGACTTAAGGCTAGTTGACAGTTTGGTACTTACTTTTTAGCAAGATCATATTCTTTAGCTTCATAATACAGCTTTGCAAAATAGAATCCTTTCATTGACTTCTAAAAAAAAAATTAAGAATTATTTTATTCTTTGTATTTGAATTTTGCATATTTTTCATAAGAATTAAAATCTGTTGTAATAATGCTAACACCCACTCAGTATTCTTGACTGAAAAAAATCCCATGGACAGAAAAGCCTGGTGAGCTAGAGTTCATGGGGTCACAGAGTTGGACAAGACTAAGCACAGTAGCAACCTAGCACTTAAAAGGTAAAAACTGACTGGAGAAATGCACACATGTTCTAAAATCATGAAACTATGTCTAATTCTCATGAAACAACAAACAAATTTAAGAAAAACAAGACAAGATGACATCAGAAATTAAGAACTTATATATCAGCAAGAAACCTTAGGAACCGTGTGGTGTTCCTCTCACTTTACAGCGAAGTAAACAGACAGAGCCCACTTTCCTGGCGGAGAAGGTACACCAGAGAGACCTCACTTCTCCTGCCATATGCACGCCTTTATGGGGGAAGAGTAACAAAGTACTGCAGAGCCACTGAGGCACTGGGGCTTCCGGGTCCAGTTACCCACCTCTCCACAGACCATTATCTTACACTCAAAGAGAGAGGCAGAAATAAAATCTGCCTCTCCTGGTATTAATTCTCCTGGTAATAATCCAAGTCCACACCCTGGTTCTTTTATGTCTACAGGCTCCAAAGTCCAGGATGCTGGAGCACACCAGATGGTGTCATATGCACATGATTAAAGTACAGAGCATCAAACAACTTATTTTGAAAATGACAGAAGGACACAGAAAAATAAAAATCAATGTATTATGTGAAAAAAGCAATGTTTTCATTTACTGATTTTATTTCTAAAAAATATGGATGTTAGATGTTGCTGTGCCTACTAGTCTCCAGGCATCATTCTGAGTGCTGGGGAACTGGCAGTAAACAAAGTCTGTCTTCAAGCAGGAAGCTTGCACTTCAGGAAGGGTGACAAGCAGACAGTAATCTCCATGGAGGCAGGACAGAATGCTCTTACAGCACCTCATCAGTTCTCTACAGAACACCACATTTTGACAAAGCTACAACCAGTACTTATCCCAAAAAGCACAGGCACCCTAACAGTGCCTATCTAGCTGGGAGTTTCTTCTCCCTTAGCTAGTGAGGGTGGAGGCGCACAGACAAGGCATCACATATTTTACACAATGGGAAAGAGACAGGTTTGTCAGGGAAGGTCTTGGGAAGGGGGATATTTGACTAGAAATCTGATTAATGTGCAGAAGTGGTTACCTGGGGCAGGTGAACTGCAAAAATTTAACACCGCTTCACTGTTTACTATGAAGTATTTCCATTTTCTCCTTTTTGTGAACTCTACAGAAGACACTCCTGAATGGCACCCATCTTCCTGAAACACTCTTCTCCTGTCTTCAACAAACACAGGTTCTCCTCACTTCCCTTCTACCATGGTGGTCGTTCCCTCTCCAGCTTCTCTTCTCTCTCAGAATGTCTCATCTGGGATATATAATCCATCTCACTGAGGACTACCCTGACTCCCAGATATGTGTCTTTGATTCTCCTGAGCTCTAAATTTATGTGCAAATGATCAAGATGTGATAGTTCTACCTTCTGGGTTATCTCAATCCACATTTTTCTACATCTCTACTGCTCCTGTCAAAGTCCAAGCCTGCTATCACCTCTCTGTGGGATGACTGAAATGGCTATTCCTGTCTCCCTCTCAAAGTTAATTTGTCAAAACATAACACAAATGACACTGTAAACCCTTTTTTGCCTTCCATTACACGTTGAAAATATCCCTATTTCTCACCAAAGACTAGCATAACACAGCATCTGCCTGGCTCTCCAACTTTACCTTGTCTGCCCCATGCATGCTATGGTCTAAAACCAGTGACTAAAACCAGAATTCAACTGTCCAACTGGGGCAGCCCTGAGAGTCTGTTTAATATAAACAAAGGTAACAGTAGGTACTGATATGATATGGTTTCTGCCCAGTACATTCAACGTCAGAGTGAAGAAATTCAATGAAGTCAAATGAATGGCAGAGTAACTATGATTCTCTTCAGGTAGCCAACGCTTCATCATCTAATCAGAGACATGTATGAATTCATAACCAAGATTCTCACTAACCAAGTCAAAGGATAGCTAGGGGCAGTGAGTCTGAGGATCAGTTGAGGAAGAGCACCCGGCTGGGTGTGCATGCCTCATGTCTGCACAGGAAGACACGAAGAGCAGAGCGAGGGGAGGGCCCCCAGCGCCATTCACCTCCCCTGCACACCATGGCGGTTAGGTCCAGTACACCTATCAGAGCATCACACAAGTATATCTTAAACCAAGCTGAGTAGGGAGTGAAAATTCCAGTGAAGCAAACAGGAAGAACTCATTCTATCTAGATTTTCACTAGGATTAAAGAACCTGAAAGTGGGTTCTCCCAATCCTTATCTTTTTAGCTTTAAGCCAAGGTTATCAGAAAAGTTACCATACTGGCTTTAGGCAGTCAAACATTGAATTGGTCATGTCCTGCTATCCTTGTAGAGAAACTCATCTACCACTGGATCATTCACTCAGTAACAGAACTGCGTTTACATCTGCACTCAATGTAAACTGGGTTTAGACCTTCATGAGACAGGTTGGTTTTACTCTAATGGTAACGGTTGTTTCCTTAATAAGCCTCCTCAGAATAAGAGGAACCATGGTTCAGACAATGCGGGCATAGAGTTTGCCTGAGGAGCAACCGAGTCAAACAGAACATCAGTGAGGTTCTGACTGAATGTTTCTAAGAATCCCATCTAGGCAGGACAACAGAGCCGCAACAGGTGGTGTTTCAGATGGCAATGAAGCTATAAAGAGACATGAAGGAAACTTAAACCAATCCAAAAAGGCTACATTCTTAGGATTCCAACCATATTACATTTTGGAAAAGGCAAAACTACGTAGACAGTAAAAACGTTAGTGGTAGCCTGGGTCTGCAGAGAAGAAGGTACGAACAGCAAAACACAGAGGATCTTTAGGGCAGCGAAGCTACTATGTACGACACAATAACAATGAATACATGTCTTTATACATTTGTTAAAACCCATGACTGTACACCATCAAGAGTGAACTCTAAGGTAAACCGTGGACTTTGGATGAAAATATTTAAATTCATCAACTGTAACAAGTGTTCTATACTGTGGGAAATGCTGACACTGGGGCAGGCAGGACGAATGTGGGAAAATTACCTTCATTACAATTTTGCTCTGAACTTGAAACTGTTCTAAAGTCTACTAAAAAAAAATTTAACTCTAATTTTCCACAAAGTACCCTCAGCAAAATGAACCAAGAACACATTAAAACTATTATACACCATAACCAACAGGAATTTTTGTCCGAGGAATGCAAGGTTGAATTCATACAAGACAATGAGTTAACTAATACATCACATTAAAAGAACAAAGGCAATAAACTGCAAGACCATGTCAAGTGCCATCAAAAGGAAAACAGTGTGTGACAAAATCCAACATTCATTCATGATAAAAACTCTCAGGAAACGGATTCTCTCAGAAAGCAAAGAATATCCTCAACATGATCAGTTCAGTTCAGTTGCTCAGTCATGTCCAACTCTTTGCGACCCCACAAAGCGCAGCACGCCAGGCCTCCCTGTACATCACCAAACTCCCAGAGTCTACCCAAACCCATGTCCATTGAGTCGGTGATGCCATCCAACCATCTCATCCTCTGTCGTCCCCTTTTCCTCCTGCCCCCAATCCCTCCCAGGACCAGGGTATGAGTCAGCTCTTTGCATCAGGTGGCCAAAGTATTGGAGTTTCAGCTTCAACATCAGTCCTTCCAATGAACATCCAGGACTGATCTCCTTTAGGGTGGACTGGTTGGATCTCCTTGCTGTCCAAGTGACCCTCAAGAGTCTTCTCTGACACCACAGTTCAAGAGCATCAATTCTTCTGTGCTCAGCTTTCTTTATAGTCCAACTCTCACATCCATACATGACCACTGGGAAAACCATAGCCTTAACTAGACAGACCTTTGTTGCAAAGTAATGTCTCTGCTTTTTATTATTCTGTCTAGGTTTGTCATAACTTTCCTTCCAAGGAGTAAGTGTCTTTTAATTTCATGGCTGCAATCACCATCTGCAGTGATTTTGGAGCCCAGAGAAATAAAGTCAGCCACTGTTTCCCCATCTATTTGCCATGAAGTAATGGGACTGGATTCCATGATCTTAGTTTTCTGAATGTTGAGCTTTAAGCCAACTTTTTCACTCTCCTCTTTCACTTTCATCATGAGGCTCTTTAGTTCTTCTTCACTTTCTGCCATAAGGATGGTATCATCTGCATATCTGAGGTTATTGATATTTCTCCCGGCAATCTTGATTCCAGCCTGTGCTTCCTCCAGCCCAGCATTTCTTATGATGTACTCTGCATATAAGTTAAACAAGCAGGGTGACAATATACAGCCTTGACATACTCCTTTTCCTATTTGGAACTAGTCTGTTGTTCCATGTCCAGTTCTAACTGTTGCTTCCTGACCTGCATACAGGTTTCTCAAGAGGCAGGTCAGGTGGTCTGGTATTCCCATCTCTTTCAGAATCTTCCTCAACATGATAAAGGTCATTAATGAAGAGATCACAGCTAACATCATGTGCAGAGCTTCCCAGGTGGTGCCAGTGGTAAAGAATCTGCCTGCCAAGCAGGAGATGCAGGTTCAATATCTGGGTCGGGAAGATTCACTGGAGAAAGAAATGGTAAGCCACTACAGTATCCTTGCCTGGGAAATCCCATGGACAGAGGGACTTTTGTAGAGGATTTCTGGCAGGCTATAGTTCATAGGGTCACAAAAAAGTCAGACATGACTTAGTAACTAAACAACACCAATAGCAACACCACACTCAATGATGAAAGATTAAAGGCTTTCCACTTAAGATCAGGAATGGCTTTTGGTGCTTCTATTCAACACTGAGTTGGAAATTTTAATCAGAACAATTTTAGACAGAAAGAAATTACAAAAACAAAACTGAATTGAAAGGAAGCAGCAAAACTATCAA